GATACTAAGTAAAGATTATAATCGTGGTTCCAAACTTTTTATCAATCAAGTTTGCGTAGAGCGAGTGAAACAGTCCAATTATTTGGGGACCATTCTAAATGAAAAATGAAAATAGTAGTGAAAACGCAAGAGAGATGTTTGTAAAAATCAACCCACTATTTAAATCCCGTCAAACTGTTACGTTGTTGCGTGTCTTCTCAGTTCTCCTGTTTCAGAGAAACTATCAAAAGATTAAAACAAAAGATTATTGCACATTCCAGTAATATACACATAGATAAATATCCATTGAATGTTCCATGTACACCGTGGCTAAATAAAACTACCCACTATACGATCTGGAAACCCCTAGGAGATACCAAAAAAAGTTTCGTACAAAAGTTTCTTGGACTCTCATGAAGGTTTATTATATTATAATTTTGTTGATACAGGGTATCCCAAAAGTGTCCCCTCCGACATCAACTTTGTTATTTTAAATGGAACACCCTATATATATATATATATATATATATATATATATATATATATATATATATATATATATATATATATATATATATATATATATATATATATATATATATATATATATATATATATATATATATTCTCACGTATTGATTCACGGATGGAAAGATGTGATGACACTATATTCCGGGATATCATCCGTTCGCTCGTTGAACTCCGACTGGAATCCTGCAAATCCCGCATCCGTTTCGCCAAAATCTCATTTGGCATCTTCAATGCTCGCGCTCCGAAAACACTTCGAACACTCGAAGTGTTTTCGGAGCGCGAGCATATATATATATATATATATATATATATATATATATATATATATATATATATATATATATATATATATATATATATATATATATATATATATATATATATATATATATATATATATATATATATATATATATATATATATATATATATATATATATATATACTTAAGAAATGGTTCTAGGGTTTTTTTGGTCCTTTTTTAGTGAAATTAAAATAAGTTTCCGTTACCTGTGAAACATTTTATTTTTTGTGACGTTTCGGCCTTCAAGACCTTCTTCAGACATTTAATTTTAACCTTAAGCCAAAAATCAACTTTTCACTATTTTGATTTTTGATTTGATTTTTGGCTTAAGGTTAAAATTAAATGTCTGAAGAAGGTCTTGAAGGCCGAAACGTCACAAAAAATAAAATGTTTCACAGGTAACGGAAACTTATTTTAATTTCACTAAAAAAGGACCAAAAAAACCCAAGAACCATTTCTTAAGAATATATAAAATCAAAATAATCCAAGAACTCACAAACTAGAAATATATATATATATATATATATATATATATATATATCTATATATATATATATATATATATATATATATATATATATATATATATATATATATATATATATATATATATATATATATATATATATATATATATATATATATATATATATTTTTGACATTTTTGGAATCCTTGGTTAAAATTAGAAATTCCTATTCGAATTTGGCATAGTTTAGGCAGAAATTGAGGATGTGTTTTTTTTTATTTTTGCCTCATGTTGTGATCCAGGTATTGCAAAAAAATTTAACCACAGACTACGGATTAACTACTCAGTCAGTTTGACAGATGCTCCTCAGCTTATACAGGGTGTCCCAAATAGGTGGTGCCGTTTTGGCGAATTCAATTAACAAAATATTAAATATATTTTTATGCCGATATCAATTCTAGGATAAAAAATAAGTTTGTAATATTTAATTTTTTCTTACTCTTTAAGATATTCGAGGTTTAAAATAACACCCGTTGAATTTAAAGCTGCCCACATTAGGTCACTTGTTGGCAATATTAGGTATTTTTTAAATAGCAAAGACATGATACTACTTCTTCTAAAGATATAATACTCCAGATATAAAAATAAAATCTATTGTTAACAATACAGATTAATTAAAACTTCAGAATTCATATTTAAAGAAAGATTTAATGGTTAATTATCTATTATTGAAAATACCAACTAACAAAAATAAGTAATTAAAGTATATAGGCTAACTAACCAAAGTAACAAATTTGAATAAATAAATAAATAAAAAAAAGTTAACTAGTTCGGTCTATAAAGTTTAATTAAAAATGTCCCTCTTAAAATGCTCATTTCATCAGACATTAAAACAATAAAGAATTATCAAAATATTTGAAAATGTAGTTGGCTATGACATCACAATTTTTTTTGACGCATTAGTTGACAATTCTGTTTGTTTTTGTTGTTTATCATATTTTTATTGAAAAAGTGCATAGTTTTTTGTTAGTGTATATTTGATTTGTATTTTAAATAAGTTATAGTTTTTTGGTTAACCTATAAATTTTAATTATTTATTTCTGTTATTAGGTATTTTCAATCAAGCGAGATAATTAACTATTAAATGTTTCTTTAAATATGAATTCTGAATTTTTATTAAATCTGTGTTTGTAGTATAGAGTCGATTTTTCTCAAAATCTGCAAGTACCTAATATTGCCAACAAGTGACCTAATGTGTTATCTTAAACCTCGAATATCTCAAAGACTAAGTAAAATTTAAATATAAGATAAATTACAAACTTATCTTGTTTTTGTCCTAGAATTGATATCTGAATAAAAATATAGGGTGTTCCATTTGAGCTGAGGCGCATCTGTCAAACTGATTGAGTAGTGCATCATCTCCTTAGTCTGTATTTAAATTTTCGTTGCAATACCTGGATCAGTGGCGTCAAAACGCATTTTTTTATGGGGCAAGCAAAATATGAAAAAAAAACACATAACCTGGATTTTTGCCTAAACCATGCAAAATTAGAATAGGTATTTCTAAAGAAACTGACCTTTCTTTTAACCAAGGATTCCAAAAATGTTAAAATACGGGTTGGGGGGGGACACTTTTGGGACATCTTGTATCAACAAAATTATAATATTTTCAATCTTCAGGAGAGAGTCCAATAAACAATAAACAAGCGTTACTGCAGTGTCACAATCTAACTTCCGGGATCATTCATATGTAGGTACCGGGAACATTTACTATCGTCTTGCGTAGTGGCAAAATGGTCATACCCGAATTTTAGACAATATTCCTCATCAAAACAAAAACAAATTTAATTTCGGCATATATTTCAATATTGCGTATACTTTTAAACTTTTAATAGGCTGAACCAAACAGAATGTCACTTTAAAAAATATTATTATATCATCATCTTACTGTAAGAAATCAATTCACATTTTGCAAAATTATCCATAGATTATACTGAGAAGTAGCCTTAAGTTCATATTGCGCATTTTTTAAACTTCGTATTCAGTAAAGTTCATGTGAAACGCTTGTAATTTGATTCTTTATCTTATATTTAAAGAGCTATTAGGAAAGTTGAAATAACAACAAGCAAGTTTTTCTTATTACCTTATATAGCGATTACTACAGTAAAATTTGATAGATATTATTCTCATAGAGAAAGAAATCATTTTTCGCCTATGCCTCTACATTTAAAGAAAATACTGCGGTAAAAATATCGCATCCAAACTTATTGACGATCTGTGAGCATCCATGTTGGTCGCTGAATGACGCAAGATTTTAAATCTAGCGCATGCGCATGCGGAATAATGGACAGAACGGTACTGAGTGCTATAAGAAATACTTCACGGCAATCTTAAGAGCAAGAGAAGACCAAGCCGAAGGAGATACAAATACAATTTGTTTCAGCATTTCATTGTTTCTGGACCGGTTAAATATCCTAAAATATCTATATACTTCCTAAATGAATCATCTTCTTGGTAAATACATGCAGCATAATAATCTCTCGCTTTGCCTCAAAGGCATCTCTACCAAATTTCCTGATCAATTATTAATTTTGAATTTTTCGCGACACTTTCGAAACTCCTGCAGTTAATTTTTTTAAGAATTTGCCTATCAGTGTATCATGCGTCATACACTTTTACAATACCAGATCCTTAAATTTTTTTTTATACTTAATAATAATAACATTACCTAATAAAAAATATTTACTCTCGACTGAAGTACTGACTATAATTCTAATAAAAATAAAAATAATAATTTATTAAATAATTTGAACAACTCGTTTTTTAGGTGTAATAATACAAAATAATAATTACATCTTCTCAATCTTTGTAAGAACTCTCTTACACTCACATACGTTTATTAGTCACTTCGTGATTATATTCTTCCTGTAAGGTAAGTTTTCTCCTCATTTTCCTGGGTCTTCCAAGCTGAAAACTTTTCAAAATTCCTAAAATATACGGCGTATTGCATTATAGTTAAGTTATGATAAGTAGTTGAATATGTTTAGTTAAGTATGTATAAAACGCAAACGTGTTGTTTGTGCATATGCAATTCTTTTGGATCTTCCAGATGTAAAAACTAGATGTTGGTAGGAGCGGTTTGTTTTTATATATCGGTATTTGTGCGCGATTATATTTAATATCAAACAAAGCGCTCTTCGATTCAGATTGCCTTCTAAATGGCCCGGCACGGTTAGAAACTTAAAAGTGTACTCCTGACACACGGTTATTGTTTTTTCCGCCAATCAGCTAGCGGTAGCCACTTTCACCTGCACCAATCACTGTGACGTAACGCGACCCGATAGATGTTCAGCAATAGCGTTGCCACAGCTGCCTCATTTCGACATAATACCTATTAGAAGAAAAAATGTATAAAGTTTTAAAAGTTTGGCGAGTTTTGTAAGTTTTCCAAAACTGTTGAATTCTCAAAGTCATGGGAAAGATACTCTCTTTACTTAATAATATGTAACTAACATAATTCTAGTGCAAGTTGTTACGACTCAAAGCTTCAACGCCAATTTTTCGGATCTGTATTGGGGTTCCCTCTGGGCGTTCACTACCAAAAATTCCTTTATAATTTTTTCTTCTCTCGTTTGGAGTAATTTGCTTAGACTACATGTCAAACCCTATACAACTTTCGCACCTCGATTATCGGGTCTAAGGTCGCTTTTAATTGGTAGAAGAATGCGGTGCGGACCAATTGAGATGCCGCGATGGTACTTGCGTCACTGGTGTACAGTGCGATCGCGTTTACGATTGCCTGGACGGTACCGACGAACAAAACTGCGAGTACTGCTCGATAGAAGAGTTCAAATGTCGCGACGGGCAGTGTATTCACGAGAGTTTGAAATGCAACGGCGTGCCCGAATGCCGCGACGGTTCGGACGAGGAAGAGTGCGGTACGAATGGCAACTGAGTGGGGTGTCTAACATAACAACACTACTATTGTCGACCACTTGTTTAGATACGAGAGATGGTCCTGATTTTTGTTACTTTAGTTGTTATCCGACCACAAAAAACTACTGGTTAGGTTGAACGTTGAATAGCGTATCATGAGTTTTTCCTATAATATGTTTTTCTTTTTATCCTTGCTCCCACTAGGTATGGTCTGTTTCAAAGTATACCGTTTTGGTTTTAATCACAATTGTGGAAATATTATATTTGTTCAATAAATGGAACTTTTGATTTTTGGTTTACGCTTCATTTTAATATGTTTAAACTTAAAAAAAAAAAAAATTCTAGATAAAAACCGACGACTACCAATCAAACGAGGAAATGAAAGAAGACGCAACAGAAAGAAGAACAATAGTTATTACATACCTCAATCAAAAGTTGATATTAAGTAATGATGTTGTAAAATCTATTAAATCAACACTCAACATCTTGGGTTCCTCTAAAGCAATACAATTGAAAATAAAACATTAGATAGAATAAATTAAACTCGATTTGTCAAAATCTGCAGTTGTGTCTTTTAAAGTTGAAAATGTAGTTTCTTTGCTGTAAAGGGTGTTTCACCTAACCCGTTCATTGAAAGTTTAATGGGATGTAATTTCCTGCCTTTCCATATTTGGATGTTCCAATTGTACTTCTTTTTTCAAATTTTATTAAAATTAAAGTTGTGGTCAACTTGCCTATTGCAAATGGAACATATTATTATATTATAAGATTCCGTGCGAAATTCTAAATATATTCTGTATATTATATCCTATACCTATATGTACCCGTTTTTGAATAAAAAAACATCCAGCATCCAGTATCCATCTTCGAAAATGGAATATTTTTTTAATTTTTGAACATTTGATTCTATTTTTAAACAGGGTGTTCAAAATGAGACCATAAACATCCATATTTGGAAAGCCGCTAAACTCGATTTGAATGAACGCCCTGTTACTTTAAGTGTTACCAAGTCCAGAAAGTCCAGAAAGTTTAAATTTAATGTGAAATAATACTCAAATTCTCATATTTTCAATTTGTTCCACGGTGAATATTAAAAAGTGCTGGAGAGAACCTGTCACGTAGATTCCTATTTGCCGCCAATGAACAACATAAAATTTAAGTAGATTGAAAGAAACTTCTTGCGTTTCAGAGAATAAAAAAATTGATTTAACTTAACTACGAAAAAATAAAAATATTGATTAATAAAACAAATTCCATATGCTGCTTGTGGTTGATAGTCCAATTCGGGCAAAGCGGGCCGTACCTTTTCAAATAATTTTAATGCTAACTTTAATAATTTATTTTTCCATAGCCAAGTACCATCACAAAATCTAATTTTTTAAAATATGTTTCGAAATAGGTATAAGTAACCCTAATAAACTTTTGATGAACGGGTTGGGTGAAAAACCAAAGTAAGTTAGATTTTCAATATTTATTTGTCTCGATGATTATAATTCTAATACCAATTATTTGGTCTCTTATCACGAACCTGTCGACAAATGGTATATTATTATAAATGTGTCATAGGATTTGAAGTCAAGGTTAAGTTTTCTCAGCCTGCGGGAATTGCAGTGCATGCACGGGTTAGTTAAAATTCCATTCTTGCTGATAGGCCCTGATTGAACACATTAAATGAAAAGTTGGTCCAAAATCAGACGTTTGGTTTGTTGTCCTAGAAGGACACAACCGACATGAATTACACTTTTCATTTCCTGAAGGTTATTAAATCTCAAACTAAGCAATCACCGGGATTCCATATACCACTTTATTTGCGGTATATGAATCCAATTTTCCAAACAACTAACTCTATGGAGAAGATCGCTACTAATAATTATATTGGTTTTATCTTTTTCTAGCTTTTTTTTAACCTTATCCAAACCAGAAAAAAAAACTTGTTTTCATAAAAGATTTAGGTTTTCCTGTTTATCTTGATCACTATTGTCCAAATGATGAAATTTAAAATTGCTACTTTTTTTTTTTCATTCCATAAATCTCCAAAAATGCCAATATTCTTTGTCGAGAATATTGACATTTTTGAAAGTAGCCAGATTTGTTTATAAACTTCTTGTTTACCTGTTACTATCCAGTAACATTAAATATGAAGGTCGTAATTTCTTTTTGGCAGGGGGTCCACTAAAAGCCAAGACGATATACATTGAGACTCACCATACCCATTTCTCATCCATAGAGAAAAACTGATTCGAACTATCCAATTCGGGACCATTCAACTAAGTCACACAATCTTAGAAGTGACTTTTTTATTCCTTTCAATTCTTTTATTTATAGTTTTAGCATAAATATGCCATTCAAATAAAATAATAAAAAACTGGACAATATTATCTAAAAAAAAATTATTTTTGATAGTTTTGTTCTCAACCCTACGCAAGAATCTTCTTCCGATGATTTATCCGATCTGGATGTTTACAATAGTCATGACTATTCGTTGGCAGCATATCAAAAGAGTTCGGTGGAAGTAACACTATACCATCAACGCAGTTTTTCCGGACAGGAAATTATCGTGCGACCTGGACCTCTCCTGCCTTCCACTTTTACAGTAATTCTTCGTAATAAAGGCAAAAGTGTTCCCGTTTCTTAATCATCACCATAAGTTGTGATACTTATGGTGATGGTTATTAATACAGTCCGTTCAAGATATTTTAAGAATTCTTTGATAAATTCAAATTCCAAATACATGACTCTGAAATCGTCCAAATCTCCACACTCACAACACATAATGAAATTTAAACTGAGGTCTATTCTTGTTATGTATATTTGCCGACGCCACACAGTTCTGTCGTAAATAATACCAAATATCCACGGTTTCAATGTACTCTAGTTCTATCCATATTGGCTTTTTGAATTTCCATTATTTCTCCATGTTGGCATCTATCAAATGAATTGGCATAGTACAAAACAGTATAGTACATTGCAAGTCTTGTAAAAAGAGCACTACCAGAGCCATCTAAGTATCAGAGACGTTTGACTCACATTTATTGTAAATTATGCTATGGATGATCTTAAGAAATATCTTTATTCCATGACTCGTCCCTAAGATGTCTTGGTATTGTTTATTAGTTTTGACAGGTTCAGGCTCTCAGCCAAAACTGCAATAAAAAGTGTACCGAACTAAATCTAAGAAAAATGGAACACGTGGCGTAACATTTTAATAATGCAATATTACGCTGGTGTTTATTTTGCGCTTTGCATTTTTCTCAAGCAGCGCATTTGTTTTTGACATTCAAGCGAAAGTTATAATAATATTTTGCCATAATATTGTTAGATACTATTTAAGTCATTAAATAATAGTATATTACGCGTGTCCTTAAAATAATACGGAATATGTCGAAAATCGGGAAATTTTATTTCCATTGCAACTTATCTCTGTAATACCACTTTTCTTCGGAAATATTTTTTTCTAAACAATCTGTCAAAATTGATTAATCTGTCATAATATAGAATTTGGTTACAAAATTATAGAATAGATTGTACAGGGTGTTCGAAATTATGTTTTCTACCCCCTTACCATAGGAACTACGAGCGATAGAAGAAAGAGATAAATAGAAAAAATCGTATAATTACATCTAGATTTATTAAATTTTTCAAAAAGACAGGGTATGTATAATCTCCTACATCTAGCCGACAAATCTTGAATCTTGAATTTTATCTCAAAATTAACAAATTTCCCTAAAACGGAGCCTTAATTATTTAATTATGGATAGATTTCTTATCATATATTTAATTAAAAATTTAATAAAAAAAAGTTAAAAAGTTATTTTTTTTATTTTTATATTTTAATCCTGTTTAGCATTGTGCATTAACTAAAAAAAATAATTCCGATTTTTACGGAACACACTGTATATATGCTAACTTTTAAAAAATCTAGACGAAAGCATTCAACTTTTCTATTTAACTTTTTTTATATAGTTGATTTCTGAGTTTATTTTTGAATATAACTTCGTGGATAATGGAAATGTCAACTAAAATTAATATCTGACATAAACACATAAACAATGATATATTATATGACCTAAGTGGTGGTCACTTAAGCGTTTAGACCTTATTGCGTATAAAATTAAAATGTATTCTAATATTAGGCACCAAAGTAAACTGACACCCAAAGATATCTGACTATTCAGCTCGTAAAGATTTGTAGGTTCATCTATCACAAGTTTCAAAAATCAGGACGCAGAACAAGTGGTCATATAGGAAGCCTATCAGTTTCACCCCGGTGTGTTTTGAGCTTGCTTAATTTTGACCAAAACTACGAAGATAAAACACGTTCGACCAATATAATGACGCCTATGTTGCATAACCTCACATGAAATCTTTTTAACGGCATGATAACGAGTGCACCAACGTATATCTAACTCGGTTTTCCTACGGGAATCGGTCCGTAACAGCATGCTGCCCCGAAAAATATCGGCACAAAATTTTATTGAAATTGAATTTAAAATTCAGAGGGATGTCTCAACGATGAGTTCGATTGCGAAGACGGCACGTGTCTGGAGATCGAAAGGAAATGCGACGGTTATAGGGATTGCAGCAACGGTCGGGATGAAGATGGATGCCCCGAGGTTCAGTCGCGTAACGAAAGTAGGTTGGACTCGCTGGTGGTGTTGGAGAGGGCGCCGCTTTCGAAAATGGCTGGAGGGGGGGGGGCTTGTAACGTTCGATTGTTTTCGTGATGACAATACAAGCGCATGTATTTTATATAGTCTGTTTCCTCAGATGGTGGAACAGTATTTAGCTTTTCAAGGGATTAAATATACAGGGTGTATGATTTTAATTAAGCTCCAATTAAACCATTCAGAGGTAAAAGTTCATATAAACATTTTTATTAATATTACGTCATTTTTAGACAATTTTCAGTCTAATTTGTAATTACTCAGAATTTCACGAAATTTAAAAAAATATAATAATAATATATCAACGGACGAGCAATGTTTTAATTTACTAATAATAACAAGTAGTAGATACATATTTGACCAAGATGCAATAATAAAATGTCTAAGCAACATATTTTTTTCAATTTAATTTTTAAACTTCAGCTTTTAGTTTACCCTAAACAAATGCAGTTAATAAGTTCCTCTGCAAATTTCGAGACGGGACAAAAATACCCATAGTTTGTACAATGATGTGAAATACCACATAGCTGTGTTGGTCTGGTGTTTCTTGCAGGTGACAGAGTTCAGGACAAGAAACATGATTATTCATTCGCTTAAATGAAAAGTAAAGCTCAAAACATGTTTTATGAATTTCCAAGTTTTGAATAATGGGTATGCCAGTCATTGTAGTTGATTTTTTCCATCAGAATATGCATGTCATAGGCTATGTGACGTAAAAAAAACACTTCTCTACTCTCTTAAATGAGACAGTATAAGATCTGTGGTTAGGTATTTATTTGACCACTGCACAATATATACTCTTGATTACGTGAATATTCGAGAAACTGCTTAAACTGGTCAGCACAAAACCTAGTAGCTTCATAGTCTTATTATATGCTATATCAATGTGACAAACTAATTTAAGATTACTGAATGTTACACCCAGTCCTTGATAGAATGAACACTTTCTATATATTCAGGCAAATAAGATGTTTTTAAATCACACCAAAATGATTAATTATGCAGATCATATTGTAGTAGTTCAAAATCACTTTTACAATGAATTAGATTTTTATATTTTACACCCTCTTGATGTAGTCCACTTATCAACCTTATACTTAATTCGTGCTAACTGAGTCAACCTGAGAGTTATTCTCAACTGCAGTTTAATGATCTATGTTGATTACAAGGTTAGTTTGGGTAAATTTTCCCTTGACAGAGCCATGTTATGCCCGCGTAGGAACACCTGTTATATATATATTATAAAACTGATTCTTAATAGGTCACACTCCATATCTCACATTCCAAGTTGTCATCCAAATTGCTCGAGACAAACAAACACTACCACAATATTCATATCACAACCAGTTAAATTTAAACTTCTTGAATACAGTATCCCTACAAACATGGTCTACACGTGTTGATGAGTAATGTTGTGCAAACATATTTACAATACCTGAAGAGTTCTTACTCTTGGTATCCCCATATAATACGTATTTAGGAAGCTCAAACTTTAGACTTTAGATATATCCGAAAATCATTTTTTGAATGAATACTGGATAAATGATCTTGATTGTAATTTGAATAACAATCTTGAGCTAGTATCCTCCACACATCCCTTAAATACAAAACTTGCTGCTATTTGTGGGAATTTCAAGGCCCAAGCTCACGGTTTAGTGCAAACTTATCTATTAATTTTCTAAATTCTAAACCACAATGTCTACTACGTCAACAGCGTCGAAGTCAATATCCCAGTTTAATAAAAGTGAAGAAAGAATAAAAGTGAAATTCAAATCTATAGAAATAGCGCCCGCGCATTTAATATATGAAATATTACGATATATTGAGTTCCGAAAGTCTATGTAGAAGAAATTAAAAAACTACATATATATTAGGCGATATATTTCACTTTCTCCTGCGTACATCAAAGGCGAAATTGCAAATTATTTAGTAACCTGATTGTCATATCAAAAAGTTCCCAGCTACGTTTTGTATTGATTAAAGAATTATACAGTGTAGAGTATACAGTGTACAATTGTTTTTGTTTATTTTCAGTTTTCTATCTTTTGGCGTTCTAGAAATATAAATGACATCAATAGTTGAAAACGTACCAAGCCGTGAATTTAAATAACTTCGCAATCGATGATCTATACGTTTATATGAACTTTTTTCTTGATTTTCAAAGTACAACGACTGCTCTATGATGATACACCCAGTATATATTCAAACAAAAGAGCGCAGCGAATAGATTTTTATTTACTCTGCCCTTCCAAGGAACAGCTTTGTGAACTGGAAGAACTCCTTCAAAAAATGGTGGTGGTGGTAGCTGTACTTACGAAACTTGACTATTATCTTGGGCACCGATAGTTACTGCATTGTCCATATTCATTTATCGAGGCCTTATGGTTTGATAAAACGCTAACGGATCTAGACTCGGAGCTTTCGCAATTGAAATCGATGACTTTTTTTTACGCGTTCGTGCTCGCGTGAAACTGCTTAAGATCCTCGTTTTGATTTAGGCAATCAGGCGACAACCTGCCGAGCCGACCAGTTCGATTGCGGCCAAGGAGAATGCATCGATCTCACGTTCAGATGCGACAACTACCGAGACTGTATGAACGGAACCGACGAAATCGGATGCGGTAAGGGTCGAATCGCTGCGCAAAGAGCACACCGTACGTCTGCGCGTTACGATCAGATTGCAGAGTGGACGAGTTCAGGTGTAACAACGGCGTTTGTATACCCTCCGACCGGGTATGCGACAGAAATCCCGATTGCGAGGACGCTTCGGACGAGGCAAACTGTCGCAGGGCTTGTCAGGGCAACGAGTTTAGGTGTCACAATAACGACTGCGTGCCGAATCATCTGCGCTGCGACGGTAGACGCGATTGCTCCGACGGATCCGACGAACTAGAGTGTGGTAAGTTGGTACAGTTACGTATCTACACCGGCAGAACTGAATATCATTAAACAAATTGCACTGAACAACGGCTACAATCCGTCCATTATCTATAAAATTATAAATAAAATACAAATCCACACAACAGTAAACTCTATTCATCCGAAACCTAACACAGAACACGAACAATTTTAAACAATTGCATATATAGGACAACCCAGTGAAAAAGTTTCAAAACATTTGTTAAAATGTGGTGTAAAAATAGCTTTCAGAACTAACAACACAATAGGAAAATTTTTAAAAAACAATAAAACGAAGTGTCCAAAATTTATATTCGACAAACAGGTAGATCCTTCAAGAAACGCATTAACGAACATAAAAGAGAGTTTAAAAACAATAGGCTATATTCTAATTATACTACACACTTAAACACAGAAAAACACATTTTTGACGACAATTTTGATATTTTACACACAGCCACAAAAAGTAGAAAATTAAATTTATTGGAAGCCATGGACCTTAACAAAATGAGACATTAAATATGTATTGCTTAACGACCAATTAGATTTAAATACCTCTCCATTATTAAACGTAAATTCTCACAACATTAATTAAGATTTTATTGTCATTAGTTTGTAAATATGACATTTGATTAAGACACGGTGTTGTCAAAACAATTGTCATGTGAATATATATATATATATATATATATATATATATATATATATATATATATATATATATATATATATATATAATTTCGTGAAAATGTGAAATTTTAGTTCTTATTGTTGATATTCATCTTATTATTTTTCGAAGGGGATCAAATGATCTCATAGCTGACGTTACTACGTTTTGACATCATTACCCATTTTTAATACTTATTATTAAAAATTAGGTTGCACTTATTTTTTGGATAGCTTTGAGGGTGCCACTAATTCGCAGAACACTTTCAAAATAGTCACCAAATTTTTTCTCCATCGTCGACTCCTGGTTACGAAGTTATACGGGGCATTTCGAAATTCTGGGTCAATAGTTTTGTGATAAATTTCGAAGCGTCCCGCACTTTTTGTTGTATTTCAAAGTGACCGACATACGTTTTTAAAATGAAATTATGTTGTTTTCTGGCCAATCCGGTCAGGGGCATGCGAAGAGCCCGACTGGTTTCGATGCAAAGATGGCGCCTGCATAGACATCATATTCAGATGCGACAATTTCTATGACTGCAGAGATTTTTCAGACGAACAGAATTGCCTCGGTTAGAGCAACCACAGTATAAATTTTGTGTATTTTTTACTGTGTTGTTTTTGCGACGAAAGGTTCTGCTAGTAAATACTTGAACTATTATCGATTTGGTAATATTTATACCAAATTTGATACTATTATTAGAGAACCTTTTTACATTATATTGCCATAGAATTGCGTAGAGAGCAGTGAATGTAGAAATTAAATATAAATGTGGTAATTTTTTCTTTCCAGTAGGAGTTGCGGAATATAGTCCTAGAATTCGATGTGTAACAAAGTCTCGTGTAAATGTATATATAATGTTGTCTTTTCTATAATTGTTTCTCTAGATGTTTTTTTTTTCGTTATATGCATCGCACGATTTAATTTCGTTATTTTTTTAAATAATATTATAAACTATTAAACAGGGTGAAATACAATACACGGATACAAAATTTAAAAAAAAACACGAAATTTAGCAAAATGACTTTAGAATAGTAGTAAATGCCCACAAAATCACAAATCAGTCAGTATTATCATTTTGAGAAATAATAAACCTGATAGAGTCTTAAACAATGTAGTAAGATATAGATTTTGTAGTCTTCTTTCTAAACTTTCTAGTAGCTCTGCCTTGATTGAAACACACAAATCTGAGTCGATTGATGAATCGAACTTGCTGACGTTTCGCCAATCATCCGGTCGGCTTCTGTAGACTGTACATTGGCGATACTTTTCTTATACACCCTAATGTACATGTTACTATTTAATTATTTTTCTTGTTGGGTCATTAGTCATTCGGTCATTGAGTTTACAGAAAAGCTACACACATCGGTTATCAACGCTCGTGTGCCACAAAACTGTCCCAACCTGATTCACTTTACTCAGAATCACATCTGCTCTTCTCCCAATTAATTTCTGCTTTAGAGATATTAAGCGTTATATTAATGAGCCCCAAAGCAACCACATAAGTGACGCTATGGACCCTCCTTACATTGAAAACATATCACTAGTTCTTATAAATTAAAAAAACTAGATTTACCACTTATCAGAAACTATCAAGATATTCGATCCAACAAAGTCAAAATTCGTTTTGATACACCAGAAGTTCGCAACAATCCGTACTGGTAAGGATATATTGTTGAGACACGCAAGAATGCCTATGGTGACTAACAACAACCTTCTCAACTGCTATAAAACTAACTACACTTTTCAGTTGTTTATTTATTGTCACTTTGACCCCCTGAAAGATCTAAAAATGGAGTTTACAACATTCGATAGGCGAAAAATATTAGCTAGACTTGAAGAACACGGAAGTATTGCCGAACGTAACCAAGAAATCAGACATCAAATATCATTCGATTAAACTAAAATTGTTACATCATGTAATCAGTTCTTCTTCCAATCAAAAATCGAAGAATCCATAAAAATTTCAGTAATCAACCAAACAATCTTAACAGTTTAACAAGTTTCAGTTAAGTTCGGAAGTAGCCAGTATGATGATTAGCGAAATATCAGCAGCAAGTCCGGAAGATTTGTAAATGGTATTATAGTAGCCAATGGAGGTTTGGTTGACAGTATCCAAAACTAACCAAAGTGGGAATCGCATCCCATAATGAAATCAGGTCAGAAATGCAACATGTTCTTTAGTCACTTCTTACAAAATTACTTTTTGAAAGTACCGTTGCACCTTTCGTGTGCTTTACTTTTACATTTATTTTTGTTTGAATTTAATTGCGTTATTTTTCGCATGCTGCACCACCGTTATATTTATTTTCGTTTGTCTCTATTTATTTATTTTCTTTTTTGTTTCTTTTGTTCCCGTTTTCGTATACAGCTTGTCCCAGCGATAAGTTCCAATGTACGAACGGGCAATGCGTAGAGGGCTACTTACGCTGCGACAGGACGCCCGACTGTAGTGACGGGTCGGACGAATATAATTGCCCATACGTTACACCCGAAACAACCACCCGTCCTTATTTGCCACCAGGACCGACCGGACGACCGGACGCGATCAGCTGTCCGGACGGTTATGTCCACTGCCTAAGCGGAAACCAATGCGTGGAGCGGAATCGCCTTTGCGACGGACGCGTCGATTGCAACGATATGTCCGACGAGTCATCTTGCAGTAAGTAGATACCGACTCTGTTCTCTGTTACGAAATTTTAAAAGTTATAACTCCACAACGGCTTGAGCAAGAGTGCCTAAATTTTCACCTTTTCAAATACGAAAGAAACTTATTATGTCGATTAAATAAGAACTCCATGAATAGAACACAAAGTGTTCAAGATCTTCTATTATGGATATGAGTTTCGACAGAGTATTGGATAGCATATTTCATAGAGGAATGACATTGAGCCAGGTCAGAAAAGGGAAACATTTTTTAAAGATTATAAATGTCAAATGTTATCTTTTAGCAAAATGAAAAGCTTCAAAATAGGTTTTTATCGGGTATTATTTTAAAAAGACACATAGTTTCTTCTCAACGAAACTCTCAGTCATATTTTGATAATTAACACAAAGTTAACCCAAGATTAAAATAGTTGGAACTTTAGATAGGATTAAGGTAATTTATAACATTTGAAACACCATTTAGGCAGAAAGAGCGGAGGTTGTAATAGAAACGAATTCAGGTGCGAAAACGGACCCTGTATAAGAATGGAGCTGAGATGCAACGGACACGTGGATTGTCCGTATGATACGAGCGACGAGCTAGATTGCGGTTCACGTAGGTCCAATACGGATTGTTATACGAATTATATTTAATAATGCATTTTGGCGTATGCTCCTTATTTTTAATAAAATTTCGAGAGTTGATAGATTATCCTTATTTTTTTCAGGAGCTTCAGATTTTGCATACAAAGAACTAATATGTTTAATATATAATTGTTCATTGAAAATTCTACACAATGTTCGCTTTGATTACCTTTAATCTTTAAGTTTGAAATAATCAAGTGAAATGAAATTAAATAATTATTATTTTATACATCACTTTTAATTGCGCTCCTTCGAAATTTGATATATTTAAATGGAACGAATTGGATGTATAACACGCATGTTATACTTTGTCTTGTATATTGAACAATTACGATTAATATAAAAACTAAAATTGTTTAATGTTTTATCAAAAATTACGGACAATTACGAAACACTGACTAAGTCCGAATATTTTTTCAGTTGGAACTTCCGACGGCCTCCTCCTTAAAACGTATCCATCACAACAGGAAATCAAAGAAAGTGAGTACAGATCCGAAATCCACAAAAAAATGTTTAAACTTGTTTTAACACAATCGGAATCTCCTTTCTATATATATGCACCAGTAACTAATTTGTTTTTGTCTTGTCCCTATGTGTTTTCTGGAGCAGACATTTATAAACTGGGTGAGTAAAGCTTTCCCGTTATAAAGGGGGATTGCAGGCGAAATTGATCACGCTACATCGGTTGGTTTGTGTTTTCGACCATCGTCCATCAACGATATTAATTTACATTCTTAGCGTCGTTATTATTTAATACATTTTACTTATATGGCCTGTAACAATGACATCATCAAACAGAGAAGTCAGTGATCAAACAGTGAAAAAACAATTGGCTGTCCACCATAAAACCATTCTTGCGTTTTAAACAACTCTCTACCTATTTTGGGATATATGTGGTTTCAAATCGTCAAAAGTCGCAACAAATTTTACTCTGAAAAATACATTGGAAATGTGGAAACATTTAGAATGGGGTCGATATATTATTGTCTCAGATATTCAGGGCTTCTCTTTCGAATATAATGTCATTGATTTCCATCATGGTAAAGGATATTAAATCATTCATACTTAACGTATTGGCTGATTGTGAGTTATTCACACAATATTCATAAATTTATTAAAGTTAACATTGAAACGGCTTGAACATTTTAATACCTTTTACTAATAAATCTTGATGCGAGCCTGCTCCTAACTTCGCTAACTGCCGTTTCCGCGATTATAGACCGGGAAGTTGTGTTCCAATGCCGTGACGAGGGACCACTTCGAGCTAGAGTCCAATGGACTAGGGCCAACGGGCAACCATTACCGCCCGGTTCGAGAGACATCAACGGTCGCTTGGAAATGCCCAACATCAGATTGGAACATGGCGGCACTTACGTGTGCTCGGCGGTGGGCTACCCTCCCAGAACTCCCGGGGCTCAAGTGGCTGTTCAATTGCACGTGGAAAAAGGTGAGATTATATAAACTGACTAACTTCTTATTGGTAACGGCGGACGGATTTGGGATTTGGGAAAACATTTAGTGCTGGGGTTTAGCTAATAGGTTTACTTAATAAATTGCTGCCCGCTGGTTCCATAAGGCAAGAAAACTCAGTCGTCAATTTTGAAATACGGAAACTTGGCGCCATTAGATACAGAGTACCACGGAACAGGTATATTTTTAATTACCATAAGTATTTCCTTTTCTTAATCTATTCGTTCGTTATTGCGGCTTTCGTTGCTCGATATTGGTAAGTAATGCTAACAAAACATGTATTAACTATTTTACTGAATATTGAATGTGTATTGAGAGGGTCGCTAGAAATTAATACAATAGCAATACATATCGCGCGACCCTCTACAGTTCTGAGTATAGTCACTCTCCGAAATAACAATCATTTGATCATTGCGATGATTTTGTAATTGCGGAAGCAATTCAAGGTACTTGGGGCTTCAATTGCATTCTAAAGGTTTTATTGATTATTTGAACTATTTACAACGGTTGGCTCGATGGTGTACTTTAGCGTTTCATCGCCGAAAAGCGTCAAACGCTAAAGATTTTGACTAAAGTTGGTTTGTAAGTATATAGCTATTGAATTTCAACTCTGGTTTTTCAAAAATTCTTTTTTTATTATTATTATTGTAATTTTTATTTTTTTATCCTTTTAACTGAATTTTCGCTATGACGCCTTCCAACATTCCTCTTATTTTTTCTACAAGCAAACCTATAATTCAGATCGGCATTTTTTATTAAAAAATTTGTCGTGGAATTTATAATAAATTAATCAATGTTCTAAGAGTTGCTTATATGTAAATGAGTTAACTTTTATCTGAGGACTTTCAGTTTTTCGGGATTCGCTACAGCGTGACTAATATTATAGCTGACCCTCTACCGCGTCCCGTACCCACAGCTTGCGGACTGAACCAGTCTACTTGTTCCAACGGCGACTGCATTTCGAAGAATCAAGTATGCGACGGCCGATACGACTGTACCGACGGATCAGACGAAAGCCGATGTAGTACGTCGCTACCCGTGTAAGCTGCATAGCTTCCGATATTAACCGAATGTTCCGTAGGCTTACAATGCGAACCTAACGAGTTCAAGTGCGACAACAAGAAGTGCGTCATCAAAACGTGGGTCTGCGACGCCCAAGACGATTGCGGCGACGGTTCTGACGAGGCGGGATGCGCGCGAACCATCCCCGGGTCGGACTGCGGCGCGCATCAGTTTAGGTGTCACCGAGACGGTCTTTGCATACCGAAAGCGTTCCACTGCGATGAAGAACCTGACTGCGGCGACCGAAGCGACGAAATCGGGTGTGGTAAGTAGAACGCTATACTCCATCGTTACGTCACTTGTAGCTCAATCGCTGCAGGTCACCGTCTAACCGGTTCTCGGTGCCACTGGTCGACCACTTAGCAACGGTCGTTCGCAATATTCTTTTTACCAGACCATTTTCGCTCAGTTCTTGAATCGCAACGAGACGGCGGTTCGTATTTCATGAATTCGCTTAGCGTGGATCGTTCGCTCAGTCGCGTCCCAATTCGCTCATCTCTTAGTCGTTTTATTCCGATTGAAAGTTACCATTGCAGCAGTTGATGCACTGGATCAGCGCCTCGCAATAGCTCTCACACACTTAGCAACGATCTATTGCCAAGTCGTTTCGCTTAAGATCATCGCGCAGATATTTAATAAAAGCCTTTTACACAGTAGCCCATGGTTTACTTTGATCTTTGAGATGACTTTCCGCGTAATAAATTGCACCTATTCTTCGCTCAAAGTGACTGTCGTGCTCAAAATCCAGTTGAATCGGACTACCTCTCATTTGATTTCATCCCGTCATGCATTGAATTGTCGCTTCTCGAGTGCAGTTCGCACGGTCATCGCCCAGTTATTTGAACAAAGCTGATTTGCATTGCAACAGCTTAGTCGCTTCACCATGGTTGTTGATCAGCAGCTTAGCAACTTAGTAACTTATAGTCGCTTTGTGACGGGTGCTTCTGGAATCGCTACGATATAATTCGTCACTGAGTCGGTTTGCAGTGGATCAAGTCGATTAACGGCGACAGCTCACTCAGTCGCTTGGCAAAGTTTCTTGAATCACTACAAGGGGGCTGTCACTAAATCGCTGTTCCTGCTTTGCGATGACTTTAAATTTAGTTGAATCGATCCATCACTTATTTGTTGAAGATGTGCATTACATCCCTCGAAGCATTGGATCATCGTCGCGTAAGAACTCTTCATACGGTCTCTTAGCAACGATCTCACGCCAAGTCGTTTCGTTGAAGCTCATCGGTCAGGTATTTCATCAAAGCTTCGCAATGGCTGATGATTGTTAGTTTCGCATTTTATCTTCTTCTTTTGCAAGTGTTATGATCGATTCAATAGTTGTCCTGAGGTCGGCTATTAGAACAGTTATTATCGTTTTGTCCATTTCAGAATCTGAGGTTTTTCAACCAAGATATTATGTTGTTCTTTGTCCTACACTTCCTTTCCCCCTAATTTTCCCCTGGATTATGAACTGTAGTAGACTGTATTTTTTTCCTGTCTCGTAACATGCCCAAAGTATTCAAATGCTTCTATTCTCTTCAGTAAAGCTTCTATGACCATCCATGCTTCAACTCCATACAGGAACATAATATTGGAGAATTCTGATTTGGTTATTCGGTTAGCAAATTCATGTATTGGATTCTATTTTTCATTCATCCTAACGGAGACAGGACGTATTCTTATCTCGCTTGATCTGGCTTCTTCTGATAGTCGATCTCCTAACCGTTTATTTGCTTTTGTTATGTCTGACTTCAATTCAAATCTGTACACACAGGTAAACGTGATAGTTTACATCCCGACGATAGTTAATACCTGTGTACTAAACAGCGCCAAACAATTCCTGGATCCAAATTGAATGTTCTCCATTTTACTATAAGGTTTCTTATAACATGGACTATAGTTATATTCGATTATAGTAACAATATTTTTTGGGCTTGTTTTTCTTATAAATTGTTCTAAAAGTCTGTTTAAAACATTCTGATGGTATTTTTCCAGTACTGTACATTTGTATACTATAGTGAGCGTTTTAAGCCTATGCTCCGATTATTTTTCGTTTCCGTGCACGTGTCATCTGATCTTGTTGACCTATAATTAATGCAATGGTCATCACCAGTTATTTGCAAATGATTCTTGCCCTCTTTAAACAATCCGGTTATATATTCTTGCCATTTTTTTACTTGTTTTTCTATGTTCAAAATCATCTTCTCCTGTTTATTCTCAAGACCCTTTGGTGACCGATTTTATCTTCACTCAATTATGTCAATAAATCAAAACGAGGACTCAGATGCTTCGCAACGTTTTTCTCTCATCATAATTTTATAAATTATTAAACTGGTGAAATCTCTTGGCTAAAGCTATCCAAAATTTATTAGATTTAAAAACAAGCGAATAGGAATAATTATTTTTTATTGTCTCAGCTAAACCAGTGGTCTCGCGACCTCCGCCTCAAATGGTAAAACTCCAAACCGGACAAACGTTCGAGATATCATGCCGAGCGGTGGGCGTGCCCACCCCGCAAATCGTGTGGCGCCTGAACTGGGGCCACATCCCTCCCAAATGCAAAACACGCAGCAATGACGGCGAAGGGGTCCTGGTTTGCGAGGATATCCAAGTTGAGGATCAGGGCGCGTATTCCTGCGAAGCGATCAACACCAGAGGCACCACGTTCGCAGTACCGGACACCATTTTGATCGTCAACCAAGAATCCGTCTGTAGATCAGGATATTTCAACGTGGACGCCCGATTGGAAAGCGAATGCATCAAGTGTTTCTGTTTCGGACACACTACCAGCTGCAGATCTGCGGACTTGTTCGTGTTTCAGGTACCGTCAACCGCTCTTTATGATAATTGGGTGATTTGTTCAATTCTCCATGCCCAATCTTAATCTGTTGTAGTTCCAGCCGCCTTTTGATGTCCTAAAGTTGTTGGGTGCTCGAGTCGATCCCTACACGGGAGTAGTCGACATTAGGGATGAACCAATCTACAAGGGGGCGCAGCCTCATCTTCAGCCCGTCGGCGCTAATGGCGTCTACTCTTCGCTCCAACGTTACGGCGAACTGATACAGCCCGACGTGGTTCCCTATTTCGCCCTGCCGGAGAATTACCACGGCAATCAGCTGAAAAGTTACGGGGGTTATCTGCGTTACAGCGTAGCCCACGGAAACCGAGGTCGACCTCTTCCAGGACCCGACGTTATTTTCACCGTAAGTGGGAAACCGGATTTTAGATTTATTATGTCATCGATTAATTTTATTAACCAATAAATTTAAAACAATTAAAAGAACAACTGAAAAGTTATCCCTCTGAGTTAACTGACTCAACTCACACTAAAAAATATGTTTTGCAATGTTTTATTTATTTATTACACAAAACTGAACCAGCATATGTTTTGTTTGTGGAACGTAGTTTTCGATTTACATTTGTTTCGCAATATATGGTCTGGTGAGAGTCATAATTGCATCATTTTAATAGCGTGTTGGTAAAGAATAAAAGGGTCTATTAGAAAAACCATTCGAACTAATTTGCCTTACATTGCGAGACAAAACAAAAATTTCAGAATTTTTTTGACCTAATAAATTTTAAGCAGGGTGTTAATATGCTTTTTAAAAATATTTTTTTGGACGTGTTATATATTTTTTGCCCAATACCAAACAAAATTTATTTAGCTTGAGGCATGTCCTTGTTCTATTCGCATTCGCTTCACAATTTGTGCGACGGAAAACACAAATTTCAAGATATTCTTGATTAAATCAATTTTAAAATGTAATGTAATATGTTTTGCTTGTGCACAATCCTTATTCGCATTCACCCAAATTGAAGTAATTCAAAATAGTTTATTTAGGAAAAAACTGATATCTTATTGTAGATAATAAATGTCAGAGAAACAAAAAATAATCTGGTCTAAAGTATCAGCTATGTATGACCAAAGCAGGGAATACGTTTTGCCTTGTTCGAGCATTATCAGATAAATCCAATAAATACTCAATGAAACCAAGTAAAAAGATCGGTTTGCCTTAAATCTGTCTAAACGTAAAACAATGCAATCAAGACGTTTGGGTCTAAACAAAAAAAAACGCCACAATTTAATAACTTAAATTTAAGGTGACATCCAATGACAAACTTAGCAACAACAATCGTTAACGTTAGCTACCGTAAAAAGGAACAGACGAAAAAGACGAAAAATAAACGATAGATGCTAATGACAACGAGTAGTACCGTTATAGACGGCGTTAGCGTTACTGGCTTTATTAAAACTAAGATGCTTTTCAAATAAAACCTGATCGTTACCGATCTCCATATTTTCTGGTAAAACTAGCTCTCTCCCCTTGTCACAAGTGTCATGTGAAAATGAGAGACCGTAAACTCAGATAAACTGTAGCCTTTGATTCCTTGCATGTGCAGGACATTCTGTGCGTTTCATTTTACAAGCACGGAGGACGTCAAAAGGGACAGTTTGTGTTTCGTTGTTTCTAAATGTTTTCTTAAGGTGTTAGTTATTTTCAATTATTAGAAAAACATCCCAAATGGTTAGAAATTGTCTTTGTGATTCATAATTAACATGTTTAATATAACCACATTGAATATATACTTGTATCCTTAGACGTACTTAAAATGTATTAATGGATTTAGGATTTATTGTATGTTATGATTATGGTCAAGTTCTTATTCTAAGCCTCTCTTGGCAATCTATTAAAGGCAGAATTGAAAGTAAAAAAAATTAGTTGAGATCGAGGAATCCTTTCTTCTGGTTCAGAGAGAGAGAGAGACTCATTCACCAACGCATTCCAAAGTAAACAGGTATCGTCCGTAGTCACCATTACCACAAATTCTGCGATACTTTATACTAATACCCCATAGGTATAGAAACAAACGATAAAGAGTAATCTGTAATCAGGGCAACAACTATGTGCTGCTGCACGAGTCCAGGCAATCTCCTCAACCATATGGTACGACCACCATGCAGGTGAGATTCTTCGACGGCGATTGGATTATCAAATCGGATAGGGCGCCGCAACATCCCGCGACGCGTGAAGAAATAATGATGGCCCTGGAAAACGTAACCAACATACTCATCAAGCTCGAATACAACGAGGGCATCCTCAATACCACCCTGTCGAATATCGAAATGGATTCCGCCGCGAAACCGGACAGCGGGCTGGGTACGGCAAACTACGTCGAGGAGTGCTCCTGCCCTGTTGGCTACACTGGTTTCTCCTGCGAGGTAGAATCTCATCGTTTGGTGGACGGATATGTGGTATGTTAATTTCCAGAGCTGCGCAAGTGGGTACGTGAGACACGAATCTGGACCATGGCTCGGTCAATGCTATCGGGAGCCGCCGGTATGTCCGCAGGGTAGTTACTACGACGGCACCGACTGTCAGATTTGTCCGTGTCCGCACACGAACCCCAGTAACCAGTAAGTAAAATCGTGTTTGTGGTATATAGGTTGAATGGACAACAAGAGTGCTGTGGATTTTATGAATGATGTTGGAGGAATGAAAAAAAAATTATATAAAAAGTTATGCGAAACTGATTAACTTGGAGTATTGCAGATGAGATGTAAAACAATGAGCAGTAAGGTGTGTGACTTTCGATGTGTGGTTATCGCGGTGAAGTGTGAGTTTAAATATGAATATCTGAGTGCCTTAAATAATCACCCATCAATAAATAATACAAATAAATAAACAAATACTATTTATCAATGTTCTGGAGTCCTCTTGTGCCGGTTCTACTCTGTAACTGCTTAAATATTGTTTGAGGGAGACGGAGTTAAGGGAGGGACGTCAACATTATTTCGGATGATTGCCATTTAGTAAAAGGTAAAGACCTGAGTCGCTTTTCAGTTTGTTTGGTTGTCTAGAGACTTCTAATGATTATCAGATTTGATTTCTGGTATCAGATTGGAGTTCGATAACTGCTACTAAGTTTATTTGTACTAAGTCTTTTTCATTATCTTTTAACCAAGCGATATTTTCCGGCCTACTGAAATCTAGACAACCAAACAATCTCAACGGAGACTCAGGTCTTTCAACCAATATGGGAATCATTCATTTCAGACCACGTTCATGTTCGCTCTTTAGCTCCGCCCCCTCAAACAGTAAATAGGAAGGTACCGAGTAGAATGCAAGCCAGTTTATGATATGGTGTGAAGGAGCCTACAGTAAGAGTAATATCCTGCACCTCGATTCAAAGTTACATTTTTAAACCATTTTGAAAAAAAATAAACAAAGCCTCTAAATTGCTGATCAGCCATTGCAAGGTCGTGGGATATCCCAACATAATTAAAATGTTACATCATTTCTATGTCAGGTAGAATTTGGAATACTGCAACTTGGATTAAGAATTATTAATATTTTATGGAAGAAATTGGAAGAATTAAAAATAAAATTGTAAGATATCTTCAATTTAAAACTTGTGGCATCTATCCAATTTTTTCATAGTATACGGATTTCATTCGAATTCAGCAACACTACAACAAAGACGTCTACAACACTACTGTGTGCTTAATTTATATATTTTTTTTTGTATAATTTATTTTTTCTCTAGTTAAAGTATTATCAAGGTTCAACAGAAATTGCTTCTATTTATCTAAGGCTAAAACGAATGTAATGCTTTTTTCTCCAACCTACGGAATGGTGAACTCGGTTTATGAACATTGATTTTTCTAATAATATTCATATTCTTCTGTGCTTCAACATTATTTTTTATCTTTTTTTTTTAGTTGAAATTGTAGTTTTTTTTCTTATTGTAGGGTAGTGAAAACAGTTTTTTTTGTGGTTTACACATTGCAGGGTTGCGATAACTTGTTACTAGGGCCTATAAGTCTTTGGGTAATATTTTTTAGAATTTTGATCTGCCATTGCTAAATTGTACTGTTGAAACGTCTAAATAAATAAGTAATAGACAATTTAAAAATTTTGGGAAGACGTATTACCATGACATTTGCACCATAGACGTACCTATAATTGGCTTTTAGATTCGCTCGGACCTGTCACCTCGGATCCGACGGAAACGTAGTCTGTGACTGCCAAGCAGGTTACGTCGGTCTAAGATGCGAACAATGCGACAGGGGTTATTCGGGCAACCCCTTAGTGACGGGAGATTTTTGTCGCCCGGAGAGTCACTGCAGCATCGAAGGATCAACCGGGACCGACGTTGACGGTAGATGTGTGTGCAAGGTATGTCATCCTAATTGTACGATGTAAGTGTGATTCGATTAAAAATGTAACCCTTATTTTTTGCTCTCTGTGCGTTGCGCGTTCAATCGATTATCGGTGAGTGAACTTTCCCTACACACAAAAATTAAGACACCTTTAAGATGAAGATGGAATGTTGCCGCAAACTTCCTTGAAGCGTTATATTAAAAATAAACTCGGCAACATTACATTTCTGCTTATCGTCTACACTGTAGAGGGTGACCCGTTTATGAGGCACCACTGCCTTATCCAAAGAACTAGAAGAGATTGAACAAAAAGTTAAATACAAAAGTTGTTAAAATTAATTTGACTTTCATTTATTATATACTAGAGTTATTTCAAATGTATGTAAATATTGATTTAGAAGGAGGTGTTCAGCAATGTATATATAACAGTATTTAAACGCAGCGTTTCGAAATAATTGACGTTCATCTTCATTATTGGCCCGATTTGTAAACTGATTTTTCTAAGTGTTTCAATATTTGCGTATAAAAAAGATTCGCTTCGCAAAACTTGCATTTTAAATTAAAAAAAAATTCACATTGTTGACGCATTATCAGTTTCCAATTTTTTTTTCATTGCAAACCCAAGTATATTAGGCTACGTCTAGATAGATTACTGAAAAACGAATTCAACTATATATAATATTAGGAGTCTAAAAATCACCTGAATTATTGGTCATTATCTTCAGTATGGAGATTATTCTCCAAAATGATTTACAAAGCACATTTTCGAGCAATGACTGTAAAAAATGAATATACGTGATACATTTAATTATGAATTTTGATGAAGTATTAGTGCCCCCATTAAAAACAAATGATTTATAAAATGGAAGTTAAAAACTTAAAAAACATCTATTAAGGATTCTCCAACATTATTAGAACAATCAACAATTATTTAAGAAGATGTTCTATATGACCTCCATTTTGGGCAATATATGAAATGTATGTATACTGAAGTCCTTTAGGTATTTGGTCTCTGTGGTTGCACTAGATCTTTAAAAGTACCCCATAAAAAAATTTAGTGTGTTGACCAATTCGTTCCCTGTACATACTTCAAGATACTATGACAGGACTATAACGGTAAGGAGTACCATCTTGTTGCCAAAGTAAATTTCCTCGTGTTTCCGCTAGTATTAAATCACCAATTTCGCAGCAATTGATGATACCGCCTGGAATTTAAATTACCTTCAAAAAATACTGGTTTAAAAATTTAGTTTTTCTGGATCGCCTACGATCGATTTGTTAATTTCAATGACATTTTTCTTGCTTTTCGGTTTTCACTGAATTAGTCAGTCCATATTATGTCATCAAAAATATTTTCTTGTAAATTTCAATCCATTAAAATATTGCACCTTCACAAACTTCCATTTATTAAATCGGAGGCAACGTCGCAGCGTTGTTCTTTTAATATTGAGATTCAAAGATGCTTGCATGGTGGTTGTTTCCGGACTGTCTTCAAATTGCAATACAATAACTAGCGGCTTTTCTTGACTAGGTATCTGACGATAGATTTTGTTAAATGTTTTTTCGCTGCAATGGCAATTTATCCATGCAGTTTCTATGCTTCACTTTTATTTCTTAATAAATAACATACAATATAAATTTTCTCTTCCATAGTAAACATTATGAACGAAAAAAAATTAACTAATTAAGAAAAATATATAATACTGTAAATATTTGATGACGGAAACGTCAAAATTGTTTATTATTAAAAGAATAATTTTTGCTGTCAAGACTTGCTATCGCATAATTCATAGCTATTGGAGAATTGAAGCTGCACGTTTTAAATGTATGTATTCTGAGTGAATTTTATTTGCTCGGTACTGATAATAATTCAGAAACGGTGATTAGTAGAGCCCTCATGATGCGCGAAATATGGCAACACTGTAAGATTTTTTCATTTAAAAATACAACTTTTGCAAAATAGGTAAATGACAATTGCATCTTTATGTACACGTAAAGAGAATTTGAAAAAATTGCAATCAATCTATCTAAATGAGTATTAATTACTATAAATCAGTATTAATAAGCTTTGTTCCATTTGGAATAAAAAAGGTGGTGGTGGCCACGGCGAAACGAGTGACGCTGTATATATGAAAAATATAAAAAATGAAGAGTACACATTCAATACTAACTTTTTGTTTAATTTCTTTTAGTAGTAAAGGACGGTGTCGCACTGTACAGCCACTGTACACCATTCCCCACTAACATTTTTCGCAAATTAAGGTTTAATTATATGGTTATATGGTTAAAGGTTTTTTTTATGAGCGACTTACTAGAAACCTTAGCTTCTATAACAGTTTTTATAGTAGTATGAGTAAACAATTAGTGTTTTGTAGACCATCCACTAAATACCAAACTACTTTAGGTTTTGCAATATTGCATCGTTATCTTTATCTAAGAAAGCTTTTCTGTTGGTTACTTCTGATTTTTTAAAAAACTTACTACGAAACCTTGAAGACCTTACTATATAAATGTTACTTTTCCTCTGTAAAAGCACTTAATAAATATTCTCCATGAAACACAAAGTTTGCTATAAAATATTTTCGTGTTTACAAAAATATATTACCGGCTATGTGCTAGGCTGGTAAAGTAACACCGTGTTAGGTTCTAATGCCGTGTTTTAACAATTTCTCTCATTTCTACAATTTTAAAAGGGCAAATAAATTTTATAAAAGTCTCGAAAGTGTTTAATATTTCTCGAAAGTCCATACTAGCTTGCCAATAAGGTCCCAAAAAGCGAAACTGGTAAAAATGGCATCCTTTTATATGGCGCTAATTCTTCCGTTGTTTCGGGTTAGTAAAGACCCACAAGGAGAAAAGAGACAATTGCCTTTTGAGCAATATTACTTAAACTTGAAAAAAATGCGATTAAAAAATGTAACCAAATTGCAAAAAATACATTTATTCAAAACAAGGTCGCGTAAGTTTTAAGAAGGTTAGAATATAAAATATAAACACTGTAAGGAGGTTTGACAATCTTAATAAAAATGCACTTGCCAGTGTAACGGAAACCTCTTACATGGGGAGTAAAAGTTATATGCTATATTTAAAAAAAGAAACAAAAGCATTTTGCGAACAATTGTTAGTTGGGTTCATTCCCCGTTTAACGGCTTTGTTCACTACATTTACGCTTCAGGAATTCACTCACGGTCCATCTTGTAACCAATGCAAGCCCAACACGTTCTACTTGAGCACCAGAAACCAGTTCGGCTGCATATCGTGCTTCTGCATGGGTGTGACTCAGCAGTGTTCCAGTTCAAACTGGTACAGGGATACGGTAAGCCCTATCTCTAAACGCTAGGTACCTATAAGTTAACTCTTCCTTATTCCCAGCTGAGCTCGTACTTCACAACATCAACGCTAGAATTTAAACTAGTAGAAGATATCGACAAAGAAGCTCCTATCTCATTGGGCATTCGTCTCGACAAAGACAGCAGGGAGATAGCTTACAGTTCGTTCTCCAGACCGAACGTGTATTATTGGTCTCTGCCTAGGAAGTACTTGGGAGACAAAGTAACGTCTTACGGTGGGTACCTTAGGTACACCATCAGGAATACCCCGGTGCCAGGCGGCGCCAGTTCCAGGAACAACGCTCCAGATGTCGAACTAGTTAGCGTAAGTATATTTTTGGCTTATTAAGCAACTACGTGCAATAAGTGAATTTTTCATAGAAATAATATATGCGCAGTGGAAATTTGAAGTACCTCTGTTTTTTTTCTCTTTGCAAGTAATTGTCATGCAAAAATATGTTGTTTTTTTTACTTAGGCCAACAACATCAACCTGTTGCATTTTTCAAGCAACGCGTCCTCGTCGTCCAACTCTCAAACATTTGTCGTGCCTCTTTTGGAGCAATATTGGCAGAGAAACGACGGCCTAAGAACCGACAGGGAACACCTACTGATGGCTTTGGCCGACGTCAGTGCCATCTACATCAAGGCGACATACTTTACCAACACGCAAGAAGCGGCGTAAGTTGTGCTTTTTACCAGTTATTTAGCGGCCTAGGTATTTGTCCCCATTGTTGCTAATAATCTCTTAATATTTTTAACGACAGAGACAGCAAGAACTCAAGTTTGTATTATGGTAAGGGGTGTTTTTTTTTCAATGTATAGAACTTCAAGTTGCAATAAAACAACGATGGATTATTGGATTGACATGAATTTTATTTATCCGAAAGATAATCTTGTGGCATTACATTTTAAATATGACCGCCACGGCTGGCGCGAAAGTAGTCCAATCTGCAATAACACGGCGAATGTTGTCTTCCAAATGGTCAAGCGTTTGTGGCTTATCCGCATAGACCAATGAAAGAGTTAGTAATCATAGCTCTATACCAATCACCATTGAATGTAACGTTCTGACCATCATCGTTTTTGAAGAAGTAAGGACCAATGATTCCACCAGCCCATAAAGCGCACCAAACAGTCAGTTTTTCTGGATGTAACGGTGTTTCGACATACACTTGAGGATTAGCTCCAAATGCGGCAGTTTTGTTTGTTGACGTAGCCATTCAACCAGAAGTGCGCTTCATCGCTAAACAAAATTCGCTTATGAAAATCGTGAACAACGGCAATCTCGTTTTGGGCCCATTCGACGAATCTACGCCTTATTTGATGATCGTTGGGCTTCAATTCTTGCACGAGTTGGATTTTGTAAGCACGTAAACCAAGATCGTTCCGCAAAATCTTCCATAAAGTGGATGGGCACAGATCCAATTCCTGTGCTCGATGGCGAATGGACTTATTCGGGTCTTCCTCAATGCTACGCTCTACAGCAGCAATAGCTTCTTCTGTACGTACTGTACGGCATCTCTGGGGATGCGAGTTATCAATAAGAGTAAACGTGGTGCGAAAACGTTCTATGGTTAATCCAATTAACTGCTCTGATGGACGATTTTGGCGACGATAAAATGGAAGTAGTGCGCGATACGTATTCCGCACAGAACCATTATTTTCGAAATAAAATTGCACTATTTGCAAGCGTTGTTCAGGCGTGAGTCTATTCATGATGAATTGCCAAACCAAACTGAGAATAAATCACTTGACAGATGTTAAATCGGTCGCCATCTTGAACAGTAATGCCAACTTAACTTCTATAAATCGAAAAAAAAAAACACCCATTATTATAGTTACTTTCTCCTGATTTTCCAGATTACTGTTTGACCAAACCGTATTGGCTTAGAATAGGTGTGCTGCTTAAAATGCTGGAACTGTTTGAAAATATATTCAAATTTGATTTTAAAAAAGTTTTTGTGTTTCAAGTAAGTGTATCTAAAAAATTAAAAATTAAAAATCGATTGTGTAGGCAAATTTTTGAGAAATAAGTCAGAATTTGTGAGAAACATGTGAGAGTTTCTAACTTGAGTCAGAGTTATTGAGAAAAAAATCAGATTTATTACATAGTTCATATGTCAGAATTTCTGATTTAGTATAAAATTTCGGAGGAACAAATCAGAATTTCTGAAATAAATCACGACATCCGATATGCATTCTGCATTAAAAATTTAGATCCATAATACAGTTGTAATTATTCACATTATAATGTGTAGGATACCCGGTTTTCTAATTTGAGAAATAAGTCAGAATTTCGGAGAAATATGTCACAGTTTGTGTTTTGAACCCATTTCTGATATAAGCATTTCGTAATGACATTCTTAGATATAGAATGGTCAATCTCTAAACTAGAGGTACTAGAAACCAAAATATTATGATTTGAAGATACAATCTTTAAATTAATTGATAAAGTTTTTATGGCATGATGATGATTCAATGTGATTGAATATTCAATTTTTCATATAAAGACCGTCTAACTCTGTAGGTTTTTGAGGTATTTGCAGTAAGAAAGAACCAATAACTAATGATCATAATTTTGGTAATAATAGTGAAAAAAAAAACTTCCAATCAAATGTTGTAAATTTCACAATATTGTGCTGTTTAGGCCTTCAATTTAGAGATTGCCCATTTTTTATGAATCACCCTATATATCTTCGTGTCAGAAATTCTGATATTTTTCTCACAAGTTCTTACTTGTTCTTAAAAAATTTGGCTAATTAAACTAAAACTTATATTTTATTTTTGGTGACCCGTCGACACTTTCACAGTTTTCCAACATATGACATGTAACATGTTAAATAGCAACTGCATGTCAAATGCCACTGAATGTCGACTTTCCTTTAGATTGATGAATGTGTCGCTCGACATCGCATCGGAACGCAATACCGGATCTTTCGAACGCGCCCTCGAAGTCGAGCAGTGTTACTGTCCAACAGGATACGCCGGACTTTCCTGCGAAGACTGCGCATATGGCTATACCAGATCAGGTGACGGCATCTACCTGGAACTATGCGTACCGTGCGAGTGTAACGGTTACTCGAACGACTGCGACCCAGAAATAGGAGTTTGCAGAGTACGTCGTCGCCGACCTTTGGTTAAGATTAGCAGTACGTGAACTTTTTTTTTCAGAATTGCAGGGATAATACGTATGGCGAACATTGCGATCTGTGTCGGCCAGGTTACGTGGGCGATCCCGCCAGAGGACAACCTTGCATCCCCCGTTCCGACGAGCCCGCGCCATGTTCCTGCGACGAGAGAGGTGCCGCGTACTCGGAATGCAGGAATGGAATATGCCAATGCAAGGTAGACCCATTTCGAAATTTTAATTTTACATGAACAATGCCTATAGGGTATATCTGACAATTCCACTTTCCACACTATCCCAGGAATGCAATAAAATCATTAGCAAGATTCCTTTACCATAGAAATTGTGATTTTAGTTTTGTTCCTGTGTTGGTTGCTGACGTTTCGCCAGTCATGTCGTTGGCTTCTTCGAAACGTAACTGATTTGCATTCTACTCGGCACCCGCTTATGTTTGTTTGTTTGCTATCCATACTCTGATTTTTGTTCTGTAGAAGTTTTATTATATGCAAGAATAAGATTTGATGTCCGGTTTCGTGATTATTACTTCATCTTTTGAACAGTTTATTTCCAATACTTTTACATGATTTTTTTTTAAGTTAGTTAATGTTCTTTTTCCCATCATTCCAATGTATTCTTTGTCGCATATACATGGAATGCTGTAAACTCCAGGTGTCTTAAACAGATTTTTGTTTTCTTCTGTATCAGAATTATTAGAACTCCTCACGATTCTAAAATTCCTCGTTTATACGAACTCTTCTCCACCTATTGTTAGCACCATTGGCACTCCAGCCTATTCTCTAGTAAAATATCGTTGTACACGGAAAACTGATAGTTTCGTGCTTAATTTGTTTGAATTCATAGTGCAATTACATACCCGTTACACTATATATAAGTCCCTTTTCCTAAAACTCTTAAAATGAAATCAGAGATATTAATTCCGAAAATCTGAAATCAAATTTTCTCATCTTAATTGAACAATGCTGTTCTCGGAGAATTTTTTTTGAACGGTCAAATTAGTGAACATATATCAGTTCTTTATCGTCGCAAATAAGACTTTAAGATGAGAGCCCTCGACATTTTCCATCTAAAACTAAAACCAAGGATGATCATACTTTTGTTATTTGGCCCTATGGTCCAGACTTACTCCCAGAATTTCTTAACCTATACATCCTAACATACCATTGAACTTGAAACTAAAGTCTCCTATTTGTAGACCAATACCTTAATGCATTTTCATATCACCATCTGACCTAAAAAACATTGGTTATCAACTGTCTTGTTTACCGGGCAGTAAAACTATCTCAACCTGGATCAGCAAACAAATTAACACACACCTATTATCTGCTCTTCTCTCAAATAATTTTCATATCAAACGCAAGACTTAAATTCAAACTTAAATTCAAAAGAGTCAAAATATATCGACTTGTATAAAAGAATGTTCAAATGCCTTAAGATTACCATAAACTCAACGGCAGTTGCCGAATCTAATCATGAGACCGGACATCAAATTTTATTCGATGAAACTAAAATTCTTGCATGAAATCATTTTTTTTTACAAAAGTTCTATAATCAGTGGTAGTCTCTACACAACCAATCTTAATCGCGTCTCAGTTCTTACCATTCACCAATTTGAGAGAGTGCATTTCAAGATATAAAATATTTGAGATCTGTGTTTTATTTCTTCATTTTTGACATGCAATGTGTGCGAAATAACAAATTTGAAGTTCGTACTGTTCTGTCGCAGTAAAACAAAATTTTGAAATGAGCAATATGTGTTGCTAAGTTCTCTATATATTACTTGACAGTGAAATTAAGCAATTTTAATTATATGTAAGAATTATTGAAAATAATACTGATTGAATAACCGATTTACTTTATTTTATTGGCAAAAATCAAAGACAAAAAACTAGTATAATCCTTTCAGATTCTATAATTAATCTTATAAATAAATAAAATAATTTTAATATATTGATAAACCATGAACCTTTTGCCCCTATTATTGTATATAGTTGAAATTGCCTTTTAATATTCAATGAAATCATAAAACGTGTAGGGTGGCATTCAAAAAAGTAGTATTGATTTACCATACGCGGAACGTGGCAACGTTGTACCCATGTTCGTCACTTCAAATTTCTATTTGGCATATATAAAAATTGAAAAGTATTAAAATTATTCTCTCCAGGACAGTTTTTATTTGTGTCAAAAAATAAAGGCAACCGCATCTCGATGAGAAACGTCATAAATGGTTGAACTAGTGTGTGCCATTTTGCAATATAGAGGTTGCTATTATTATTTTGAAAAAGCTTTAAACAAAATAGTCATAGTGTTTTAAAGTGAGTTAAGAACATGGTATCTATAAATACTAGCGAGCTGGATCTTGGCTTCGAGCTAAATAATGACAAATCATCAATAATTTCACTTCTGAAGGAGCATTGCGGAGAAACTTGTCAAGAAAATCCTGATTTGCGTTTTCTTTAAGAAGCCGGTACTCTCATTAGACCAGACCAAGGCAGCAATTGTGAAAAATAATTTGAGAGTAACTGTCGTAGCGTCAAATAGTGTTTTACTATTCTTAAACGATATGATGTGTATCAAAAAGTTCCCAAAATCTTGATAAGATTGTTTTGGTGTTCTTGTTGAACCGGCACAATTAATTTGGGTCTAAAATAATTAAACAAGAAAAAAGGGTTTTTAATCAATTTCAACTAGTAAAATTTGTTCGTCAGCCGAACGTGGAAGGTCCGTCTTGCGACAGATGTCGTAACGGTACCTTCGGTCTGGACGCCGTAAGCATCGACGGTTGCGAGTTCTGCTTCTGTTCGGGCGTGTCGAGCGAATGTAGCGAGAGCAACTTCTACGTCGAACAAATCCCAGTGACGATCCTCGAAGATCACGGTTTCACGCTGACCGACCAGTACTACCGCCAGAGAATCGCCTCTGGTTTCAATCTAAACCCGTCCCTTAACGAAATCGGCTTCAATTTCGCACCTAGTCAACGCGAAAGAATGTACTGGTCTCTCCCAAGCATCTTTACCGGCAACAAGTTAAAGTCGTACGGCGGCAAGCTCGAGTTTATGCAGAGATACCTCGACTTCCCTCACGCCACTTACGTGCCAGACAAAGACGTCATCATTACGGGCAACAGCGTCGTCGTCTACTGGACCAATCCTCAAGACCTGAGACCGGAAATCGTCAATAGCGTGTCTATAAGGTTGCATCCCAGTGCGGGATGGTACCGATTGGATCAGAATCGCGCTCCAAGACCGGCGTCTCGGGAAGACCTGCTCATCGTTCTGGCGAATATTGAAACGATCCTCGTAAGGGCCACGTTGTCAACCGATACTTCCAGCACGTATTTGAGCGATATCACTTTAGACACTGCCGTGGACATCAATACAGGCAAACCCAGGGCTTCGACCATTGAGGTTTGCAGGTAAGTACTTTGCTATTTTTTCAATCTCCCTCCACTGCTTGTTCTTCTCAAGGTACAGTTTTCATTTAGTGAAGGTTGGATACCGATCTCGGTATATCCCATTCGATCATTTGCAGCTTGAAACAAGGTCGGAGTGTTTAAGCCTCCTCTCTCGCTTATTCTTACGCCAGGAGTGTGTTTTTCTCCCAATACGATGTCGTCACGCAATCTCACCTTCCACTATCCATTAAAAAGGCCGCATTATATGGCCACCGCAGGTGGTTTTTCTTTTTTTGATAATTATTTCCTGTTGTGATCTTCTCAATATTGCGCACTCGGTAACATGTGCTGTGTGTATGTAACATAGAATAGCACAGAAGATGTTTTAGGTTGTCAGGGTCGAAGTTGCAACAATTTTTAACCATTTTATTTTTTTTTTCATTTATTACTGTCCTTGGTGAAAGCACACGTGATTTACATATAAAATGGTCTTATCAACTTTTATACTGAGTCCTAGTTTATCTCCCGTTGTAGTTAATTTGTTTAGCAACGGTTAGAGTTCTTCCATATCATCTGTTAATGATCTGTCCGTTAACTTTAATACCATCTGTTTCATCCTGTAGAGTGTAGAGCATCCGAGAAAAACAACGGTAAAATTGTTTCTCCACATTTCTGGAAGCTTCCCTAGTTCGCAAGTTTTCACGGAAACCGAACTACGAGATTAATTTGTATCTTGTTCTCATTTTCTATGTGGTCTTGCTTGAATAATAAAAAAAAATTAAATAACTGGCTCATCATATTTATTAGACTATACTCCATCGCAGTTTCTCGCTTGGATTTTAGCGAACTCTATTATTTATTACACCAGTTTTTTAAATATGATTAAAAACTTTCACAACAGTCTCCATATATATTTCATCCAACAATTTTATTATTTCCATTTTAATTTTCTCCGAACCTACACTATTACCCATTATATACTTCTTGATAGCTCGCTTTACATCGTCTTTGAGAATTTCTGATGCTGTCTCTCATTCTCTTGTTATATTCCAGTCCCTTGAATCTACTTACCTTAATCTGATCACCCGTTAAATTTCATGCTCGAGTTCCATGAAATCTCGGACTTTGTTCTCGGCGACCTCGGAGTTAATGTAACCCCATAAAAAAGTTACATGGAGCCAAACCAAACGATCTAGGTGGGTAGACGTAGTACAATGTTTCTATTGAAGTATCGTCCTGTTGGAACCAAAAATAATCAATTGAGGCAATAGGAAATTTGTGCGCATTGCTCAACAACGAAGTCCATTAACAGTGCATTTCCTTCTCCGTCGTCAAAAAATCGTAACTCTTGAAGAATGTCATTTCTTCTCCGTGAATTATTCTTGAGTTCTCAGATTCCCATGTTTTGCCAAAGTTATTGAGATGAAAATGTGTTTCATCGCTGAAAATTATGCGGGTCTCTTATGCAAGATCCATATCAACTGATTTTAAAAAATGTATATTATATTCGTCGTGCTCTTTTATGCCACCACTTTAAAATGATTTTAAATTGGGCTTCCTAACCATCTTTACAACTTTTGTATTTACCATTTTCTCATAACTTTTTGAACCAATCAGATAAAATTTATTCTATCGTTGACAATCTGTATTTGTAAAACGAGTCAGTAATCCTTAATAGTTTATGATTTTATGTTTTATTTCTGGTTCCTGCAGCAGTCTGTTTGATAGATGCTCATTTATATAGGATATTGTTGGTCGTGTTCTGGTTCTCACTTGTATGCTGCTGAGATTAAGATATTTGTATTTCTAAGGGTCTGAGTTATTCAAGTTCTTATCTACTTATAAGATTTCATAGTTAACACTTTCTTTGTATTAGCATTTTTCGTGGCTGGTCCCGCCATTATATCTGTAAGCTAATGAGTTGCGTTCTACTTCTTAAATTGCTTGTTCATCTCAATGTTACTTAAAAATATATCACAAATCACAAATTCCATTCGGAAGATAATAAGGAATACTGACTTGAAGATGAGGTACAGAGTGCAATGCGTCTTCCATTTGGTTTCAGATGTCCCCAGGGCTACAGGGGCACGTCTTGCGAATCTTGCGCGTCCGGTTACTACAAAGATCTGTCCTTCTCGGACACCAGTCCGTTGGGCTCGTGCAGACGGTGTCCGTGTTCAAACCACGAAGAGAGTTGCCAGCTGGACAATTCTCAGCGAGTGATATGCAACTGTCTCCCCGGTTATAGCGGAAGGAATTGCGAATTGGAAACCCGTAAGTGACCTTGTCCTTTAGATTATTGAGTGAGTTATCTAATTGATCTTAACATTTTTTGGAGTAGCACATATATATGATGTTGAGCCTACGAGACCCTAGTGGTGTATTTTAGATTTTGGAATTTGTAATTAAGGGTATGAATCACCAATTGGCATTATTTAGCAGATTTGCGTCGAGAGTCTTGTCGGAAATTTTTGGAATATATGTTTCAAAATATTCCTTGTTTGAGGTTGACAGATGCAGTATTGTATTGTATTATATGCAGGATCTCAAATATTACTGGAGACACATTTTCGTAAAAGATAAGATGTGGTTTTCAAAACAGTTTTAGCTGGCTTTTCTTCTCAGAGACAGTGTAGAACAGAAAATTCGCTTGTGTATTAAACATCCTGAATGGAAATGAATTGGGGAACCTTATGGATCTGTTTACGTAGAATGCGGTGCCGTAGTTATTTTTTTTATATAGCTTATATAATTTTTAATATACGAGATGATTTTTTAATATACATATGTTTGGGCATTTTTGAGAATATACTATTTTATTTTAATTTTATTCCAGTGTACATATCACACTTTCACAGTGAATATGGAAAAGCATTTCAAAGTTAAGCGAAGTAATTCCGTTTGCCCTCTGGTAGTTTGCTTCAACACCTCAGAAATAAAAGAGATCTTGTGCTATTTGTAAAAAAAGTGATGAGTGAGTCTGAGTCTAAAAAACCAGTTGGAGAAAATAAATCCAAAGCAGATATTGGTCCACCAATATCCAAATTCAAATCAATCAAGCCAAATGGATTGAATCTGTTCCTCACGAATGTAGTTAAGGTCCTAGTTGCGATCAACAACCCTTACGTGTCTCTAAGAAAACTCCCTTCCTCTCGTGAATCTTTCTTCTTTAATTCGATCTCTGAAAGCGAGCAATTGTCTATTGTAGGTGCTCTAAGAGCTGCAACAGTTTTTTCGAATTTTCTTCGCAATGAAAAAGGAGACCTAGATATTCTAAATTACCCCATTTTTAAGAAAGTCAACATTTGGCTTACTACAGCTGAGGTCTCTTAAGTAAATTAGAATTCTATGGCATGAGAGGAGTTCTTCTGAAATTAATCGAATCACATCTGGATCAAAGGGTTCAATGCGTTGGTTGTGGAAGTGCGTCGGATGACTTCATTGTACTTGAGAACATTCTACAGGGCTCTGTTCCTGAACCGTTGCTCTGCGTCATTTATATAAGTGTTCTGCTGCAGTCTGTCTTATTTTTTATAAATAGCACTGGTGAATACTTGAAACTACTTGGCATACAACATTGTATTTTGTATATTGTGTACTCACTAATTAAATTTGTCTATAACATATAATAGTTATTTAGTTACTTCTCGATATTATTGTCCCAACTTTTTGTTATTTTAGACGTATTATTTGTTGTATAACGTTTCTCAAGCTACAGAATACAAAAAAGTAAACATTAAAAAAACTGCTTAAATTGATTTCCATCAGCTTATGGTGACTTTTCAAATACTTTGTGAATTTTCCTTTATTCTTTTTTCTATTTGTTTAGATTTTTAGAAAAAAAAGACTCAATCGAAATAAAATATATAACCTTAGCTCGTATTTTAAAAATTATATCTGTCACAAAAATGTCAGTATACCACTGGATTCAGTGATCTATAAAATTCCGTGTTGATCATCTCATTGCGTTTAAAATACAATGAGGAAGTGAAATAAATAAATTTCGAGATATGGCCTACTAAGAAAAACATAACATTTAATATACACTTTGATTTTGAAAAAGCTAATAATAAACCTAGTAAAATTAGTAAAAGACATACAGGGGGTTCCCCTGAATTAAAGAACAAGTTTAGTTTGTATATCCAAAATTTGTAAGTTTTAGAAGAAAACTGACTGCGCTAGATACTCCGTGAAATTTTAAAAAATGGGTATTCACTGTAGATAAATTTAACTAATCCTGTTATTTGCCCCTACTTGTCGCTGAAAAAATAAAGATTTATATTTTAAGATTGTACGAGCGCTGTATAATCAATAGTTAATCGTCACTAATTTACATAGTGTTCCACTTACGGAGTATACACTCCCGTAAAATCTTTGTTTGTGGTTCAATTTTTATACTGTTTTTTTGTTGGATAGATCTCTCAAAAATGAACTAAAGCCTTATTTTGTTTATTGCTTCAACCTAAAGTCAGGACCAAATGGGACTTAGGGGTGCTTAGAACCCAGCTCTACTAATTTCCACCATGTTTCAATGGTGCTTGAAATATTGTTTCACTCGTTTAAGGCTTTATCTCTTTGTAAAATTTTTGGTTGGTTTAGATTTTGATTATCTTTGTCGTTGAGAAGATCTCTGAAAAACGCATTACACGTTAAGTTGTGGCCATTAGAGATTTCGTTAAAAATAAAATGTCAACGAATTTTTATTCAGGACTGCCTAAAACCTAATTTGCGTGCCTAACTAATTTGCACTAAATTGAATGACGTCAACATACTTTTCCTTTTTATATTTTTATTTATCACTACCGTAAACAAGAACAAATCTAATTATTCGAATAAAAGCAGTTTGTCGTAGCATCACTAGACAAGAGCTAATAAAAGTGGTTAGCAACATTCCAATTTGCACTGAAAAGTGCATAGAGGAAAATGGTGACCTAATCGAAATAACTAATATTTAATTTCTGTTTTGTTTTAAACAATTTCGTTTTTTCCAAAACACCAATACAGGTTTTGGTTATATGACTTTCAGAAGATATTCGTCAAAATTGGTGGTGACTCTTCATAAAGTTTTGCAAGATGCCGCGAAGATATTATCAGCAATCACAACTAATACTTGTCAATATCTTGGCTTTCCTTGGAAAAAGATCAAGCTAAAAATGGCATCCTTTCGTAAATTGATGTAATTGAACAAATTTCGAACGCAACACGCAAGGCCATACAACAATCATAAATCTTAACAAAAGACGAATAACGAGCGATTTACTTCCAAAAAGTCTCAAATGCAAAATGAGGTAAATACAAAGGCCAAATAGGAGATATGATTTAGTGCATGTATGCGAAAAATGAATATGTTAAAATGCAGACTTTGCTTAAAAAACTGTGAGATACAAATGAATATTTCAATTTTTCCATCACCTTGCTAAGAAAGCACTTAAAAAATATTGATTAAAACTTTTTTAAAAATCAGCTTGTGCCAAATCTTTCTCCAGAAAATTTGATGGTGATGGACAACATCACTTGTAATTAGAACAAACAAAGTAGTTTTTTATTTTTTGTTTAAAATTAGTTATATTCAGCAAGTGGGTAACTGGTAAATTTCTGAAGAGTGAGTGTTTATTCAAATATCTCGGACATTTTTTCGAATTTAGTCTAAACTATACCTTTCTAATGCTGGGCATTTATTAATGCGGTTGTTTTAAGATGATATTAAAAAATAAATGTCTGTTGTCATTTTCAATTTGAAAAAGCATTTCTCGATTTTCCGCTTCAAAAAACTGTATCAATTGGGTATGATTTTAGTCGATTCCCATCGTCGTTTCAAAGCCTGTTAGTAAATTCTATCGAACAAAAAATGAATTGTGAAAATTGAGCCACAAATATGCCACTGCAGGAGCTTAAGCAAGATGCCCATGATATTTCGAGCACCACGTAGCAGGTTTTAGTTTATCCTAAACTCTTATTCTTATTCTTAAAGAAATGCCTAGTAGCTCTTCGGGATATTTCGCTTCAAAAATTACTCCTATAACTTCAGGTTGATACAGTATGTACCATAAGCTTTTATTCTACTTTTGAAATATCTATAGAACAAAAAAAATAACAAATTCAAACAGTAAATAAAAAGATTTTACAAGGACGAACAACCTTAAACGGGCGCAAACGATATTCGAAATACCCTGTGTTAAAACGTGATAGAAATTGGTATAGGTGGATTCTAAGTACTTCTGAATAAGAATTCGTTGAAACTTTTTTCTTAAAAAAAACTAATAGTATTACCCTCTTCTCTCTCTTTGGTAAAATGGTCCCATTACTAACAAAAAAAATTAAAAACGAACCATAAATAAGGGTTGTAAAATGGGTCCTAAGTGGGACACACAAGCTGTAACTAAGTAATCATCATTAGCATATAATCAGTAGCAATAGCTAACGCAACAAGTGCCCACGCATCCCGGGATTATCTAATGATCATTTATTCTCCACCAACGATAGCGAAGCTTCCAGGAAAAACAGAGATTGATATCCTGTTGCCGGTGGAATTGAAGCCTTCGAAGGTGGTGGCTCCGATGGGCGAGCAAATCGAGTTTACGTGCACTTACTGGAGCCAAAACACGTCAAATTTCGATTTCGTTATACGCAACCTGAATAGTTTGCAGGAAACAAAAATTTCTAACTCTATCGCGTTCAGCGGCGGAGCACGGGCAATTTTCAAATCCGTTGTGGGGTGCGAAGAGCAAACCCTTCAGTGCTTAATCGTTGGTAAAACTGGGGCCATTAATGGAGTTGTAAGCGTTAAAATCCTGCCAGGTTTGGAAAGATATATATAATATATATCACCGTAGAGGCTTTTTGTGATATAATTCGTTCATTGTCCCGACCATAGAATAGATCCGACGATATAGTACGAGTACGTTGATTGATTGAAGCAACTTTGATGTATATTTCTCGATCAATTGACAACAAATTTGGCAGGAAACTTTTAGGATGCTGTTTTATTTAATATAAATATAAAATTCAGGGAGAGTCGACTTTGAATGATTAATGTAAGAGAATATAAATTACAGTTGCTTTACTCACGAGAGAAATATTATGTACTAATGTCAATACAATTGTCTCTAACAATTTCGCATTGTCTGGCAAATATTTTAACCGAATGTGTACTGCGTCCACCATATAAGATTTGTGTTTAGTTTTAGTTCAGAAAAATACGTGATAACACATTCTAACTATCGAACTTTTCGTTAATGGCGTCGCAACAATGTGACGTCACTTGTTGTGGTGGTCCACCACATTCACCTCGAGAAATTAAAAGAGTTGGGGAAACACTTTTAGTTCAGCATTTTGTGAGTCCATGAAGGGCATATTTCAAAATTATTTTCAAATATGCAGGAGGGCTAAGAAAGCTATCTATGAAAGTTTTTATTCCTACAGAATTCCATATATTTTGTATATCTTTAGTCACTCTTCCGGCTGTTCTAAATTAAGTGTTAGTCATTGATTGGCTGTTATGAGTAGAGATACAAAGTCGATTAAGTTATCAAACTAGTAGCGCTGAATAAGATGGTGAAAACAGGAAAACAATTGAATTCAGGGTTTAAAGAAAAATGAGTAAAATGTACTCTTTTTAAATGTAAAATTAAAAATAACCGAATTATCAGCACATAAAACCTATTTATTAAACAAATGTGTTCGTCTCCTTCTTTTGGCAGAAACGGTTTCATTATTTCTAAAGATTCTATAAAGGCGTAGAAAAGATTGTGCAAAATAATAACATCCCCGCCAACTGGTTTTCTAGTTGTGAAAAAATTAGTTTTAATGTGTTAATTAGTATTATTGTTATATCAATTGTTATCAACTATTTAAATTAATTTTATAAATTAATTTTACTGTATCACTTATTCAGAAATAGTTTTTACAGATGAAGAAAAGTGCGACATGATAGAATGCTATTTGGCATGCAGTAAATCGTCTGTAAGGGCAAGAGAACAATACAAAACATATATCCAGAGAGCGTTCCGCCACATGAACAATTTTTTCTGCACCTCTATCGAATCTTTAGAAATATTGAAAATGTTTTTGCAAAAAGGAGACAACAAAAATTTTTGTAGGTACTCAAATTGATGCTCTTGGATATTTTGGAGCATATCGTGACAATTATGTTCGAGACATAGTCGAAAACTCTACCTTTAATACTGTCCGAAGGATTTAAAAAAACACAAATCTTGCCCTAGTAAATAACGACCAGCCTAGGCGCTTTTGGCACGGAATTCAGAGAGAAGACTGTTTTTTTGTCATTGGTATGTTGACTTTTGCCGGTATATTTAATGGACGGACGAATCAAATTTTTCAAATTTTGGAAATTATTTTCCAATAAATCACGAGAAAATTTATTGCTAGTACATCTCCGAGGTCCACAAGTTCGTTTCAGCTTTAACGTTTAGTGCGGTATGATTGGTTTTGGTCTATGATTTTACACATGAGCTTGACCTCATAGGTAGGTAGAATCCCCATTTCGAACACCAGCTCATAATTTCGAAGGCACATTTTTGACAAACCATTTTCAGCAATAAATGGATTGCTACAAATGAACCTATTCCTTGGCCTCCTAGGTTACCAGATATAACCCCACTTGATTTTTACTTGTGGGGTTATTTAAAGAACGAAAATTATAAAGCGAATACCAAACAGCTTGACGTTTTAAAGGCTACAAAAGAGAAAAAATTAACCAGATAGACAGTAGAACAATAGTAAAAACAATTCACTCAATAGAAAAATGTGCTTAAAAATGTATTGAACTATCGGGTGTACTTTTTGAACACCTCTTAAATTAACATTAACAGTTAATCATAAATTAATTAGGTTTTTCAGTTTTTTTCTCTCGTTCTGTTTACTGTTTTACTAAAAAAAGGACATTATATATTCTACTATTTAATGATAAACTATTTAATGATAAATTAAAAAAGTGAAGTTCTTAATTTTTTATATATTTGGGGCACTCATTTGTTTTTAGATTGTAGTAAATTGTTTTTAGATTAGAAGGTAATAGAGAAAAAATCAAATAAATTAAAAAAATAATAGTAAACTCAAAATCAAAATATAAAAGAAAACTCTGTACCTTTTTTCATATCTTAAAATAACTTTAAAGTGGGCGACATAATACGGTTTTTCCGCAACTCTTTTCATTTCTCGTACAAAAACCCAGGCGAATGTGGTGGGCCGCTCTTTAAAAAATGATCTGCTTTAATAGGCCAGAGAAAATTTGTTCATAATTTTGACAAAAACTTATTTCGATAAAATTTCGTACGATCAAATGCCTGGCCTCTATTTTATTGTTGACATTGACGTTCACGATGTTCGTTATCATTTTTAGCCGTCATTGTGACAGTGCCGCCAAGACCAAATATGACGATCACGCCTCCGACACCGCCGTCGATCGAAGTGGTCATAACGGGTCACACGCTCCAAATTTACGAAGTTGGCAGCACCGTCAGGCTTAACTGTTCGGCGACGTCACGCTTAGCCCCCCGAGTAAGTAACCCTAACATAACTACAAATCATACCAAATACACTTTTACATCTTGTCGTTTAATCAAAATATTGTATAATGTAAACCTGTCAATCATTTGTTACGTTATATACTTGTTATATATTTGTTAACAACTCCGTGGCTCATTTGTCAATCATTATTAAAACACATGGCAGTAACGTTCAGTACCTGTAAAAATTAATAATTAAATGCCATGAACCATGAATATGAGTCACTGAAATCACTAGAATCACTAGAGTGGTCGTTGATAATAAATGTGGGCACTTCCTGCTTGACCATTAATTGTTCCCTCTTATACATAAACATTTACAAAGAGTAATAAACAATCTAAGGCCACTGATTTACAAATTCAAATATTTTAAAAACACCTTAAATAAACAAGGCAAAAACACACTCTTTAGTGCAGTCAGGTTTACAATATGCAAAAATTGGATTCCAAAAAACTAGTGTTAAGGGAGTCGAAATTATGTTTTAAAACGGTTTTAAATATTGTCAAAAACAAAATCTAACTACCAAATATACAAGAAACAGAGAAAAGTGAAATGAGATAAATTAGTTTAGAAAACAAGTTGGCCTACACATTTTTGGAGGCCTATTTCTATAATTTCCTAGATGAGGATTTAAGGCAGAGATTCATATTTTAACATCATCATCATCAGCTTTTAAAAAATTATGAAAAAAATTATTTTACTGTAAGCTTCGAAGCAATAAACTTGATAATAGGGATATATATATATATATATATATATATATATATATATATATATATATATATATATATATATATATATATATATATATATATATATATATATATATATATATATATATATATATATATATATATATATATATATATATATATATATATATATATATATATATATATATATATATATATATATATATATATATATATATATATATATATATATATATATATATATATATATATATATATATATATATATATATATATATGTATATACATATATATAATAATAATAATAATAATAATACATTTATTGTTATAACCATCAAAGTACATAGAAATAATTACATAACCAAAGTTAAATAAGTGAAATAATGGTCAACAATAGCCCTTGTTAGGGCGCCCATTTAGAAGTTCTAGATACGGTTCAGGCCTCAATTTAACAGCGAAAATATAATAATAAAAAATTTCATAGAATTTATTTGAAAGCTCCAAGCGTAGATACACATAATTCTAAAGAAAAGAAAAGAGAAGAAATGGAGGGGGAAGGAAAGGAAAGGAAAGGGGCACATGTTTTGTAGAAGAGCTTAATATTAGTGCGTACGTAACAACTGCTTTTTGAAATTATTCGTAAAAGTCGAGTTGGACTGATTAATATCAAAATTAGTAATAGAGTTAATGCAAATGGCTATATTATAGGAATATGATCTTTTAAATAATTCTTTGCGGTGACGTGGTATAACTAGTCGGTGTCTTCCACGCAGATTCAAATTATGTATTGATATGTTAAGAGTAATTTTTCTGTAAAGATAAAAAGGTAATTTTGTTTTAAGGATGTTGAAATAAAGGGAACTCATTCGTAATTTGCATCGCATTGCATTTGCATCGCATTGCATTTGCATATATATATATATATATATATATATATATATATATATATATATATATATATATATATATATATATATATATATATATATATATATATATATATATATATATATAGAGATATACAGTGTGTCCAAGATAAGGATGCACAGCATGGGGATCTCGGAAACTATAAGAGATACAGTGTCGGTTAAATTAGACAAAAGTTGCGCATTTTGATACCGAACAAGATCCCGTTTTACAAATTTGAAAATTTCAAGCCGTTCCGGAAATATCCGAGAAAAACCGAAATATTGCGATTTCGTTTTTATTATTTTTTAAAGCTATTTGAAAAGATATGAAAAAACGGAAAACACTTTTCCATTGGCACTTTTTAATCTCTCCAAATTGACGTTAACAAATTTTCATTACAGCGTTTCGATTCCATGGAACCACCATCAACTTTGATTTTTCTTATGGGACGGAAAAAAAGTACACACAGTATTAGGTTGTGCTTTTCATTGCGAATGCAACGATGTACGATACAATACGGTTACTTATGTTTTTATCCAGAAAGATGGATTTTTAATACATTTCAGCATTTAAATGGAGTAGGCCATGACAAAATGACATCCAGTCAATTTCAATGACACATTAATGTTATTTGTCTTGGTTATCAGTCGATCATAAGTTTATTCCTTTAGTTATTGTTTTTGTATTTTTATTGTTGTTGTCTTTTTCTAATTTATTTTGTTCTACCATGGAGGGAGGTAATTTTACAAACGAAGAAAAATGTGATATGCTGTCTTGCTACATCTGATGCCAAAGAAATTGTGTGGAAGCCGAGCGTAGGTATTCTAACAAATACCCAGAGCGGAGACAACCTGACAAGAGTATTTTTCGGCGTTTGTTATTTAATCTGAAAGAATATGGATCATTTAAGAAGCCTGCATTATCCCGACAAAAACCTTCCAATGAAGAAAACCAATACATTGTTCTACAATCTGTTATCGAAAATCCACAAACTTCTACCAGAGAAATTGAAGACCAGAATGGGGTAGCTAAATCTACAGCTCAGTTTATTTTAAGGAAAAATGAATTTAAGCCTTACAAATTCAGAATATATCAAGGATTAAAACCGGGTGACGACGAACGACGTAGACATTTTTGTGAGTGGTATACCAGGATGTGTGATGAGAGTTTTAATTTTCCATATAAAGTGATTTGGTCTGATGAAAGTATGGTGACCAATAACGGTATTTATAACAGGCGCAATACACACTATTGGTCGCAACAAAATCCACGTGTTAATAGACTATCCAGACATCAAGTTCGCTTTGGGTTTAATATTTGGTGTGGGATTTTTGGTAGCAAGATTATAGGCCCTATTTTCTATAATAATTCCTTAACTTCCGAGCGGTACCTTGACATCTTGAGGCACGATTTAGAAGATGCCTTAGATGATTTACCGCTAGGCGCTGTGCAAGGCTGCTGGTTCCAACAAGATGGTGCCCCAGCCCATAACTCCAGAGAAGTTCGCCAATATTTAACTGAACGGTTTGATGGAAAATACATTGGGACTTACAGTGAAACATCTTGGCCTCCAAGGTCCCCGGACTTAACTCCCTTGGACTTTTTCTTATGGGGCTACATAAAAAATGAGGTATTCAAAGAATGTTTTGACAACGAGGAACAATTACGTCAATCAGTACGAGCAGCGTTTAATAAAATTACTCCTGAAATGTTAAGTCGTGTTTTGGAGTCTACCGTGAGACGGGCATACTTATGCCTAGAAAATGGAGGTCATTTATTCGAACATTTGTTATAGAATTTGTTTTTCATTAACTTGTTGGATTTAGTTGTTATGTTAAATGAACAGTTAGAGTTAGTAAATAAATAAACACATTAACTCGAACTTGTCAACCATTTTCTTTTGCCTTTCATCGTTCGGATCTCATGGCCTACTACAATAAAATACTAGAAATGTATTAAAAAGCCACTTTTCTGGATAAAAACATAAGTAACCGTATTGTATCGTACATCGTTGCATTCGCAATGAAAAGCACAACCTAATACTGTGTGTACTTTTTTTCCGTCCCATAAGAAAAATCAAAGTTGATGGTGGTTCCATGGAATCGAAACGCTCGGAGCGCGAGCATTGAAGATGCCAAGTGAGATTTTGGCGAAACGTCTGCAGGATTCCAGTCGGATGCAAGATTTGCAGGATTCCAGTCGGATGCAGGATTCCAGTCGGAGTTCAACGAGCGAACGGATGATATCCCGGAATATAGTGTCATCATATATATATATATATATATATATATATATATATATATATATATATATATATATATATATATATATATATATATATATATATATATATATATGTATATGTAGTGTTCGAAGTGTTTTCGGAGCGCGAGCATCGAAGATGCCAAGTGAGATTTTGGCGAAACGTCTGCAGGATTCCAGTCGGATGCAAGATTTGCAGGATTCCAGTCGGATGCAGGATTCCAGTCGGAGTTCAACGAGCGAATGGATGATATCCCGGAATATAGTGTCATCATATATATATATATATATATATATATATATATATATATATATATATATATATATATATATATATATATATATATAATACCTTTTTCGCATCGTTTCTTCCTTTCTAGTGAATCATTATCGATGAATTCACTTCAGTATAGTACACAATAGTACACGTTGATGTCTTTTCAAACAATTTTTTTTAATTTAAATACGTAGAAGCAATATGAGCAATTGTAATAAATTTAATTTTTATCTAATCGTAAAGCGATTCTCTTGCAGTACATATCCAAATATCAGTTTCTTTTTAGTCCTTTACTCTCCTACATTCTGTCGCCAAAATTTTCTTCAACCCGCATTCTAAACATGACCAATAATTACTACGGCACTACTAATGGCAAAGCATAAATTATTTTAAAATTTATGAGGCTACTAAAATAAAAATACGTCCCTGCACTGTAATATGTCAAAATTAACTAAATGTCAATGGCAAGAGCTGGGAGGTGCTCAAACTTAGATTTATGTATAGACATTTTTTATTGAATTATTTTTCAATAGACTTTTAAACGCACTACTTTTTGTATTATGTTAACCTCAGTGGAAAGTTTATTACAGGGTTTAATTGGTAGCACTCTCAGACTATTTGCTATATATATTGACCGTTTCTGAAGCGATATATATTTTATATATTATTTTTATATGTACAATTGAAGCCAAAATGAATAGGGATGGGAACATTTATAAATTTAGTTTAAGAAATATTTTGCAATGGTATGTATATAGTAGCCATAACGGTAAAGTTCCAAAAGCTGAATATCGGCCTTATTCCTTAACCTGATAGGTCCACGTAAAATATTAGTCAATAAAAACAACCAAATATTTCACAACTGTGATTTGTTCAATCGTTTTGTTATTTAATTTAAAAATACACACGCCTTTAAATGTGTCAAAATAAAAAGCATCATTTTTGTTTTTGATTCATTTAAAACATCCATTTTCATTGCGAAACTTTACCGCGCCGGTAGATATTTTGGATAAAATATCTAACCTACCTACCATTTCACTTCGTATTTACGTAATGACTAAAAAACCCCTGCATAATACTGCCAAAGAAAATTATGAATCAAAGCGGTCCCAGTTTGCTTCCTCGAGATACGCCACTGTTTACTGATTGAGATATCGAAATAAATTGATTTGTTATTCTCTAACAATGAGTTAAGATTTTATCCAAGAATAGTACTTCAATGCATCCCGCAATTATAGAATTTTTCGAGAGTTAATTATATACTTATCATATCAAAAGTCTTGGTCACATTTATTTTATTTTGTTCTCTACTCTGATTCGCTTTTGGTATGGACTCTTTTGGTATAGTTGGTATAGTTCTACTCAAAGCTTGAATGGACTAAAAAATGCAATTAAATTTTTTGAAAGAAAGTTTTGACTGATTTTTTTCACAATAGACCGTGCGTGTACACTGGAGCAAGGACTATAGAGACTTACCATACACGGCGATCGATGACGGACGCGGTCTCCTGGTGATCACGAACCTGCAGGTCCCTGACTCTGGTCGCTACATTTGCGAGGCAGACGACGGATATTCCATCGTGACCCAAAGCGTCAACATTGTGGTCGGTGGTAAGTAAGCAGCGTCAATTGGCGTCCCGAGTGTTTGACTAATTCGTTTTTTTTGCTGCCGCTTAAGTGAAAGTTACAAGAAATATCAGTAGTTCAGGTAAACGTAAGTGTACATAGCATTGTCCATTTTATGAAGACGTTTTTTTCATTAAATTAAATAGCCTGTTCAATATTCTCAATTGCCTCAGGCATTTAAAATAAGGGCTACGGTACCTAAAGTCTATTTCAGTAAGGTGTAGACAAATAAAGCCTCATTACATATGTAAAGGGATTTCATTCATTCACTTTCATTATTTGGCATTGATTTAATAATAATAACAAAAACAAAATCAATGTAATGAATACCTGGGTTCTTAAACTAACCAACCACAACTTATACGTTCGGCATCTTGAAATCGTCAATCTAGGTTTCGTAGATGAAATGAGGAACCTAAAAATTTTTTCACTAGCAAAGAATCAATGACCACTCGCTGGCACAAAGGAGAGCTGGAAAAGTAAGGAAGTGCACTGCAGGTTTCGTATCAGCCTTAACAATTAGGAAATTAGCAAAGCAAACTCGTTATCCTACTTATTCTCTTATTTCTTTCTTCTCATTCTTCTTATTCTATTTTTTTTTCTTCCCTGGCACAAAAGGGTTTCTCAGCTTCATTTTGGATCAAGATCTCACATGTTGGATCTGGGTGCAGCCTAGATCAATCCATACAGCATGGTGTGTCCGGCTTGACATCGTCAGCAGACCTAGCACACCGCGCAATATCTTCACCGACACGAACAAGTGGTCAAGATCCTCAACCGGAAATAGCTTTAAAAACCGGACTGTGCAAGGCCACAACTGAATATATAGAATATATAAAATTGAATGGAACTCATCTGGAGTATTAACATCCAGAAAAATCCTCTCTAAGTATGGGTCATATATTTGGGTACTAGATAAATTAATTTAAGCCTACGCTGAGAAGGTGAGAAAGTACCAACAGCTACTATTCGAGCTGAAGCAGCTCTGGAACCTGGAAAAGTCGACACATTTTCGATAGTCATAGCAGCCAATGGATTAGTACATAAAAACTGGCTATAATCGATTTTAGTTGGTCTAAAACTAGTTGCTAAATTCACAAAGGACATCCGAATGGAATTTGGAATAGAAAAGTGTGCCTTTATACATGCGAAGAGAGGTAAGAAAATGTAATTTCCAGCACTACTCTTGCACGAAAGCAGGCGCTAACCGCTGATTGTAGAACGATGAAGCAAGATACAGAGGAGAATCTTATGAAAAGGGTTGGATCCGTCGTGAAAACTTTGTGTGTGGGCGCCCAAATTCAGGCTATTAACTCATGGGTTCAGAGCCAAACACCGCGCTCATTACCTTTCATTGTCTATGAATGAAGGTGGAAGAGGTTACCTGCAAAATGAAACATGCGATCCTAATAAGGAAATTGTATACTTACTCCACTAACTGCATGGCCAATCTCCATAAAGCGATAGTGGTAGCTGATAGCAACTACTCTCCACTGAACCTGAGTCCTGAAATAAAAAAGAACATTCAAACCGCTAGAAGAGGAGTAGGAGAATAGTCGAGTATATCCAGAAAAAACACTATCCGATGATCAGTGTAGGATGTGCGAAACACCACACAGCATTTGTCGTCTGGATGCCCAACCCTCTCGCCATGGGACTACACGAAGCAACACAACAGATTTGCAGGAATATTTCATCAAGCAATCTTCAAAAAATATAATCTGAATAATACAATAACACTATATAATAACTATAATAGAGAACGGAAATATAAAAATCTATTGGAACGGGACAGAGAAATGGTAACGAGTAGAGAGACCCGAAATTCCAATATCTTTGACACTACCATACTATTCGATCATAACATCAACAAAGCGAGAAATGAAAAGTTCGATAAGTATCAGGAGTTGGCCCTGGAAACAAAAGACATGTACCGGTTATACTCTGTCAAAATTATAGCAATAGTTGTCTTCGCAAATGGCCTAATTGACAAGCAGCTCCCCAATTTTGTGAAGCAAATTGAACTGTCGGTCTCTAAAACAATTATAAGTCTTGCCCAAAAAGCTGTAATTTTATCAACATGCTGCGCAGGTAGAAGAGTTCTCGGCCGTGAATAAAACGTTGACTACACCTTGTTCCGTCTTATACCAAAGACACCGACCCAAGTTGTGAAAGAAAAGTCTTAATTGAATTAAGTAAATACACATTTTATTAAAAATTTAAAAATTCAGGCGTAGTTTAGTTCAGCATTGTAGGAACGCTGATTGTTTTTACACTTAATCTAGTTATCCGATATAACAACATATACAGAAGGATAGATTAAACATATTATATGTCAATCTTAAATGTGCATTATGTATGTCAGTCCGAAAGTTGAACTCTATTAGTGAAGTGCAGAATGCGCTAGACTGTGATTAACATATTGAAACTTGCGAATGCCATAGACCAAGCATAGACAAGAAGAATATGTCGTTTGGGATACAAACAATGAATCGCAAAGTAACGTCTATGTTGTCCAGTTTTCACTTTGTGGAGTAAATTTAAACTCTGAATCAATCAGCAATCCAACATTTTTTATTGGATCTATAAAATATATTGATTTATTTAATAGAATGTTGTATGCTTGTCGACCAGAAACTATTGCTCATGATTGCTTATAAAGGTCGCAATTTAATCCAGAAATTACCTGATTGACCTCATCGATCAAAATACATGTCACTATCATCCGCATAAAAGTGACCAAATACGATAAGAAGATTTTTGGGAATTGTGAATGACAATAGATATAGAATAACAGAGGTCCCGAAATAGAAACCTGAGAGCCTCCAGAGGATACTTCTAGAGAACTACACATTCTGCTTCCAAAAAAAGATCTATCAAAATGTTGGTAGCAAATTTATAGGCTGAAGGTTCTGTTATCTTTTAGACATTTAGGTACCCTTATTTTTATCAGTCACTTCTCACATGCCTGATAAACCGGTAACTAAAGATCTTTCAGCTTGAATGACGTGTAATGATTTGCAATAAATCTCTTCAATTGCTTCCATATAAGTCTTATTGGATTTGACACTTCGTGACACTTTGTTTTTCTACAACATCTTTAAAGGCGTATTACATAAAACGATTTGGATAACAAGTAGATAATTTCGTATTTTCATCAGTGATATCTCGATAGAAGACTTTTACTGTACTACCCACACTTTTTTGGGAGATTCCTCTTCACCAGTTGTCTTTCTTTTCCACAATAATAAACGAATTTTTTAATCCTAACTATGGGGGAATAGTGTACATCTAAAATAACTTTCCCACTCGTTTGTAGTCAATGTCGTTATTTCATTACTAATTTTATAACACTGTGAACAGCAACAGCAAATACCGCAATTATGTTTCAGTTTGTCATTAAAGTGTTAATAATTTCCATAAAGGAATAATGAGTGTAAGATAAGCAGTCAAAAATGATACTAAGTTCATCTATTTCATTTATTAGCCTACACTTTTCTGAAATAGCCAATATAAGGTTTTTATATATATTCTTTTTTTGTGTGGATATTTCATTATTCTATTCAATTGATTTTAGAGCAAAACGACGTGCCTCCCGCCATAGTGGTATCTCCGCCTGTCATCGACGTCAGCGAAGGCGGTCTAATCGAAGTCCGTTGCTTGGCATCCGGCAACCCCATCCCAGAGTTACTTCTGTCGAGGGCCGATCACAACGTATTAAATCCCAGCGTGAGTATAAGGGACCCAATGTTTATTTCGCTTTAATAGTGGTGGTGAAGGTCTACAGCTAGAAGTGGTGTCTCTTGGTTACTTAGTCATCTACCGTTTGCTGGTAGTGGTTTAATATCTCATGATCTAATCTTTATGTTTCGTTTGTGCGCAAACCAAAGAATCCGAATGTATTTGACAAGTGTGCGATAAATGACAGTTCATATTTTTTTGTTTTTTCTTTTTTGTCGCTCTAAGGTTTTATTCTAACAGTCTCGTGCTTGTGAGACATCTTTCTATTCTCTAATCCAAGATACGGTGTTGCCGCCGTATCAGGAGGCAGTCTGTCCGCCATTTTGTTGCCTTCAATACCTACATGAGCGGGTACCCAGAGCAGATTGACATGAGTTCATTCCGCCAATCTTATTGTTTTTTGGCTTTCATGTAACAATTTAAAGTTCACGTTGACAGTCTGGACTGCATTCCTGCAAAAACGCCTGAATTTGGGTGTGGGGCATGTTACTTAAAAAATAGTTACAGCTTTAAGAGCAATACAAAAATGGAACAAAAATATATCCTTTCTACACTGCCCAGAATAATTAACGCACCACTTAATGATTTATTTGATTTATTTATTACTTATTTCATTATTTATTTATACTGTAAACTTCCATAATTCATACATTCCAAATTTCTGCAGTTCTTTTATTTTATTTTTATTTTGTTGCAAAATGGAATAACAATATATCGTTTCTAAACTGGCCACCAAAATTAACGCACCAATAAATTCTTTTGATTTATTTTATTTATTTATTATTTATTTTATTGTTTATATCGCAAGCTGTCATAGTACATACATTCCAAATTTCTGTAGTTGCTTTCGTTTCGAGATCTGTTTATTTTATTTTTATTTTGTCGCAAAATGGAATAACAATATATCCTTTCTACACTGGCCACCAAAATTAACGCACCACTTAATTATTTTGATTTATTTTATTTATTTATTATTTATTTCATTATTTATTTATTATTTATTTTATTATTTATTTATATTGTAAGCTGCCGTGGTATATAAATTCCAAATGTCTGTAGTTGCTTTTTTTTATCGAAGTCTGTTTATCTTATTTTTATTTTGTTGCAATTCAGATTAATAATGTTCCTCGTCTTTTGTAAGCTAGAATTTTACATTTGTAAGGTACGGTACGGTACATGGAACGCCAATCTAAGAAATTTGACCTATCCCATCCTATGGATGGGATGAAGGAGGGATGAAGCTTTCGGAGAATTGGACAGAGGTTTGGTGTATCGCATTCGTTTCCAGTATGATCGAACGTTACAGTGAGACAAATCAGCTCTTAAAAAGACCTGATCAAGGCAGATCTCGTATAACTACGCTAGTTCAAGACCGTTTATTTAGAGTATCTGCTTTAAAATAACGATTTGTGAGAGGAAGGGTACCACGAACACAGCTACAGAAAGAAACCTTGCGCGAAGATCAACCTTTGCTCCAGAGCATCGTAGAGCAAGACTAAATTTTGCCAGAGAACACATCGTAACTTCCAAAACACCAGATTATTTGTATTGATTATTGATAATGGCAATTTAATAGCACATATGTACATAAGGGAGATAACCCTCCTCTGCATGTTGCTCAGATGCGGCAAAATTATCTCAATGCGATCGGAATTGAAACTGTGGATTAGCCAACAAGCAGTCCCACTTTTAACGCAATAGCTCTGTGAATGAGCTCACTGGAGATATCGTCCAAATATATATTAATTTGGATCAAAACTAGTTAAGACCTGTACTTTTAAGTATAAATAATCGCTGCTATGCTGTTACTCAAAATAGAGCAGGAAATACCCCTTGTTAAGTAGTTTTAACTAAAATTAATATTTTTTTAATTTTCTTGTTTGTTTCTTCAAATATAATAGTGGTGTGTTAATTTTGATGGACAGTGTACTTGAAATAAGAAATTTTGGTAGGTTTGGGAAAATACCATAGATATATGGCCGTTGCGCAGCCTTGACGAACCCTATATATGTTTGTGTACTTTTAATATAATAAATTAAGACATAAAAAATAAATTTCTTGCAAATAAATTTCTGTAAAATTTAGCACACCTTCGCCAACGGGGTATTCCGCATCACTCAAGCCAGATCGTCGGACCAAGGGTTTTACCAATGCGTGGCCACGAACCGTGCTGGCACCGACTCTAGAAGTTTCGAAGTGCGCGTTTCGGCCAGTTCAGTGTTGAGGGTCAGAATCGACCCCGCCCAGTATACCGGCCGAGTAGGCGAGGACGTGGTGCTCAGATGTATGGCCGATCGCGCTCAAATCGTGCGATGGAGCAAACAAAACGGCAACCTACCGTACAGATCTAGAGACGAAAACGGTCTGCTTTACATCCCCAGCGCGCAAGCGGACGATGCGGGAGTCTACATCTGTACCGCTACGTCTTACGACGGGACCAGAGGCGTGCAGACCGTAACGGTGTCCCTGACCGGCGACTCCGGGTAATTCAAACATAAACCGTGTATCGTGGAGTGTTTTTTTACGACCTAATCCAATTTTCAGCGTCTACCCGTCCGCTAGGGTATCCCAGGACCGTATAACGCTCCGGCAAGGCGACTCCGTCGAGATTAAATGCGACGCGTCAGGTTCTCCGCCACCGACAGTAAAATGGACCAAAGTGCAAGGCGATTTCGGCGCCAATCTGGAACAAATCGGCTCCACGTTACACATAAGAAACGCCAAGATCGAAGACAGGGGTGTGTACATTTGCGTGGTCACCAACAGCTTGGGCATAGAACAGGCCGTATCGACCGTGGAAGTTACACGTAAGTTTATATATATTGCGTACCTTCTACACCTGATAACATCTTTCTCATCGCAGTCTCCTTAATTATCTATCTTGAACAGCTTCATCTTGAAGATCTCTGCTGGTTTCTTCTTCATAGGTCTATTCGGGCATGCAGTTTAAATGTCTGAAACATTTCAAATGTTTGACATCTATTGCCTCTATTATGTTGCTCCTGGCTACTGCCCGTCATCCTGATTTAAAATTTTGAGTTTTGTTAGGACATAAATTAGGACAACAATTTTTTGTTACTCTTTTTTGTTAAATTGCACGCATCTACATCATTAACGACGACTATCTCGACAACACTTTTGTTTTTCATGGAAACTTCCACAGGCTACTGAAATACCGTTTACAATTATGAACGTTTAAAACTGAGTCAGATTCTACTCTGAACTTACTAATATACTGTTTTTAATGTTTCTCTAATTCCACATAGGCATTGGATGCTGTAAACTGTACAACTCTCACCACTCTAAAATTTCTCGTTTCTACGGACTCTCTAAGATTCAAAATTATCGGTTAACAACTCTCTTGTTTACAGAGCCGTATAACTGTCCCAACTCGAGCCACTGAACCCAGATTTAAAACATCTTACACATCTGCTCTTCTCGCTAATAATTTCCACATTAGAGATATTAAATGTGTCATCACAAAATACACTCCACCTCAACCTTCCATAGAAGATAAATCCGAAAGCAACCCAATACTTGTCACTGGGGTCCTTTCTTACATTCACTTCCTTTACGTCACTGACCACAAATCAAAAGTTCTTAAGAAATATAATGTTAAAACCAACAGCAGACAAAATTCCGTTTGAGATTCAGGACTTTATAGTATTCCGTGCATACGAATGAAAAAGTAACCATGTATTCTGCATTTATTTGTGACCTCTACTTTAAGTTTTCTTTGTTTAGTATCAAAGTATCATTTGCATCCTCTTCGCCTTAAACGCAAATTATTTGGTCATATGCGAAATGCGGTATGTATAAGACAATATCTCCTATACTCATACTACTGTACTTCGCTTTTCCTACTTCCAAGACTTACAATTTTGAATAGTGTGGATGCCGTACAATCTTAGGCCCTTAGACGCTGTAAACTCTTCTGATACAGCTTATGTGGTTTCGATATAGCATTCATTTATACATTCAAGCATTCCTGAACTTATTGGGGGGTTCACTATCGTGTGCTTTTTGCAGATCGATGAATATAAGGGCTTTTTTCAATTTATCTGCGTTTCTCACGCTGTTGTCTGAGGATGAGAGTACTATCAGCGGATCAGCCGCCAGTTGAGAAACAATTTTGTCTTCCTGATCTGAAAATCTCCTACCACTCTTTGCTTTATGATCTTGGTTCTGTGGTTTTGGTTAGTTTTGTTAATTGTTCAAACATGTTTGGGCTATGTTTAATAAGTTCAGTGACAACAGTTCCCGGACTAACAGGATTTTTCTATCATTTCAGGGACCTTGGGTTATATCTCTAATGTTTCTTACAGCAGAGTAAATGTTTGTGTTACCAGCTGATGCCATGAATTCTTTACGATCTTTGGTTAGTTTGGATGGATAATAATTTTTCCACTGATTGGCAGAAATGTTTGTTTTTATTGTCTCCCCCATGTCTTAATAATGTTTTAGGTTTCGCTAGGTCTTGCTCCTTCTATTAATATTCTCCAATACCTATTCTTTCCTTAATTATTTTCCATGGATATATGTTTTTACATTATAAAAAGCAACATCGGTATTTTTACTGCTAGGGTTTGAGGCTCCGTTGCTGCAAATTTATCCCGAGTCCACTTTAACGATAGTCGCGGGAAACAGCGCCCACCTGCAGTGCAGAACTATACAGGGCTATCCCTCGCCCACTATCACCTGGAGCAGAGAAAATGGTCGACCTTTGGGAACCAACGTAGAAATAATGTCCGGTGGAACATTAAGGTAATGAAAACGTCACATTTATCGCCATGTTGTAGTAATTATACTTTATTACGCAATCGGCATTGATATTTTTATATGCAGACGTCGAGTTTCCTGGATACTATTCAGGCCCTAATTGAATATTTTTATTTAAATTAAAATTACTAATTTTGGCAATACGTTAGGTATGTAGTCACGGTACTTAAGATATCGCACAATTGAACTAAAACTTAGAAACAATTCAAATAATATTATTACCTTAATATATATTAAAGGAAAATTAAGGAATTAATTAGTTAGAGAAGGGAAATATAATTTTTGGGACCTTGAAATATTAATAAATAAAATATTTTGAATGTAAAATAATACAAAAAGCTATAACTTTTTTTAAACAATAAAAATGTGGTATTCACTCTGCTCATTTTTTTTTTATAAAGGCACGGTGTTGCCGAGATAGCTGTCATAAATCATTAAATAAATATGAAAACCTGAACATTTTTTGTTCTAATTTAATTGCATGAATATTTCAGTTGCAAAAACATTGTAAAAATGCAAAATAACAAAAATATCTTTTATCATGAAAGGACGATAATCTTTGTAGAAGATAAATAAAAGGATAGAAAAGTACTTTATTCTCCAAGCAGCCATTTACTTTTTATTAATAGCAATATCTGTTCAACCTTTTATAAAATTTGCTTCAATTATATTTATCGTATTTCTAACATTAGAGTGACCATAGTTTACGTCCAAGTTCTTTACACCGCATGATCCTATTTTTGAGATAATCATTCGTATAAAAATAATTTACTATAAAACTCTACTGAAAAACAATATTATATCGCCCTTCACTAGTATTTTCATAGGCAAATATTTTAGCTATTGAAACTGAGGATATGACAGATGATTGAAAATGAAGAGTTTTATCTTTTGAACTGAAACTGAGAACAACACCAGATTTACCGTAAATCTCTCAACATCTTCATACATTGAAGAGATCGGTCGAAAAATATAAACTAGGCTCAATGAACATGATAGAGCCTTAAGACATCGAGAAGTAAACTCATCAGCAGTTACCGAATAAAATCATGGAGAAATTTCATATGATAAAGCATAAATTCCTGTATGTAATCAATTCTTCTATCAACGCAAAAACTCAGAATCCATAGAAATTTATAAGCAAAAAACAATCTTAACTACCATTCAAGTTTATACAGCAAGTACCGAGTAGAATGCGAGCCAGTTTCAGTCAAGCTCTGAAGAAGCCAACAGAATGATTGGCAAAACATCAAGTTCGATTCATCAACAAAGATTTGTTAATAACGTTTATCTATTTATATCAATTGTTAATTTGTTAGTTGTTATCTGACATAAACAGGACATGTTTCAAGTCAACTTCAGACTGACTTAACACTGACGTAACAAATACATTACGTATTAGATTATTGAAGTCACTTCAACAACACGTCATAATACATCTGACGTTTGGTGTCACGTCATGGGACTTTACGATGAGTCTGTTTAAAAGTATCCTGCTAACGCTTCTCCTTAGCTCGTTTATATATTTATTCGTCGAGAATTTCTGCGCCCTGCTCCTGCTGGCCCTCCTGCTCAACTATATCGGTTACCTGTTGTATTTCTATTAAGGTAAAGTGAATGTTTCCAGACTGACGAGAATCACCCAGAACGAGGAAGGCGCGTACGTGTGCACCGCATCGAACGACGCCGGCACCGCGACGGCGGTCGCCACCGTCGTGGTCCACACCTTACCCGAATTGCAAGTAACCCCGAACGAGGACATGATCACACGTTACGTGGACGAGCACTTGAGGCTCGAATGCAGAGGTACCGGAATCCCGGAACCTAACGTGCGATGGCAGAAGGAAGGCTTGGTTCCCAGGTACTTGTTTCGCGGTCCTCCTTTTTGGAGGTTTCGTTGATGGACACTTACCGTTCTTAGCGTGCGAGGAAGCTCGAATTTAGACGAGTCCCAAGTTTCGCGTTCTTACGCCGTGCAAGAGTTTACCCGTCTAACGACGCAAGACGCCGGCGTCTACGTGTGCGTCGGAGAAAGCGGCGCTGGTATCAACGAGAAGAGGGTACTGGTGGATATTTACCCGGAACGGGGCGATAATCCGGGTGAGTGAACTATTTTGCCTTTATAATGTGAGTTTATGTTCATGTTAGGTCTAATGTGATTAATTGATGATTTATTATTAAACCAGAATTAGCTTTTAAGCGCTAGCTCGCCATTTAACGGTAATTTTAATATCCTTTTCAAGTTTTGCAATATGTAACAAAATTTCTCATCGACTAGCATATATCGGGTGTCATGGGAATTTCTAGCACAGCGATACCTCTATAAACCAAAACTGCATAAACTTGAAATTTAGACAATAGGACAATAAGGCCATAGTGGTAAAACGGTATCGGAAGAACAAAAATGCCAAACGTGTACCATTAGTGAAATCAGTCTCATCAACTAACTGCTTGTATTTATTAAAAATCTGGCGACCTTGAATTGAACTGAGATTGCTTTTGATGAAAATCCTTATAACACAACACCGCGCGTCCGACGTCTATATAGATAGGGGGTTACTTGAAAAGTTTTTAAAAATTTTCTTTATAGTTTTTCTCAGCAAAATAATATTTCTCGAAGATGATTGCAGTTTTCAGATGAGACAACAAAAAGAATTTGCTCGGGGCTAGATCTGGTGAGTAAGGCAGATAGCCAAGCAGTGCAAACCATAATTCGTTATGGCTACTGCTGAGGTATGACAAATTTAACAATTGAAACGCATTCAAATCCATTTTGTTAATGTTCATAGCTTCCAACAAATTTAGGAATATAATTTTTTTCTCTTGGTGTTTTACGTAAAATACCAAAATTATCGTCGAACTTGTGCATTTCTGAATTTCAGTTAATGTCATAGTTAATATCCGAACTTTTATTTTTATACGCTCTTTTTATGTTCGTTGATGCGTTTCTTTGCAATTTTGGCACGTGATTCACATTTGAACTTGACTTGACCTAACACAGCGATTCCGGATTTTTGAGTTTTTCGTGATTTAGTGTTATTATTTTTTTAAAACTTTCTCATGATGTTTTCAATTTTAAAAGCAATCTTGAGACAAAATTTAGTTAGATGTTTCGAAATTGTCTTGCTAGGTTCTTCTATGTACTAGTATTTTACTGTTTTATAAATGTTATTAAACACCGAACCCAAAAACCCTGAAATAAAAAATAATACTTTTAAAGAGTGTATGAAAATAAAAGTTCTGATTCTAACTACGCAATTCATTGAAATTCAAAAATGCACAAATTTTACGATAAGTATTATATATTACATTATCCACCAAAAAGCAAAAAATTAAATTTGTTGGAAGCTATGGAAATGAACACAATGTGATATTCAAATCTATTACTTAATGACCAAATGGATTTGAATGGGTCTCCGCTATTAAATTTAAATTTATAACCTTACAATACCGGTAATTAAGAATCTGTTTATGTATGCAGACGTCGGAACATTCTAATATTTTATATAATATATAAGCACGGTATTGCCCAAAGAGCTTTGATAAATCATTAAATAACTGTAAAAATCTGAATATTTCTTATTCTAATTTAATTGCGGTCAAATGTTTTAGGTCAATATCAGCACTACCTGTTTTATTTAAAACTATGATTTCTGCAGTCTGCCTTGAATTTTTCTCATTCAGTATTAGCTGCTCATTTATCACTAAATAAGAAAATTAAAAAAACTGCACTGAAGGCGGTGTTACTTTTTTTTGTGAAAGTTTATCATTCTGTGACTTCCCATAAGTAGAATAACACTGTATGGCTTTCTTATCCATGCTGCCTTTGTTATTAGTCAAAATTGTTCTTTTTTTTTCCATAGCTCTAATAAGTTGAGAGATAGTAGGGTTCAAAAACTATCATCTTAGCTCAGTCAATTTAAATTTAGAAAAAAAACATATTTTAAGTAAAAAATGGAAAGATAGATTATTTAAAAAAAAAATTAATAATAATTAAAAAAAAACATTCGCTTTCAACGAAAGGACACTGAAAGTTGGACTTTGTAGTTTTACATTTATAATTGGCGGCCGTGACAATGACATGGCTGCTAATCAATACTACTGGGGCTATCCAAAAACGATAAAGAACATTTCTTTCATGGGTTTACCCGTGGAACAAAAAAACGGAAAAAAGGGTAAACCAACAACTGCTATTCAATTGAAATGTAGCCATATTTTATTTATTTAGTTCTTCCAAATTTCTGATTTATTACATTTTCTTCTACAGTTATCACTATGCTAGTAATTCCATTGAGATCCGGTATATTTCAACATAAAAAAGATTGGAGTACACTGTGACTTTTACTGAGCATATTTGCTCCACTGTCAACATACCAATCAGTTTTTTTTATAACTTCCATGCCGCATTAAAGCACATGTGTTGGAGCTTTCGTGGCCCAAAGCTTTTGACATGTTATAATTCCATTCGACTGGTTATTAGCTTTTCAAAAATATATGACAAAAAAAAAGCTATTTAAATTTAAAGCATATATCTTTAATTTGATTTTTTATGAGTAAATAAATAACACATAAGTTACATTATTTATTTCAAAAAGTTTTCAAAACATATGGAAATAAAATTGTGTTTGTGTGCAATATACTATTATATCACAAAACTAAAACCTTTTTTTATGGCCCATTATAGGATATATATTTTTGACAAGCTAATATCAAAAAATAGGAGAAAATGACTACACCACTGGATCCTACGTAAAAAAAACTATATTCACGTCATTTTCCACCTTGTCGAAAAATGTCCAAGTAACATTTTGAAAATCAGTCTGTATCTAAAAATTCAAATCAAAAACTTGACGTCCTAAAACCATCAAAAATGGGACATTTTGTGTGTATGTAAAGTAAGCACGTCAAATATTGCCAGTTTAACGCTTAGTTGTATATAAATCTTATATTTTTATTAATAATTAACTACAAATTGCGTAGGAGTATATAAATACATTGTTGCTAATACTGTATATTAGTTAACTGAAAAAACTAAATAGAAACTAAGTTATTGTAACTAGGCCTCCTATTATTCTTCTAAAACAAGATAAATTAAGAACAATTATACTTTCTTATTGCCATCTTTATTCACATTAGGAACTACAGGACAAGTAAACCTTTCTTTGTCATGTTTGGTTAAACCTACACATTCTTCATGTTTGTTTGCGAATTGAACCGAAGCAATTTGTTTGATCACAATTAGTGTGAAAACTTTGTTCATTTCCTTCTCTTTGTGTAATCAAACTCAGTGCATTAGCTTCTCAGGCCTCTGGTCTAATGGCTTCAAAACCAGAAATAATGTTTAGAGTAATAGCTTTTAACCAAAAGGGAGTAAAAATTTATCCCATCCTCATTTTTCTTTGCTTTTCAGAATTTCTTGTTCCCAAAACATCTCAATACTTTTAAATACGGACTTGTCCATGGATTACTACTAATGCGACGTGTTGCTTTGACGGCAAGATAATGTTATGTTAACTATGGAAATATCAAGCTGACTTTAGGCCACAGCAAATGTTAGCAGTGTAGGGGCAGGATTTTTGAATGTAGAAAAGTGATTAAAGCACTCAGTAAATGCTTCACTTATTATGTTACCTTTACGACATATTTTGCCCACGCTGGGATGCAGTTAACTGTACCCGCTTTACCCATTTCTAGTCTGATAAAATTTGTTGTTTATGAATTGTCAATCTGAACCCTTTCTCGTCCAAGTTATAAATGTTACCTAGTTTGTCAAATATCTTTAGCTGCTAGATAGTTGCTCACAACTTATGGAAGTAGTCATCAACTGTTGGGTCAGGTGGGCTCGTGGCATATTCTTCAGCTATTCGTCTTGATACATCCAGATGCTTTGACAAGAGTAACTTGAGCCATTTTCTTCCAGCTCTTTTCGAGATTTTGAAAAACGGATTTGAACCATGATTGTACACGAAAATACACTTTCCATTGAAATCTTGCTTGTTATAGGCATTCCTACCTCAGATACTCTTTGAATTCTTCCAACAAGGTCAGTTTCTTGTGTCGCAGAGAATATCGAGCTTTCTTTTTGTATTTAGGTCATATGATTAAGGCTTAGTGTTGTACGAGGGATATTTTCTTTTCTTTTCTTTCTGACCACTGAGCTATTTTTCTTGATCTTCCTAATATTGCCAGTGAAAATATTTTGAATCCTTAGTGGTGGCAACATTAGAAGCAAATGACGTATAAAAAAAACATTCCCTAACCTAGAAATGCATTTCAAATAATACACGCACATCAAAAATTAAACCTTCCGATGTTAAAACAAGTAGCCGACTAATCAAAAACTACCTTACCTACCTACAATGGCAATATTTAGAGCACGTACCTTATTTGTTTAAAAATTGAGGTTATATCTACATTGATTAATCCTATTAGACTACAGTAGCCAGGCGTATATTTTGTTATTATTGTTGTTTTGCTTTTAAAATAATGATAAAATGACAAAAAATATGCCATATTTAGTAGAAAAAACGTAACAAATTACGAGGGTTATTCGAAAGTCACTCTCTTTCTAAGGGGTCAATGAAGCCCAAGACATATGAAATAAATCTAAGAACACTCTGGTGGTTGTTTTCTTTAAATAAATATAAACAACATTGTTTCGCGTGTGACAGAACGAGAATTTGTTCGAACAGGCCTCTTACAATATTTATGTATCTAAGTTTGCTCCGCAAATTTGGGACTTCAAAATTACGCATTGTTACCCCCGACAGAGTCATTAGCAATTTAGGAATGGTGTTTCATAAGACGAGTTTCTCAACAACATCATTTATGACAGAACAGTAAAAAAAAAACATCCCTCTTGCTACTACTTTTTTACGCTGCATAGGTTCAGGTCCCCAACCGAGACTTCTTGCAGAATGCGAAAAAAAGCGGAAACAATTTATTGAGGGTGGACCACGACTAGTGGTTCATAAGCACGAGTGGCAAAATTCAGCAAAGATCTTGTATTAAAGGGGGGGGGGATATTAAAACTGATTCAGATTCTTTCGCTGTGCAATCTATAACAATGCTAATTGAATTTTTGGGTCTACAAATTTGCGCCGTTCCACTAATATTTGTCGTCTAATGTGGCGTTTGCTTTCTGTTTCAACTGGAACTCTACTAACTGGGATTCTAGATCAACATCCGGGAGGTAAGTGTTACATTAACGATAACATATTAATTATTGTTCAATTATAACATTGGTCATTGGAAAACTGAACTTTGGAATTAAATAGGCGGAGACGTTGGACCGCGACTTGACGAGCCCTTCGAAGAGTTCAATGCGATCGCCGGCGGGAGGGCGGAGATTCGGTGCAGGATAACTAGCAGCTGTAAGCATAGTTTAGAATACGTATAGTCCTCCCAGAAAGATAAGAGAGCTCAACTAACATTTTTTGTTTGACAATGGTAACGGTTACTAGTTTATAAAACCTGAGAACTGAGAAAACCTGAGAAATGTTTGCGAAACGTTTTCGTTGCTATTGTTAAAGCTCTGTAGAATATAATGCCGAATGTTATAAAGGTAACGGTGACCAAATTTTGTAAACCAGAAATTTTTTTTTCAAAGAAACGTCCACAGGCCACTGTAATATTTACAAAACTTCCAGATGCCTCCGGCGTCGGTTGTTGTTTAGTCGAAGTTTCTGACGTTTCGCCAATCACTTTAGCTCTGAAGAAGCGAACAGGATGAAGGATGAAAGGTCAACAAGTTCGACCCAACAACAACCGACACAGGACTAATCCAGATGTTTTGTAAATAGTGTTACAGAAATTAGTTTTATAACAGCAGGAATTGCGCTTACATTAACATTATACCTAACACGAACGAGGTTTATTAGACCAAGAAGAATGTTAACAACAATTCTGGCACTAGGCCTGTCCCCTAAATATTTAGAATTACACCTATGTAAATTAGTTTGTCATTTTGAATCTTGAAATTGAAATTAAAATATTTGCATGCAATCAATTGTTTCACCAAGGAAAAATCCGGCGGTTCATAGAAATCTGACTCAGTCTGCACGTGATAATGAGTAGTGATACATCTGCCTGCCTAAAAAAAAATAAAGGCAAAGAAAATTCGACAATCTCTTAATATTTATTAGGTTCCATAAAATTACAGGCAGACTCTAATATTAAATCCTTTGGGAACTTTTATAAAACTTAACCATGTGTCTTGCAATAATACCCAAGGCGATTTTGGAATACTAACTACAGTTTTCAGTTCTTTATTTATTGCCACTCTGGCCCGGTAAAAGAGTTAAAAATGGAAATAAGTTGATTCGGAACACAAATTTATTGCCGGAATCTGATAGGAAAGAACGGCGGCTATTAATCAGCTCCCTAACCTTTGACCAGGTTAAAATAATCCACGCAGATAATAGGTTGTTACACACAAGTATCTTTTGACAACCTGGCAGGGCAGACCTATATATCTTGATGAAATTTTAGTCTATTTCTTTTAATTTTCTATAGTTTTCGATGATTTATCGCCTGGTGCTTTGTTCATATTTCTTAGACTTCACGACATTAAAAACATTGCGGCCTCCTTCTAAAAGCAACGGAGCGTAGAAATGAATTAAAACAAGCTGTGTGGAGGGTATTATCAAAATTTTTTTTCAAAATGTGGTTTCTTACTCTTCCACAATGAATGATGGTCTGTGCTATGTTCATCTACGACTTTAAGAAACCTCAAGACAAAAAAAGTCGAAAACTACCACTACAACTGCGTAGAGCTGAGATTTCTTACAAACCCCTTATAATATTCGTTACCTTTAGCTGCGAAAAATGTTAGATGTTGTTAGTTAGTTAGCTGAATGCATTAAATTGCACTGAGAAAAGTTATAATACTCTATTATAATTCTGAGACGACTATAATTGTTTATTCAACAATTTTCAGCGGACGTGGAAACCTACACGGACTGGATTAGAGCGAATAACGCCACCCTGCCGCCAGGGGCGTATATTCGCGAAGGCGTGTTGTATATCGACAACGTGCAACCTTCTGCAGCCGGGGATTACGAGTGCGTCAGTTATTCGACTCGCGACCGCCAGGTGGTGTTCAGGGTCCGAAGCCGGCTTCGAGTGTTGTGTAAGTAGTGTGCTCCGCACGCGGTGATTTCGATTCAATCTGCGTTTCTAATCTAGTATAACCCAAAAACTATTAATGATGTTTTTGACCAACTAGTTACAGTGTACTTGAGAAATCTGTGGATCTGTAAAAACTTAGGTATCACAGGCACAGAGTGACTCAACGAACACTTCAGCCGGTTTCAGTGATTGACGTTGATTTCATTCCAACATTCTCTTTTTTTATCTGGTGCAGGTAGTACCACTCTGGTTTGGATCAAATTATGGGTTTCCCCTATTGTTATCAATTTGCCAACACTTAAAATGGTATACCAAAAGCGCCCTCGTAAAAATGATCGTTATGTAAACACAATTAAAGTTTGGTATTACCCACATAATATTAGGAGTCATCACTTTTTATTAAACATTATAAGAAAATTAAGTCGTAAAAACAAATATGAAATAACTTCAATAAGTTCCTATCTTTGACCAGCAGCCGCGTGTTGCATTATACTGATAGTGTGTAGCTCACTCTAGCGGGGCGATCTGACAGATGGCTAATTCGTCAATTCGCGGTTGATAAGGGTGTCACTTGTTTTTTCTTTGGTATATTTAACGGAAAATGTAATTAGATTTACTAGATAGACTAGGCTTAAAATCATAAACGTCATAATCCAACGTCATTGCACTTATATACCATTACCTTGAGCCAGTCGCCTTAAAGCTTGTGTGACAAGCGCTATTTTTGACTTCCTTTATTGCTACGTTCATCTGTGTCTCCAGAGTCTGTCCATCACAGAACCAAAATCAACCAATTCTCGTTTAAATAATTACATTTTTCGTTTTCCTACGCGAAATTGATGCATTGACGTTAAATGTTTTTGTTTCCATTGCATCAATCGTTGGATCTCATTAATGCAACTATGCTTGTCAATATTTTTAAATTTTAGTCCGTGGAGAAATCGCCACAATATTTCGCGACTGCTAGCGAATAGACCATTTTCTTTTACTTTCTGTGGCAATGCTCCGAGTGACTGTGTGAAAACTATAAATTATTGCCGGATTTTTTTATTTTCTATATAAAAGTTTCAGTAATGTTCTAGTAAACTTTAACTGTTTCCTTTTCAAACCGTTTTTTAAAAATTAAATACACACCATGTGCAATTGTATGAAGATAGAGATAAAAATATTAGTATTATATAAATTTCACATTCATATACTCGTAAAACGATCTAAAGATAACAAATAATGGAGGGTCAGGGGCCTTTCTTATGACAGTTAAGTCTTATTCTAGCATATTCTAGTGTCCCACCCATTTGGAGTGATTGGAAACGCAGGTTGACCCTCACCCGCATAAAATTAGACGCGCGCAAGTTTGATTCGGATAGAGATGCGTACTAACGTTACCTTTTTCTATTTTTTTTCAATCAGCCGAGGAAGACATATTATGTGCACATAGAGGTACTGTATGTTTTCATCGGTCCTTTTTTTCATCACTTCACTACGACGTCGCGCAAAATTTCTAACTTTTGAGATATTGAGGGATTTTGTTACGCAGCGTCGCAACCGCCATTTTAATTTCGAAGTTAAGACATTGCATCGCTTAGTGGTGTTGTGGAATGCTTATGTTTAAGGTTGATCAAGTTTTTACCCCACTTTATTTTGATATCCTCTAGGGTGTTGCATCAATAAAACTTAAATGGTTGCAGTTTTATCATTTCTTATTGGTGGGAATTTCTGTCACATTGTGTGGTCCTTTATTGGGCACCGGAAAAAAATTGAAAAATTGGAAATATCAACTTTCTTATTCTAATTGGACCCCTATATATTATTGTTTTTTGCGTCCAGACTTATTGCAATAACCTATACCCAAATTTCATCGTTTCTGAGATATTTAACATTTGAAATTTTACGATATTACCCTGTAAACAATGGTGCGTTAAACAAATGTAGTTAGTAATTTCGATTACTAAGAATTCAAGATGCAGGATAACAATTAAAATGGAATTGAAAAGACTGACGAAAATCTTTTTTTTCTATTTATAAACCGCCTATTTTTATATGTAAGTCCAAGTCCAAGAAAATTTTTGTTATGTTAAACCCCGAACTGTAACGCAGAGCAACGCATAAAATCGTAAGTTACTTTTTTAAACTGGATTCTATTAAACACGGTTTAGTCCACTAATAATAATACTATTTACAAATCTTCTGGTCGGTTGTTAATCAATCGAACTTGCTGAAGTTTTGCTAATCATCCTGTTTGGTTCTTCAGGGATTAACTGAAACTGGTATTCAATGTACACTATAATCTGCAATCTGCTTATATAAAAAAGCCATGAATCGGGGTTAATATTGTTTGGTTATTTAGATATTTCTATGAAATTTTTCTTTGGTATGAGAATTGAGTACATGCATAAAATTAATTTGGTGGTATTAGATTTCACGTCTAGTTGCATCATCATGTTGGGAAAATGCTGATAAGTTTATTAGTCGTAGTCTCAAGGCTTTTTCATATTCTTTTTGCCTAGTTGATATTTTTCGACCTGTATCTCTTTACTAAAGTTCCTATTTTTGAAACTCTTCAAATCTGATTATTTGGAATCAAATATTCTCATCTTAATTGATTCTTTTAAATACTTTTATCGTGTAAATGTCAAATTTATGAACAAACAATATATAAATTATTATCACCAATTATCGCAAATACATTTATTTAAGCTTTTTAATAGACAATCAGACCTAACATTAGCTCATTCAATTTACAGGAGACATACATACATACTTAGATCCATCAAGGACAAAACGTTGGAGAGAGATGATGAAAAATGCCAGCAAATTCTAGCTAAAGAAAAACTAACCAAACAAAAAAAAATCGAAAATCCATGGTAATTTCTAAACAACCAAATAATCTTAACCTGACTCGGGACTGGCGAAATGTCAGCAAGGTCGTTTGGTCAGCAACCGATGTAGGAGGAACCCTTTAACTAATAATATCGATTCTACAATACTACTAAGCTGTTCATCATCATTTTCTTGCACTATAAGTCTTATTTATATCTATATAACATCTTTATTATAACCCGCAGCACCTCCTCGCATAATGCTGAACCCGTCGAGGCAGGTGGTCGAACCGGGACAAGACGCTTATATAGATTGTTCCGCGACCGGCGACCAACCCATCCAGATCGAGTGGAACGCCGTGAACCGTACTATACCGGCCAGCGTGTACCGTCACGATGGTTACATCCGTTTCAACAATATCGATATGAGCGACGCCGGAATGTACAGATGCACCGCCCGAAACTCGGCGGGCGAGGCCGATTCCGTCGCCGAAGTAATCGTAGCCCGTAAGTATCGTAACGGCGCCCTCTAGCAGTTACCCTATCCAACACAGAGTGTTAAAATAAAATTTGTATAAACATGTTTCCTTCAATGCAGTGGTTTGAGGATATGGGGTTGAAATTTTTTTATTAACGTCTAAAGAAATATTCACTTGATTTTTTTGAAATTTGACAATGGGTATTAAGTCCAGTAGCATCCATAAAATCCATCAACCCATCAATAAACCCTTTACATTCACTGTTAGACACGGGCGTTCCCCCTCCCTTATCCTTAACGCTCTGCATCAAATTGTCATTCATTTTTGATGTTGTTCATCTTCCTGTTGTCAATCGGAGAACATGACCAGCCCAATTCCATGTGTGCTATGACTTCGCAAGTACCCATTTCGCATGTTATCACGAGACGAGACTCCGAGCATAGATGTTTTTATTTTTCTGTGAATGTTCTCTGATGTTGTAAGAGTCGGAGTTTCCGTACCGTAAGTCAAAATCGCCAGCATATAATGATTTAAAACTTTCCGTTTTATTGATGTTTGTCTTAAAGATCAGGCTAGTGCATCGGAAATTGGTTCAACTGTATCAAAAACTTGATCACAATCGAGAAAGGCACGATCGAGGGGTCTATTACATTCGATAGATTTCTCAATTACAGTTTTAAAGCTCAGTAGATGGTCGTTGGTCCTAAATGCTGCCTGCTATATCGGTTGGTCGAAATTTAGTTTGTTTTCGTGTATTGAAGAATATTTATAGATTGCTGTGCATGCTTATCGATCTATAATTTTCTAGTTCGTCTGTATATCCTTATTTGTGAAGTAATATTATTCGAATGTATTCGTCCGTTACTGTCAATGAGGCTGTATCTTTAAGGCCCACCACGGTCTACATCTAAATTGCCATTGTTCATTCTAAGTTTGATTTTGGTGTTTATCTTTGTGGTAGCTGTCATTCGTACTTCCTTTATGAATCCACATCATCATTACTTAAAGAATTTTTTATTGGGAACAATTATTAATAACCATTAAAGAGCGCTATTGACTTTTCAGATCAGAGACCGACTATCCAGGCAGAGAATCGTTTCGCAAGCGCCGCACCCGGTTCAACGGTATCGATGCGTTGTAGGGCCGGCAAGCCTGAACAACAAAACAACATCGAGTGGATCCGTGAGAACAACGAGCTGCCACGCGGCTCTAGGATAAGCGGCGGAAACCTAACCATCTACAATATCAAGAAAGAGGACGAAGGTCGATATCATTGCGAGATCCGAACCCCGGATGGTACCGTTTCCGACTATTTCGATCTGCAAGTGCAAGGTAGGCGATCCATATGCCTAATAGTAGCCTTAATTGTCGGAGATCGTAGCACCAAGTATTAGTTTAAGCACATTATTGATCCGCACTTAACCGGCTCTGGGGACGCGTGTCACATGGAATAGAGATGTTCATAAAAAGGATAAATTGCTTCACGTTATAAAAGGATCAGAAATGGTATTCAAAATGTTCCGAATAATAAACAAAGGTTTCGGTTAATTTTAGCTAATCCGTTAAAATTCGCTAAAAACTCTCTCATTGATCATGACGTTAACGCTCATATGGAAACCGTAAGGCAAACTAGCAGCCGCACATTTTCATATTTGTAAGAGGAGATGTTTAATGTAAGTCATTTTCTCATTTTCCAAAAGTCACAAAACCAATATTTCGCGATAACATTTTCTTTCTTCCGATCCCTCTCCCTTTGATTATTCTCTCGAGCAGGAGGTCTCATGATATACGCCAGATACGCTATTTTCATCTCCTAGATTAGTTTAAACAGTTATTTGTTGATACGCGTTAAAAGTTCGAAGAAGTCAAAAATCTTTGTTAATAGCAGTCTTGCTTCCACTATTGCTTCTTCTGCAATATTAAGATGGAAGCTACAAAGTTATTCAGGGTTCTGAAAATAACCAAAAATTTCAAAATTTTATTCGATCTACAATTACAGGGAAACTTGCGTCGTCCTGTCAATCGCAAGGCCCTTAACCACAAAAATAAATGTCAAAATAGAACAACTTAATCACAATTCTGGGGAAGTAGATCTTGTCTGAGACAGGTCATAGATAAGAAAAAACAAAAACATCGACATACAAAAAACTAACCAGAACTACGAAAAGCTATGGTCACAAATCCCAAAAATATACTTTTCTTGAGATATCGGTGTAAGAGATATAAAGACAAAAGTAGCTCGAATATAGCAAGCCACAAAAGCCCTTCACGCCATGGAAAAACGAAAAAAACAAAAAGGATATTTCAAAACAGAGCCCATAATATTTGGTTTTGAAGAAGTTCAATACCACAGAATACAGTTTTTGGAGTTCTTGTAACAAATCCCTTAGACGTTCTGATAATAGAATTATGTCTTCCGCTAAATGCACGTATTGTGTTTAAAGTTAAAAGCACGAGGAAAGCAAGTCACAAAAACCCCTTCATGGATTGCTATGGAACGACGCTCCGAATAAAGAATACAAAAAAGATTCTTTCAAAGAATAGCACAAAATATCACCTTATATACGGCAGAAGTTTGCCCAGTGACAACAAGAATAAGAAAGAAAATAAGAACTGCAAATTTTGTACTGCAGTAGTATGGCCACCTACAGAAATTCCAGAACACAGGTCGCCAAAACGAATATCGGAATGGGAGTCTCCAGGAAGAAGACATAGAGGGGAAACACGCATTAGACGTGTGACTATAGATAGAAAGAGTTCCAAAGAAAAAGAAGAAGAAAGTATTAACAATTGAGGAAACTAATATCCTTTGTTCTCCCACCTTATTGACCAGTGGTTAGCTCGTGTTGGCGATCAGCGATATCTATATTTCCACACTGTTAAATCTAATAATCAATCTTCCTTTGGCATTACAATGAAAATGTTCGGCAAGATTTCTGCAGGTTGAGAATTGAACAGTATACTCTTATCTGGTTGATAATTGACTACATATGAAACTACGTCTGTCTTGATTCGAGCTGCAGCATTAGCCAAGTGTTTATTTGTGAACTGTTATCAATCAGAGTTTTCTTAACAATATACTAAAATTTGGTTTGGTTTGTTAGACTTTTTGTTTCTGACTTGAGTTTATTATAAAGTAAAGTATTTAGGGAATTTTTAATAAAGGTAGTAAAAGCTGTACCTGCGGAAAACAACTAAGTCAGCTGACTTGAATGTTGTCATGAATTTCAAGGAGAGTAATGTGACGCGATTTGTTTACAATGGTCACAAAAACCCGCTTCATTCAAATATGCCTCCTCCGCGCCCTCAACCACGCTCTCCTTAACTACCTTAATTGTCGATTTTTCTCATCTCAAACTGTATTTCCATTCGATCGCAGACTGTAATTTTCCAAATATGCTGACAAGATTTTTTTGCAGTGAATTCGATAACTTTACCGAAAGTGGAAATAATTAAACGGTTCTAAAATTATCGGGTACATAGGTGTAACCTTTTCTGCGAGCAGGTAGTATATTCCAACACACGATAAATGATCATGGCTGTAATACTCCTTTTATATGCCTTTTAACGTTTTTATCTTCTCGTAATCATTTTTGAGCCAAGACAGTAAATCGCTCAAGGTAGTAATAATAGGGGCATATATACACACTAAATTAATTAGTCTTTAGAATGGTTTGAATCTATCTATTATCCAAGGATATAATTAATGGTTTTTGCGTTTAGTGCATAGTGCAATTGCTCGGTAATAGAAATAATGATAAAAATAAGAATATGTCACATAAATTTTATCTTTATATAGTTGGATAACGATTCTCTTGCAGCACTTATTCAAATGTCACTTTGTTTTTGGTTCCTTACAAACCTAAATTCCTCCATGTCCTGATAAACCCTCCGTTTATTAAGGGTTTATTAATGTGATTGTAAAAAAGTATTTCCGATATTTTTTCTTTGGTAAATGTTATTGTATAGGGGGTTTAAAAAAAGCACGACAAAAAGTATATAAAGGCTGATCTAAATTGAGTGTTCATCATTGGAAACTTTGTTATGAATAGAGATACAAAGTCCATTAAATTAGCAAACTAGTGGCATTTTTTCATTGATTTTTATGGCGAAATCAGAAAAACAATTGAATGTAGGGATCGTAAATTACCACCAGAACAAAAAAGGCCATATACAATATTAGGCTAAAATTATCAGCACAATTCTGTTTTGGACTAGATGGCTATGAGTGGTAGCGAAATAAAACTCTTTTTTCCTATTACTGTTTTATTTGAGGGTGGGAAACATTGCTTTAAAACGTCAATGTATTGGTATCTTTCCTTATAAAGTTCGTCCTTCAAACAATTATAAATGAAGTGGGAACCTAGGACGCCAAGGAATAGGTCTATTTGAAGCAATCCATCTGTTGTTGAAAATGGTTATAAAAAAATTGATATGTACCTCGGACGTTATGAGCTGGTGCGCTCTCCTGTTGGAAATAGATAATGTGCCTACTTATGACGTCGAGCTCAGCTGGACACTCCAGCTGGAATTTCAGTAACAATCAAGAAGATCAAGAATACGAGAACCAGACGTTAAAGCTGAAACGAACTTGTGAAACTCGGAGATGTACTAGCAATAAATTTTCTCTTGACCGATGATGATGATATTTGGATTATAAATTCCACAATTTGAAAATTTGATTAGTCATTCTTCAAAATATACCGAGAATTATTTGTTTTGGCGGCAAAAATTAACATGTCAATTACAAAAAAAGTCTTCTCTCTGCATCCTCTGGTCGGTATTAAAGAATAAGTTAGAATCTTTGACTCGAATAGAACTGTCACAATGCTTCAAAATATCCCAGAATACCGATTTCCACGTCTTCACTTATAATAGCATTTTCTCGTAAACTTTTTGTACAAACGGTTTTATTATTTCTAAAGATTCGGTTAAGGCGCAAAAAAAGTTGTTCATGTGGATATGGATATAGGTTTATTTATCGTTCTCTTGCCGCTACAGAGGATTGTCGAACTTTTCTGCGTGCGCAAAAACCATTTTTGAATAAGTGATACAGTAAAATTAATTGAAACAATTGATAACAATCGATCTAACAAGCCTTTTTTGAGCAATTTTTTCTGCACCTTTATCGAATCTTTAAAAATGAGGAAAAAAGATGTGGAAATTGGTTGTTATTATTTCTTATGTATAATAAAACAATAAAAGAAAAATGGAGTGTTATTTCGCAACCACTCAGAGTCATATAGTCCAAAGGAAAAATATGCTGATACTTCCGTTATTTTCAATTTTAGGTTAATATTGCACATGACCTTTTATGTTCTGTTGTTGATTTACGAACGTTAGAGTAAAGCAGTACACATACTTGGGGACAACCATAAACGAGAACTGGCACAACTCTCAAGTAATACGATGTCGCATCGAGAAGGCCCGCTTTTTAAGAGTCGTAATCTGTCCTTACACATGAAACTTGCGTTGCTACGTCTTCTCGGTGCTTCTGTATGGCGTAGAAACTTGGATACTCATTAAGGAAACCACCAAGAGACTGATAGTATTCGAACTGTGGCTGTACAGGACAATATTGAAAATATATTGGACACAAAAATAACCAATATATTGCAATTATTGCAACGTATGAATAAAAAAACAGGACTGCTTGATTCCGTAAAATGTCGGAAACTTCAGTAGCTCGGTCACATAATGAGGAACTCAGGTCAATATGGGTTATTACAACAAATCCTCCAAAGCAAAATTAACAGCAAGAGAGCACCGGGTCGAAGGACAATATCTTGGTTAGCAAACCTTAGAACGTGGTTTAACAAATCTTCAGCAGAACTTTTCCGAATCGCCATCAACAAAGTAAAAATAGCCATGCTAATCGCCAACATCCGGAACGGATAGGCACGAAGAAGTGTAAACAATATGCAGGGTTCGTAATCAGTGGAAAAATGCTACTAGTTTGCTAATTTAACCGAATCTGCACCCCTACCCATAACAAGGTTGCCAATGATGAACACTTAATTTACTGCAGCCGGTATGTTGACTAGTATGAACTCTGCAGGCACAAGTTGTCCATACATAACCAATATGTCCTTACCATTTATCGCGTGCTGGACTATACCTTGCTAACTTTAATTTTATCCAGGAAGCATTGATTTATTAGTATGGTCAAGTACGGAACGATGACGTCACTAGGGACTAACCTCGCGAGAGTGCTTCAATTTATGTATTTTTAATTTGAAATTAGTTTAAAATGATTAAACGGTGGTTAATTCTTAACTAGGCTGTGAAAATCTATTGATTTTTTATAAATTTTGATAAATAGTGGAACTTCCTGTTCGATCGCTGCGTTTTAATATGGATAAATCAAATTCTATGTGACACGTAGTCCCGCCGCCACGATCGTTTTAATATAATATATATATATATTGCATCCCTGTCATTTGCATGATCGATCAGTGCAACAGCCGGGCTGTCGTAGTGGTTGGTGGCGTTGCGGCAATGGTAAATGTATCTCGCCGGGGTTGGTCTGCGACGGATCGAACGACTGCGAGGATAATTCCGACGAGATATCGGGCTGCGCTGATTGGACGCGACGGGGTTTGTGACACTACTCTCTAGAGAAAAAAAACACACACCTATACACACGCAAAAACTGCGTAGATCTTTCCCTCTTGCCTCTCTCCACCTTAGCAGTGTCGTCGTTTCTTCGGTTTTGTCCGGGATGGCGCTGTAGTCGTAATCGTCTAGCGAAGAACACAATGCTTGGACGCCATTACTGTTGCGCGTCCCATCGTGTTCTTTCTCAGTCTTTATTTAGATGTTGTGCTTTCTGTGTCCGTATTACTAATGTTGTGTCGTTCCGTTTCCTATTTATTTTTATGTTTTGTAGATTCTAGGAAACTAAATCTTCTACGGCTGTATCGTTATAGGAAATTTGGATACTTGGGTACTTGGGTAATATCGAAATCAACACACCACTGTAATTTTTGTAATGAAGTCGTTTTGCCACTCTATAAATAAATAAGCAAGCTGGAGAACAACGGATTACCCCTTTATTGGCTTATGAAGTTAGAGAAAGCAATGAAAGATGTGAGCTCTGTATGATTTGTGATGGTATAATCGGCAATAAAATAGATTGTTCCACTTATAGTTCAACAGATATTATTCCGCCTTAAATGTGTATCTTCTGACCAATGCAAGACAGCAGTCACTAACGATCATGATCATATTTACTTGAGAGTAAGAGAAACAGAATCAGTTGTACTTGGCATTTATTAATTTAGCTAGAACGCCCGTACTCAGAGATGGATTCAAGCATTTTCTATATATTAATAGATCAGGGTGTTCCTCAATGATATGCAGGTGAATCTACATGAAAAAATTATAAAAAATTTTTAAATATGCTATTGTCCCAACATTTAGTCCATGCAATAAAAATTAAAACCAAAAAAATCGGAAATTTCAAAAAATATATATCATCAGAGCCAAAATTGGAACTGCTACTACCAGAAACTCATTCTTCGTCTACATTAATAAGAAGTGGTGATACCGTTATATCAAGTGTATTATCTTTTTCCCAGTATTCTTTTATTATATTTTCTGTATGTGTTATGCAACTGATCCAATTTTCTTTGGTAACTGCCTGGTGGTGCATTCCAAACAGATACTACTGCATTATCATCGTGCCTTGCATCACTAACAATATTTTTATTAAAATATATTTTGCACTGAGTCCACACCAATTCTATGCCATTAAATATACAATGGTAAGCATGCGATCTTTAAACTTGATGAACGATTTTAGCAATTATTTCGCACGTAGCAGACGGCTAATTTGTTTTGTACTTTATATTTGGGTAATTAATCCGCTTACTGCGCCACCACTTGATAACTTCTTCTCCTCTTATCACTAAGTCCAGAATGATATCGTGGATTGGCCATAATAATTAAAGAGTTTCGGCAGCGGCTTTTCAAAAATGCGACCCAGTTTTGTAGTGGAAACTTGTCACAGTGAAAGTGACAACAACGCTACAAATAGTAAAACCATGTTCAAAAGGTGGCAATTTTAAATTAATGGAACATTGTTAATCTTATTCCCAGTGGGTGAGATGAGATGTCTGACTTTTGTATTATATGCGACCACACTAGCAGGGTGGGCTGTAGATCAGGTTAGATTTTTTTAAATGTGGTCCTTCGGTTTTGAGTAAAACGAAGGATGTTCGGGTTGTAATTTGCTCTAAATATATTGAAATCTTCAAACAATCTAAAATTAAGGGGCTAAGAAATTTTATAAACTGTAATTTGACATAATTGTGTTTTTATTTCAGTTAACGTTTATTTGTTTTAAGCGTACATGTTTTAAGTGACTGGAGTAGTATTATTTACCATAAGTGTTTATTGTCCATGTCATGCAAACTTTAACTTATTATTGTTATTATTATGTTGTTTATGTTACCAACAAGGAAATGCCAGTGAAGCGATATATTAAGTGATTTTCCTTCATTTAGAGTTTAAATTGCATATTCTATAAGTATCACAAATTTTGTTCTTACATATATTTATTTATATTCAAGATTATTATTGAGTATTTTCCACACCTAGTGTATTTGAAGCATGTGTGCTTTAATGTTTTTGTTTATTGTGTAAAACAATTTTAGTAATTTGTTCCTTTTGTAATAGAATGCAATAGAATATCATTTTTAGTCTTCCTGATGAAGCCTTCAAACTTGAACGAAAGCTTGAAGTAATTGACAATAAATGATAGTTGTTACAGAGGCACCTGAGATGTTTACAGATGTATCCCATTGTTATTCAGCTTGATTATTAGCAGTGCCCCGCTACTGTCTTTCCGGTTATAGATAAATGATGAAAACTTTTAATTTTTGAATACACAAAATTTAGCGACAGGTGCACCTAACAATTTTAAAAATCTGTTTTACAAAGCCAATTTCTAATTTACAAAAATAAATAAACTGCACTAAATGTAGTATTTTCTCAAGCTCTTATAACTGATTCAGGGTAAGCTTGTTATTAAGCTTTGGATAATTTCTTGAGAAATATTTCCCCATTCCTAGAGAAACAAGCACTGGCATATGTTATGTTTTACCGTTATCTTTGAGAGTGGAATAATTAAATGTTGTCATATGCTATGCGCCACCTAGTTGTCGATAGCTAAGGAATTTTTGGGCAATCCAACCACAACTTCAAAAAAACTGCTGTCAATCCACCAACATAAAATTGGTCTCTGCCCATCAGTGCTGCAGGAAAAAGAAGAAGAATAACGATTTAAAAGAATCAGACCCTGGAGGCCCAGAGAGTATCACCTCACTGAGGATTTTAGATCTGTGACAAAACTCAGCTTCCTACAGCTAATTAGCGCGATAATTATTCCGCGTTCAAAGATAACCGTATCAAAATTTTGGTGATTTAAGGAGAACAGACAAAAGTAACACAGTACTTGACGCCGAACTAATCATTTTAGAATATCCCAAACTAGTCTAGATCTCTGGTGGCCACGCCAAGATCTCAATGACTATTATATTTAAGTAATTCAAACAATTCCATTACATTGCATGAAAATGGTGACAGGATGCGGTTTAAACATGTATGGATGATTTAAAAAATATATATATATTAATGTAGATCGGCAATGGCTTTATTTTTTATATACAGGGTCTTGGAAACATAAGAAAAAACGGGTTTTCTTCATTTTCGTTGAAACTACTTTAGATGTTTGTTGGCTAGAATTCATAGAGACAATTTTTTTTTCGGGTGGGAAATAACTTTTTTCTTTCGGCACTGGAGTCGGGGTACGTCAAGATTTATTTCTTAGTAAGAAATAAAAAAATATCATACATCTCAAATGGGGTGTATGAACTGGCAAACAGTCATCTTTTTTCAATAGGGTTTTCCTCTGCCAAGTGATGTAATCAATTCTAAACTGCATAATAGTTATTTGTGAAAACATGAAAAGTATTGCAGCAAATTTTCAATGGGTATAAGGCTCATTGGAATGAATAGCTAAATCATGTAGTAATCAATTTTAACAACTAATTTGGACGTGTTTTTCATTTTAATTCACGTTGTTTGATGCTAGTTTTTCGTAGAATTTTTTTTTTAATTATAATATTCTGTATCACGCTTGTCCCGACACCCCTAGTCAAAGTAGAATTTGCACCCGAAAAAAAAGTATGACACCCGACAGCAGTATTCGTTCAATAAATAAATCTGACTAACTTCTTGTCGACTTTTTCTACGGCTACGACACCCTGAAGGGTTATTAAATCAAATGGCAACTCGCCCAACTTCAAGATCGAAAGGCAATCCAATGCATTCTCAAAACACGTATCCAAGTTTCTCTATGCCATAGATTAAATAAACCTAGATTTCCATTTCAATGCTAAAAATTTGCCACGTCGTAAGCCAGTTTAGTCAATGCTTAAACTATAACCGTCAATCGTAAAGGATACATGTGTATGTCGATCCTTTTGTAGGTCCGTCAGTCAAATCCTTACCTTCTCCAAACCCGGCCCTCCACATCAGCCCGGCGGAAAGGGAATACTCAGCGGGCGAGAACGTCGACCTGTACTGTCAGTCCAACGAACCGGGTGTGATACCCACGTGGTCGAAGCTGGGAGGATGGTTAGCGGACAACGTGAGGAACAATGCCGGACGGTTGATGATATACAACGCGCGAGTTGACAACGCGGGCGTCTATAGGTGCGAGGCGACGGGACGTCAGGGAATATATCACAAGGATTACAACTTGTATGTCAGAGGTAAGGAGGTTGCGGATCCTACAGGAATAGATACCGAAGACAACAATAATTTTTCAGACGAGGAAGAGGTGAACGACGACGCGCCCGTGGAGGTGAAACGCGTGAAGAGGCAAGACACGGTAGTACTAGACTGCAACTCCGACCTAGAGCAGCCCGTCACTTATCTATGGAGCAAGCAAGGCGGAACCCTTCCCAGTTACGTCGACGAGCGCAGCGTGAGTCGATTTTGAAGAAAAATGAATATGCTTAAGTACTTCACATAAGAGAGACTGTCCTACAGAATCAAAATAATTTTGTCTAATCAATTGTATTTCTAATATTCTTAGGGATCTGTAATGAACAGGACTTATTTCTCGGTCTAACTTTGGCCATACACACAACGGAGTACCTTACAATCTCATAAGCTGTCTTGCACAAGGCCAGGGATTATATTATACTTCTTACAATGCACAGATGTTTGTGATAATATTTTCCATTGGATCTCTCTTCCTAGCGGTGTCTAAAACGCCTAACCCTTTCCACTGCGTGATGTTTCGCAACCAAAACATTTTCTTCCTATCCATTCCTTTCTGGTTTTCCTGTTCCTAATTAGTTCAAACCGATCTAGCATAGTTATTAATCGCAATCGTTTTCTAACTTCCCCCTCTCATATTGTAGATAAGTACCGACCAAACGTAACACTTTAGGATTTTTAGTCTTAAGTTACGATCAAAGTTGGAGCAGGTAAGCAGCGGAAACTCAAGAATGCTTTTTGTTCGATGTACAATCTTCGACGTGCCAGGTGCCCAAGAATTTGAATTTTTCAAGTACTTACTCTTTTTTTACGCATTTAGTAGAATGTTAAGGCGGAGTCTACAGACATTTAGTATTTACATTTAAGGCTACATGCTTTCCTTCCTTACTGACCAGTTATTGTAGGTTATTTGGTCTATCAACGATTACCATTTATATTTCCACACTACCAAACCTCACATCTTCAACGTTTCTTCTGCGTTGCACTGAACTTTTGTGAAGACCTTTCCAAGTTCGGTGTGGCTTTAGCAGATTTTACAGTAGCTGGCTTTCCATTAATCATAGTTGTGGTTAGTTTTGCTGATTAATATATCATAAATTTTGTTTTTTTTTTTGTATAAATTCGACAAGGACTATTGGCATATTGGAAACCGTAAAAGATACGAAAAAATTCTGATTAGTTTTGGTGATATCCGGAAAAATATACGAAAATCATAAATTACGTTTGACTTTAAAAAAAATTGGAAACGAATGACACTTTGCCATTGCAACTCTTTCTCTCGCACAAATTGATGTTATTAAGTTTAACGTAGTACTTTTCGGTTTTGTGTGCCCATTATCAACTTTGTTTTTGAAAATACAGATCTGTATTTTTTTATATTTTTAATCAGCTTGTTATTCAATATCGCACTTAATGATTTACTAAACAGTAACTCCTCAAAATTGACGAAAAAGACAAATTTTCACAAAAAGTAAAGTGGCCAAAAAACAAACCGTCTATATATAGATAGAGTATCATGTTGAAAGTACGTCATCTGGGTGTTATTTACAAAGATGGAGTTGATGAAATAGTTTTATTTTATGTCAGTACCGCGGATAACTGAGTCAGTACAGTGGAACGGAAAATTCGAAATTTGTTCTTCCTTTTTGACGCTTTGAAGTTATAGTAAAATCCTTTCAGGCTTTTATTTTTACAGTAAAATAGATGAAAAAATATGCATAGAAAAAGTGTAAAAAGTCTAGTTTCAGATTCTTGGAAATTTTAAATAAAAAAGTTCATACTCACTTCTCGATTTCCTAAAACTGCCGAATTCCAACAAATTTGTGTCCAATTGGGCAAACAAATTTGGATGTAGTTGTACCCGCTGGGCTAATTCTCTAGCAATTCTCGAATTTTTAAGTAAATTGTAATAAATGCGTAATACATCACGTTTTTCCACATTCGAAAACTGGAAAATTTATAATACATAAATACATACAACAGTAAAAAGTAACTGAGATTTTAATAATTAACAACTATGTTAGGACATAAAATGTTTGTTTCATAGGCACCTTATTTTTTGTGTAAAATTGGCTATATTGTCAATTTTAGGACGATATAATTTAGTTTCAGCGGGATATATGTATTTTTTCAGAGTGACAAGCTCTTTCGAAATGTTAAATAAAAAATGCAGGTCTGCGGTTGAAATTTTTTTTTTAAACTTAATAATGCCAACTTGTAGGGGAGAACAATTTGCAATGAAATAGTGTGTTTTTTTAATTAATTAAAGGCAGGATTTTTTTTAATTACTAATTTTCGGATTTCCCGTATACCTCCGGCATCGGGAATTTTTTCGATTTAACCGATTTCATATCTCTTACACCTTCCAAATTCCCAATAGTCTTCGCTTCGAATTTGGAGCATAGTGATCGTTAATCGTTACCTTTGAATTCCATTTCCACGTCTTCGAAAGCCACTTGGAAAATTTGTTGAATAGGAACGGAGATAGCGCACACCCATGTTGCCCCCTTTTATGTGTATGGTGTTGGACCTATTATTGTCTAATTTAATTGGGTCCACTTGTTTCCCACATATGTTACATCGACTCCCAAATTGACTAAAGTTTTACTTTTGGTTGCATGGCCTTTTTTGTGTTTTTGCAGAAAACTATAGTCTTGAACTCCGTCGGCAGTATAGACGCGGGAACGTACGTGTGCTCGGTAACCAACGACAAACGCACCCTAGACGTGCCTATCATCCTCATCGTCACCGGCATCATACCGTATTTCACCCAGGCACCGAACAGTTACATAAGTCTGCCGACCCTGCCGGACGCGTACCTACATTTCAGCTTCGAGATTTCCTTCAAGCCGGAGAACGACTACGGTTTGATCCTCTACAACGGTAACAGGGAGCGAGAACGCGAGGCGGATTTCATATCGCTCGCCTTGGAAAACGGTATTCCCCAGTTCAAATTTAATCTGGGCCACGGTACCGCGACCACCACCATTCAAGCGGACGAGCCGATAGTCGAACGCGATTGGCATACCGTCAAAGTGGTCCGAAACAAGAAACGGGTGATCATGTTCGTCGACGGCAAAGGTCCGTACATCGGTGAGCACGAGGGCAAATACTTCGGGCTCGATTTGAGTGAGCCCTTATTTTTGGGAGGCGTGCCTGACTACGGCAACATCTCGCCGGACGTGGAAATCGATAGAGGCCTCGTCGGTAAGACGACTATGTTATTAAGTAAGCCCCAGATACTATCTTGATCACGTCACAGGTTGCGTTAGCCGTTTCAAGATAGGCTACGCGCACCAAGATATCCTGCAAGAGGCACTCAACACGACCGGCATCACCAATTGCGAGACGTGCACTGAGAACAAGTGCCTAAACCAGGGAGCGTGTCAGGAGGCGTTAACGACCGAAGGTTACACGTGCGTTTGCCCTGCAGGGTTCAGCGGTCCCACGTGCAACAAACTTAAGGGAGAGGCTTGTTCGCCTTGTGAGTATAATATTTTTTGTTCAATTGTCCTTGAGATAAAGCCGAACAAAATGAATTTCAATAGTGGAGTCCACAAAAGAAAATAAATTTATTCACGCTGTTATCAAAACTCGCATTAAAAATATGCTCCGGAGAATGAAACAACATTAATAAGTTTCATTGGTCATGACGTCAGCTCTCGATTCGAAACCTTTCCTACGTCTAGCATTCACAAATTGAAGTGTCTTTCGTTATATTGATATGATACTTCTAATCACGTTTCATCTCAAACTAAGCTATCCATATCTGCCATTAGCTTTTAAACTAGCAATAAAATAAGTTCAGTGTTCGGTATTTGATAAATTCATAACTGCTTGCATAAGTAGTTAACATTCCAAATCAGTCAGCAATTTTTCTAAAAGACTCTTTGTTTGAATTTATATTAAAATTAAAATATAAGTAGTGTGGTCATTTTCAAAATTTTACCTCTACACACTGAACGTTCGCAGGATTCGAACGTTACAAAATGTTTTCAACAAACAAAATATTAATTCTTATCGAAAAATGTGAAATATGAGACCTGCTGGATAAATTTTGAAGCCCCTCAATAATATATTAATATAAACCAAAATAAGAGCAAAATAAGAAACTTAGTGTCCAAACCATATTATGGGCAGTCATTGTTATTCTATAACAAAAAGCAAGTAATCAGAAAGGATTTTGAAATTGAAGCAACCTTATACAATAAGTAACGACTTGCCGACGTACTTGTATGTTCAGACCTTTAAAGATCATATGCGAACTCTTTCTATATTTTTGTAACATGGGAATAGTTGTCTTAAGTTTTAACTATTTTTAATACAGGGTGTTTCAAAAATAATGGGCCACAGAACACTAGCATATTCTTTGTATCAAAATATTTCGATGTGTTAAGTAGTGTGATAAAAGTAATTTTATTTTTTCTTTTTTTATTACATATTCATATTCATGTTCTCAAATTGAATTTCTGCAAATTATCCAATAAGTAAGGTAAACGGCATATGAGTCACGAGTTTAATTGGCAGGAGCGGTAAAAATCTAAAAATACAGGTATTGAACAATACATATCAATTTACTTATACCGTCAAAAATAAAATTGTAAATAAAAATAAAATAAAATAAAAAATTGTGCGCCGGTGATGCCGCAAAACTGATTACATGATCTAATTTCTCAGTCCCGAAAACCCTAGATACGAATTTTTGTGCCTATACTTTTTTTGAAAATTGTGAACGTAAGTAATAAAAGCGACAAAATGAAATTACTTTTATCACCTTGTGTATTCTTAGGTATTAAGTTTAGAACTTGATTAATTTGTGATTAATTTATGATACAAAGAATATTCTGGTCTTCTATGGGCCATTCGTTGAAACACACAGTAAAGGTATCGAGGTATGCTGTTGAAATAGCTACCAGACGGCGTAATTGAAATCTTGAATTTTAATAATATATTATGCAACAAATGTGGCAAACGGCATCAGCTAGATCTTCGGCAAAATCTTCAATAACCCCGAATGGCTAAATGGATTTTAATAAATTTGGAACGGCTTTTCTTAGGCAATCAAACCTGCTAAGAGTTGCTATGATTGCGATTGAGTAGTCTGCCATCAGATAGCGTTTTCTGATATAATGGCAAAGAATTTTTTAAAAGAATTAAATGCGACGATATGATTTATTACGTCATTAGATAGTCAAGCAAGAGCCCAACGATCAAGTGAATATCACATCTCAAAATTTTTATCCTAACCTTAAATATTAATAAAACAATTTAACACTCAAAAGAAGTTGAATTTTTGCAAGCATGTGGCTGCAACATTATGGATGTTCAGCACACTTTTCTCACGAAAGCAGGAAATTTTTATACCAGACTTATTCAAATCATTGAATAGGAAGGGGCAGTTTGTTTCTGTTGCCTGTCAGATCTCCAGTCTGTACTGTCCTGGGTTATTAGCTTTGGGGTAGACTAAAAGCGTTTCATGAGTCGAACTTGGCAAATAGACGACGCTGAATAAATTCTTTCATAGAAAACAACGGGAGGCACTTTGAACATTTTTAACAACATTTGATTTTCCTTTCAAACAATTTTGTTGTGTTTCATCGTTACCAATGTTTTTTTTTCTTTCAGAAAATATGTTTTTTGTTATTATGTCAAAAAAAAAAATCTGGTGGCAGTTTATTAAAATCCATTTGGAGTTATGGAAATGTGGAAACATCCTTTACCATTTTCCTTTCAAAGGTAAAGTAAAAGGCATCCAACAAAAAAGAATTTCTCTCTGCCTTAAAACAGTGTTCACTCTTCGAGTACATCCATATTTCAATGTACATCAATATGTCCTTTTATTTTGTAAAGAAATATATTATGTCCCAATAAGGGCAACATGGTACGGTATTGAGAAAGCGGAAGTTTCTAAATAGTAAAAAAAAAGTATATCGGCCAAGAGAAAATGCTGGAAATTATTTATGAAATAAATAATTTCGTAACCCGATAAACGGATGTGTCCGAATTAGTGAAGTAGTACTTTATATATATTTTTAATTTATGAACCAATCAACCAATCAGTTTCATTGTCACGACCACTTTCTAAACTTTAGTCTCTTAAGTTTTATGAAAATAATGGAATTCTTATTGCCCAAAATTTTATTGCGCTATTAGAGTGCACAAGCTCCATATGTCGTTTCGCCTGGGGTGCGCCCGAACCGTACTCGATAACTAATAAGCAGTTCGAATTGTTCTCCTGCAGATTCGTGCGGAGTGGGCAGATGCCAGGACACGGAGACCGGATTCCAGTGCCAGTGCCCGTTGGGTCGAGCAGGTCTCAGATGCGAAAAATCGATTACGATTTTCGAGCCGGCGTTCAGGAACGACGCGTACCTGGCGTACCCGCCGCCCAGGCCCCTGAGGAGGACGCGAATCGAAATGAAGATCAAACCGCGCGACGTCAAAGACGGCCTTTTACTCTACGCGGCGGAAACGGCCGAAGGTCACGGCGACTTTATCAGTTTGGCCATTAGAGATCGCCACGTGGAATTCAGATTCGACAACGGTAACGGTAAGTTCGGCGGAAGATGTGATCCAATAACATATAATTTAGATGCTGAAAGTATTTTTGGGTGGGTGTTTTCAGTATCGTTTAAGTCAATTAAAAAAGTGTTGAAGTAATCTTTCATTATTTGGTGTGACGATTTAATGAGCAATGACTGCGGTACATCCAAGACTCTTTTTTCTGCGAAATACAGTCATCGTCAAAGAAATAGAGCCAGTTTAAACTTTCGATATAAGTTTGCTTTACATTTTTCTGAAAACATTTTTCGATTTCTGAATTTATTATTACAATTTTTGGAAAAAATAAATTAAGGTTAACTCAAAAACCAAAATTTTAAGGAAATACTTCAATAAGATTTAGTCATTTAACGGAAATAAGGTGATATTTGGTTATTAAAATAGGACCGCGAAGCAATTGCTTATGAATGAGGAGCTGGATTTGGAAACGTCAAAATTTGTATATCTAATTTCTTTATTTCGTAAATCATTCTGTGGTATCCACGTTCCGTCAAAGACAAAATTCTGTCTGAGACGTTACCAGTGGAGGAGGAATACTTTGGGGTATGGGTATTGGATATTAAAATTAAGGTTTAAAAGAGTCGTTGTTCCTCGTCACTGGTCCAGTATATTTGAAAGATATTTCAGTTAATACTAGGCTAAACTGTATAAAGGAACTGCTCTATTCCCTTCAGAAGGCGACAATAAACTTTATTTTCAGAAATATAAAAAAAATATTGGAATTTTAGGCTGCTTAAGTTTTATTAGAGAGGTGGGTATTAAGGGTTTTTTTCTTTCCATATGTAGGTAGGCACTTAACGAATATGAAATTTTCGTTTCAACCCTATGTCTTATTAGACCAAACCAAAATTTTTCCGCCGAAGAAAACTAGGACCCTCGTATTGCTTCACTTCATAATAAGCCACCAGAATGCAAACTGGTTTCAGTTAAGATCTGACGAAACAGAAAAATTGATTTAACAACAACCTGCCCAGGAGGAATCCAGAAGATTTTTATTTACGCATTATTTGTCTATACGATAAATAAATCTTTTTTCTTTAAATCGACGTGTTAAACGTTGCATGTTCCGTAGGCGCGTCGGTAATACGAAGCGACGAGGAAATAATTCCGGACCAGTGGTCCGCCATTTTGGCGGTAAGGTCGCCAGCCGAAGGCAGGGTCATCATCAACGGGCACGCTTCGGCGCCGACCCGCCTGCCCGGGAATCACAAGACGTTCACGCTGCTCACGCCCCTCTACATCGGCGGCTACGACAAGCAAACCGTTACACTGAACAAGGGCGTGCAAGTCCGCAACGGTTTTAACGGTTGCATCATCGATCTGAACGTGTCCGGTCTGACTCAAGACCTGCGCAACACCACGGACTCTTCGAACGTTGAGGAGTGTAACGCAGACGAGGACATGGACAACAACATCTTCTCGCCCGAGTACGCGCACGAACACCAATACAAACCGATCGTGTATGACAGCAAAAAAAACGGATGTTCGGACAGTCCGTGCAAGCACGGCGCGGAGTGCGTTCCCCTCTCACCGCTGGAGTACAGATGCAACTGTCCAAACGGGTTCACGGGCACCAATTGCGAAACGGCAATGGATCCGTGCCGGGATAAACCGTGCATGCACGAGGGCAACTGCAGACCAAACGTCACCACCTTCACTTGCGATTGTCCGTTAGGGTTCGCCGGACCGACTTGCGACCAAAGTAGGGTGGGTTTCGAAGCGGTGTCGGGTTTTTATAATATCGTTTTCAGGGTACGAACTGAGAAACGACGCGCACTTTAACGGCGACGGGTATCTCGAGTTCAGTCGATCCTTGCTGAGCCACCAGAACGATGATGAGGCTGAAATCGTCGCGTTGGAGTTTTCGACGAACAAACCGGACGGACTGGTCTTCTGGCACGGACAAAGTCCCGATCAGGACGGGCGGGGACAGGATTATATCGCTTTAGCGGGTAAGATTTTTGATTGTCTCCAAACCGATATAAGAATATAAAAAGTAAATCGCAAGAAGTCCAAAGTAAGCGTTGGATGGTACAGCCTCCAATGGAGTTGTCCATCCATATACACAGCTTTAAAAATTGTAAAATTGATGCACCTCAGTGATTTAAGTAGAGAAGATAAATGACCTTCCGAGTGCTACTAAATTTCACACACTATATAAGTTTCTATCTTATGCAAATGTCAGAAAGAACAAAAGGCGATCGCAAGCTGTCAAAATGACAGCAACATCTTTTTTTTTTAATGGAATGCGCTATATTATTAGCCTAAATTTGACATTTCATTCAGCCATTTAGCCGTTTAAAAATGGTCAATTCTGTCTTGATAGCAACGATATTATCTATGTTTGCAATTGTTGTAGTGGTATTCTATTTTTGACAACTAATCAAAACTAAAGATCTGCAGCGTAAGTTTAATAACTTAAGATATTTCAAATGGATTATACTGAGGAAGAAAAATGCGAAATAATAATATTATATTATTCAAATGAACATTATATGGCAAAGGTAAAAAGAGAATATCGACAAATATATCCCGGTAGAAGAGTTCCTTCAATAAATATAATCAAAAATGTAATTAAACAATTTAAGGACCAAAATGGTGTTACACGGAAGACCAGGACAATAGAAAGAAACTTAACTTTACTTTCAAGTTAAATTATACTGTTACTATTGAGCTTGGACATTAAGTGCTCATATTTATTAAATATAAGTTACATTGTGCCTGTTTAAAAATTTGGGACAAGTATTTTTGATTAGGGATCATATTTATTATTAGCAAGGGCAGATTTTAAATATTTGTAGCAAATGTGCAATTGGGATTTTGTTATATGGTCGCCGAATATATTCTTTAAATAAAGAATGTGTACAAGAAGCATGTGGATCAAAATGGTGTCATTTTGAATGTATGAATTTAGAAATTAAACAATAGTTTTGTTTTTTACTTGTAGCTTTTATTAAAATAGATGAAATATTCGATAATGGTTTATTATTTCATTATAACTGGTGTGTAATAGTACTGGACCTATGGACCCTAATGTTAAAAAAAGCATTTTTCAGATCCATTTATTTTCAATTTATCTATTTGTTCTTCGATAACTGTTCGATAATTCCCTGAAATTGACACACATTCGGGATCCACCACTATTTTTCGGAACCATAACCACCCTTGAACAATACTCAGAGTCAGCTGGCTTAATAATATTTTGCTCTTATTAACCTCCGTCCTAACTTCTGCTTGCTCCTGAACGGAAAAACGTTTTGGTTTGAAATAAAAAGATGCCGATCCTGGCTTTATATTTATCTTCATTTCAAATTTTGTTTTCGGTTCAATACCTGTTTCTACATTTTCACAATAATCTAAGAAACCGGTTTTAATTCTATTTTTTTATTAAAAGTCAAGCTGCCTTCAACATTTAATTGATCAACAGAACTATTTGGAAAGCACTCATAATCAACAAAAAATATGTTATTCCCAGAAAATTGTTCATCCAAATTAACTTTCTCTATAACAACCTTATCGCCAAACGTAACTTTTACCCATTTGTTGGAAATAAAGTCCCTACCAATTTATATTTTAAAACCGATTGTTTCAGGAGAAACTACATGAATGTTAATGTTAATTGTTAAATCACTGCAAATCAATGAAATAGGGCTTCCAGTATTAAAAACAGCCTCCACATTATGCAAAGAGTATTTTTGCAGCTCGACATTCGCAGAGTAAGCATTCTCCTCTACATACATCGTTGTTAAATCAGCTTGTGCCACTCTTGTTGATCGTCCTTGTTGTTGTTTGTTGGGACAATCCCTGATTTGGTGATCTCTCCTGCCGCATCCAAACAAGTAGCCCTCTCTTTTCGAGGTTTTTAACATCTATCTGCTATGTGAGCCCCTTTGAAACAGTTGAAACACTTTCTAGCTGGTGGGCTTTCTCTCTCTCTGCTGAATTTTTGTCCTGGGAAATAATAAAACGCTGTTAATTTTCCAATCAAAGCCAATTTTACATTTTCTTCGTATACGTTGCAGCTGGTCTTAACGGTCCTTATTCGTGTAAACCAACCTTCGACATCACCAATATCATTGAATTCGGGCATAAGGGCACCAACTTCAATGTACTGAAAATTTTGTTTGATCCCTTACATGTAACGCCTCAACAGTAAATGCAACGATATCCTGTGTACTCATATCGGAATCACCACTCCCTCACGGTTAGTAGCCATCTTCAATCCACGAAATTAATCAAAAATTCATAAATTGCATGAATACCATATTTGCGCATAAAATTCAATTACAGGTAAAGCACGAGTAGCCTCTACATGGCTTCCAATCCCAATTCTGAAACTGTCGTAATGTAATGGCTACGATAAAAGCGGGATTTTCATAATTTTATAAATTTATTTCTTGTGCACCATTAGTCATGTCTGCCGAACGAGGACGCACACACAAACAACCGAAACATGACCGGGATCTGTATTACCGACAACATTCACAGAGTATAAAAATTAAAGTTACATTGCTGCATTATTATTATTATTATTTTTATTATTACTATTATTATTATTATTATTATTATTATTATTATTATTATTATTATTATTATTACATTATATTCTACATGAAGCAGAACGAAACTTGGGCCTTTTTTGTAGGTGCTTTAAGATTTGTATTTAATTAAGCCCTTTAAAAAGGCGTCTCTGCGATCTATTGAACCAAGCATAATTAATCACGTAACCCATATTGTCCCAACTCTCATCTATTCGATATTAACATTATACTTTCGCGACCACGCTTCACGTTTTCATAACATATGTCTTTCATTAATCTACCGATGGTATAGAGACTAAATTGACTTGGCCGCTTCTTTCTTGATGTTAAAAATTGAAGCGCCACTCACAGCTGCACTTCTCATATTCACTAAACAGCATATCATAATTTTCTCACTCGCGTGGCGCACTTGCTCTTGTTTGAATTTTTTGTATTCCATGTCAATGGTAAAAAATCGAACATAAAAGAAGAATTTCATATTTGGGAATACTATAAGCCATTTTGACGAGCTTGCTCATTTCAGGCATCAATACCTCATCAAACTAATCCAATTTACTTGCCCTTAAAAACCGATACCATTAAGCATTTTCAGCACATGCTATTCTAATTCTAATGTATTTAAAGTGATATTATCTATCTACATATATTTTGCTGTGCTGTGCTGTACTGCTTTCTCCCGGTGTGACCTGGACTATAAAATATCTTTTCTCTCATTGGTGATAATGTCAAACCTTCACTGCCAACAAAAAAAAAACTACTTGACTCTGTCAGTCTCTATAGGACGTCCAGTTGATAGAATAAATTACTTAAGAGCTAACGTACAATCATATTTCACAATTTCAGTATCGAACGGATACCTGGAGTTCAGCTACGACTTGGGAATGGGACCGGCCATCATTCGCAACACTGGAGTGCGCGTGGACGACGGCGAACGTCACAGCGTCATACTGAAACGCGAAGGTCGCGTCGGTTCCATCGACGTAGACCACATGTACGTTGAGGAAGGTCAGTCGGAGGGCATAACGACGACGATGAACTGCAACGGCAACATATTCCTCGGAGGAGCTCCCAACGTCACTAGAATGAGCGGAGGCCGCTTCGCCAAAGGTTTCGACGGTTGCATACACGGGTTCGAGTTGCAACAGTCGAAAACGATGGACCTTGGCGTCAAGGCCATCAACGGTCTGAACGTGAAGCCCTGCTCTAGGTAGGTACTGAGGAAATAAGACTCGCTAGTGTTGGGATTTGATGGGGCACCATTTTGACGGCAGCTAAGTTTTAATTTGCCACTTAAACTATCTCGTTGCTAACCATGCATGGGGTGATACGATTGTATTGGTTATTTTAGTTTAAATAATTCAATTCAATTCAATTCAACTGTTCTAGATCCATTTTAATCGTATAGCTATAAGATAATATAGTGGCCCTACTACGGTAAAAATTGATGATTTTTCTTTTGCGCATGCGTCACCGCCACTGACTGAGTTGACACATTGCTATAATTTTTCTGGAAAATTGATTAAACAAGTCTGTCCCCTGTGCCGTTGTTGTTTTTAATTTTTGTGTCAATATCTCCGTAAGGCAAACCTGTATAATTTGTTCTTTCACGAAATTATAGCAAATGTGGCTAATATGAGGACCTAATAGGATCTTAGAGAAAGAGTGACAGTTTTAGGTACACTCAAACAGCTACGAAGGATGTTTGGGTAATATGTAGAACAAGTATAGGAAATATCCCTGGTCAATCATTTTTTTACTTAGATGTTTCATGTGCGATATCTAACATCTCAGAGTTATTTCAATGAGTTTATAAAAACCGACGCTTTGCGCCCATTCACAAAAAAATAACTAACATAAAAAAAATACATGTAGAAATTGCTTCCTAACTATAGGCCTTGAAGAACAATAACACCAAATCAATTACAGAATTATACTGACGCCGACGTGGGCACTGCAATTCTGCACTTCTTTTCCAGACCTTAATTCCTTTTTTGTCTGAAAATGTAATAGGATTTAGACATACTTTGGGAAAATACTGCCGTAAAAATGCCGCACCCGAACATCGACGATCTGTCAGCGGCCATGCTGTTTGTTGAAAGCCGCAAGGTCTTATGGGTCCAACTTCAGAATTTGCAATTAGAGCTGCCATTGGTTAAAAACGAAATTTTAAATCTCGCGCATGCGCACCTTGAATGGACCTCAAAAAAATTTTATATAGTTGATTCATGAGTTTCTGTACTGTCAGCATAGGGAGGGCCTCTGTGTGTCTAGTACCTATATGATTGTAATCGACAAACGAACCTGTATAATGGAATTATGATTTTAAACACACGGAGTGAGAGAACTTAGAATAGTTTTATAGGACTACCTTGAGGACACGTTTTAATATTCTTTAACACCGATTAGTTAGCTTACTTCAGTATATTCACAACTTGGTTTTGTTTGTTTTATGTTGCATGTTTTTGTTTAATCTTTTGACCAATGCTTAAATAAATTGGCAGTTTTTTATATCTAAACCCCTGCCCAGTTTAAATAATTTAATTTAAATCGTGCATTATCTACATCAACGTTTTGTTGATTTTGTGTCGACTAGAACACAAGATTTAGTGGTACAGTCATCTTATTATCTTCCCATTCTAGATCCATGGTAATTGACAAATGAGCATATATAATCTAATAACGATGTTAAATCCCCTTACTCAAACTTGAAAATAGTCGTCTAGTGTAAACTTTGAAAAAAGAATGCATTTACATGAGAGAATTTCCTATGGCGTAATAGGCAATTAGTTAGCAGAGTTCAGTATATATATTAGCAGCTTAGTGTCTATTTTCTTTTTAAGTCGGCATCAAGATTTAGAGGGCATGTTTATCAGGTGTCAACGTTTATAGGAAAAATCGTATTATTTTTAAATAAATAAAATAAAATTATTCATTTCAGTTTCCAAAGGGTAATCTAATTCATATTTATAGGTAATATCGTAGCTACTGATTTTTTTTATTTAATAATGGTTTTAGATGAAGCACTCAAAAATGATGTTTTTGTTCTTTCCTGGAAGACCCAAAAAAATTGATTTTTTTGTTGTCGTTAATAAGATCTTAAAGTTACTAGTTTTGACACTTGTTTATATATTTACATTTAATGTTTTGTTTAAATGTAAGTTATACTACACAATAAATCATGCAATAAATATGTGACTACTATGCAAATACACATCTTCCATAGAATGTAACATTAAATCTGCAATCAAATCATCATCTCTTCCGAAACCAAGAAAAGTCCTCAAGACTCCCAAAATTCCTCAGCTCGGCCTTGTTTTGTTCTTAATTCTGGTCGTCAGTTTCAAGAACTAAAACAAACTATGTTAAATCCAAACGACATTAGTTTTGACTTTGAATATCTCTCTTACTGTATTTTTTTTATTCGATTTTAAGAAAGCTTTTGACGTGATTAATTCTTAAATCCTCATTTTAACTCTTCATCGGATATAATGTCTTGAAAATGCCTGTCATTCTTTTTAAATGACAGAACACAAACTTAACACTTACAAATCAACATCTAGGCCTTTCTCTGATAACAAGGTAGTACCCCAGGATAGTATTTTAGGCACACCTCTGTTTGCCAATTTTACATCCAAGCTTACTACTTCATATTGCTTTTGCGATTATCATCTTTATGCCGATGAGACTGAACTGTAATTTTTTTCCGGAGAAATGTCTTAACGAAGCAACCCTCAGTATTGTATAAATATTTATAAATATATGTTATTATTAGCTACAATAATGATTTCTATTGATCACAAGCGTGAATAGCTATTATCCGTAAACCAAGAAAAGCAAATTTTACTTCCTCGTCGGTATACCCTAATTAAAATAAACCAGAAAAATTGTCAAATAAACGTCTAAGGGTTTCCAAGTTCATTTAACCTTGCAATGACCAAGTCATGGTTGTATTCTGCACTAACACTTATCTTAATAATGATGTAAATGATGTAAAGTCGGTAAATTTTTGTAATTTTCTGGCAAGAGAGACAGTTACATGAAACACATTTGTGAAATAAATTGGAAAAAATAAAGTTCAAGAAATAGTTCTCTTAATATTGTTATATAGAATTACCTGAGAACAATTGCATTTCCTCTTACATTAACATCAATGTTTACTTCATTTTCTACATCTTCGTTGCTGAAATTATTCAGTATCATCAATTTCTTTGTTTTCATTAATTGCAATATGAAGTGCCGAATTTTGTTCTTAATCACTGTCACTGGCAAGCAATCTCCTTTTCACTTTCAACATTCAATACAGCTTCTAGTGTCTTTGTGTGTGTATTCTGCCTATGTTGCAGCCATTTGAAACAGGACAATTTCTCAAATGGGCAACTGTGGCTTACAAACATCTTGTACATTAATAGGGCATCTTGCACATTCTACATTTTGAGGCATTTTTTTAAAACTCCAAATGTTCACCACAACACTCATCCCCTACTAGTATTTAATACAAACAAAAATACAAACTTAACACTTCATGTTACTGCAATTACCATATACATATTTCTTAGGCTGATGCTTAGTTGCATTTTATCAAAGCGATGCGCTTGTAGAAGCGATAATGATCTCTGAATTCACGTTGACTATATACTGCAAGTGGGCTCCGTCTTTCTCGAAAAACTCTGCCCATCTGCACAGCACCCACAATGTCAAATAACTCTACATTGGAAGATGAACTCCCGAATTCTTGTAAATCCATTCTTTATTCCAAAAAGTTCTGTTTACGAGGTCTGAAAATAACTGATTTTGTTATAAAACTTTCTGCAGCAATTGTTAAGTAAATGTCTTAGGGAACCCATTTTAGGAATTAACTCATGGATCAAACTAATCAGGTAATTAAAAGTGTGTTGAGAAACCAGCCCTAAATAGACCATTAAGGTCACTGTAAACAATAGCGGTAGAGCGAAGCTGACCAATCAAAATGGCGACCCTTACGTTACATTGCTACTGATAGACGCTTCATTTTTCACGCTGCTATTCGGACAGGGTAAGATGGATTCCGTCCTCTCTGATATTTGCAGACATCGACGAGTTCGATGAATTTGTCGAACCTCCTCCCGTGAACATTATCCATCCGAAACCCTCAAATTTTGCTCAATCTGTCCGCGCCGTTACGGTTCTCCGTTTGGTTTCGTTTTTGTTTGTACATAAATTACTGTTACTGAGTATACGGAAAGATTGTTGACCAAATTTTATATAAATTATCCCACGTTAATGCAATAAATATCTAATAAATTAGGTGAACCAACCTAGACGCAAGAAGGTTGAGGAACATATCAAAAAAAAAAAAGAAAAAAATCTAAATTGTAGCCGGCCATAGGTAAAATTAATAAGTTATTAACATTTGCGAGGTATAAAACTAACTATATATATACTGCAAGTGACAAAAATGTATACTCGTTTAAATTTGTTTGTGATAATCAGTATTCTATGTAAATAAGATTTTAGCTAATATTAAAGATATTTTATTACATTTTATAAAATATATAACAGACTGATGCTTTTTTTATATTTCACTTAACGCCACACGGTATGGACTTCTTAAGTTGGGTAAGTTCATCGAATGTAATTCGTAAAATGATTTCCAGAGGGCATGATGGTTGAACTAACTAAACTAAGTAGCTAGGCCTTCGCCTTAGATCTAGTTCCTAAAGTACCCAACTAGACCGCCCCCATTTCCTAGCTTTGTATATTGGGTGCGTACAATGCGCTCACAGTCACTCCGCCCTCTAGAGATTGTCTTATATGATGAACCTATCACTATATGTTTTACAGTTATAAAGCTGTTTTTGGTTAGTTTGAATTTGAGTAACCTGTTTCTTTTAGTCAAACCATGAGCCAAGTGAATAGAAAGTGCTTATATCACAGCAGCTAAATATTTGAAATTGAGTGATTCGAGTATAAAGAAAAAACCTAACATCAAGCCATTAAATTTTCTTTGTAGTAACTACTTAGTATACCGGGTTGGTAAAAGGTACTGAAACGCTTAAAAGCTGGATTGATAAAATTTAATATATGTTGTCAGGTTTACCACGTTTACCTCATAATTCTATTATTTTAAAAGGAATTGCGCATGTCGAATAAATATAGTTAGTAATTTCAAATATGTTTCCATTAATTACTGAGCTGCGTAAAAACACCGCTTTTGAAATAAAAAATACCGTACCGCTCAATTATCTTCAAAACAGCTTTGTTGTCAGATTTTACGGTATACTTTTATTATGTCGAATTTAGTTAGGTCTCATAATTTCAAACGTTTATTTCCATTAATTGCCGAGCTACGGCAACACTGCTTTTTGAATAAAAAAAAAAACGGAACGTAAATACATATCTCGAAAACTGCCATAGATGGAACGATAAAATTCAATACTATTACGCTGACTGGTGGGAAATTTGAAAAAGAGATTTTTTTACCCATTTTTTTTAAAAATTTCCTGGTCTTGTCCTGATGTTAGTCTAATTAGCAGTCCTTAATGTTTGTTTCTGGAAGTAGGAAAGCGTTTGCCACAGAACCTTCCCTCGAGCCAGCCACAGTGTAAAATGAATTGCAAGTTACATAGGTACCTTAGTTTAATTCGAAATTGTTTTTTTTTTCGTTTTGAGTAATTTTATGTAATTTAAGTTAAAAAAAAATCAACATTTTGTACTAAAACAGCACTTCTTATTGCTGTGCAATCACTATTAAATCGTTAATTAGCGCGGTTCGATATTCCCTTCAGCAAAATTGTGTTCAATTGCATTATCTTCACCAATTTCTGATAAGAGTTACGAGGGCAGCGCCAAAATTTCCCGGCCTGAATATGAAAGAAACAGTAGAATAACAATTTTTTTAATATTTTTCAATATAATCCCCCTAAACTTCAATGCACTTATTAAATCTCTTTATTAACACCTCAATCCCTTTAAAAAAATATTCTTTTTGTTTGTCTGTCAAATGAGCTAAAACAGCCTCTTTTAACTCAACTTCGTCGTTAAACCGCCGTCCATGTAAGTCCTTTTTCAAATATCCAAACAAATAATAGTCGCTGAGGGCCATATCTGGACTATAGGGAGGATGATTTATCTATTGGCATCCACACTCTAAAATGGCAGTATGGACAGGTGCATTATTGTGCAAAAGACGCACGCCTCTGGTCAGCTTTTCTCGACGTTTTACATGTATGCAGTCTCGCAATTTATGTAATAATGTTGCGTAATATTTACCATTGACAGTGGTATTAGCTTTTATCTCCCGTCACAATAGTTTTTATCACAGGCTCCGACTCACAGAATTCCAAAAAAGACCGCGCACACTCGACACGGCGTTATTTTTGAATAGCCGAAAGGTTTTTAGGAACTTATCTTGCACTAACCTTATGCATACCTAAATGATCGTGCAGGATTCGACGAACACTTGTATCAGAAAGCTTAGCTTAGATTTCCTTTAAACTTTGATCACTCAATACCACCTCTTTCACAATCGCAACAATATCTTCCGTTATGACCTCCACTGGTCGACCAGTTCTTGCATGATCTTCAAGGGACTCCTGCCCCATTCGAAAACGTTTTGCCCATTCTTTCACTACCGAATACGAAGGAGAACTTTGGCCGTACACACCATACAGCGTTTCTTTAATAATTTTAGGTGCTAACCCTTCTTTTGATAAAAACTTTATGACTGCTCTATACTCAATTTGCGTTATTTGCGACATTTTTGTTTAAAATGCTGTCAATAAAAAACTATTTGACAAAGGACTGCAATTTTTTTTTCGCAGCCTACTAAGATATATATTTAAAAGAAGACAAAAGTTTTATAGTGATACTAGAGCTGCATCTATGTCAGGCCGGGAAATTTTGGAGCTAACCTCGTACATCCTCATCCTCGAAGGATGCTGAATTCGAGCATACAGTTGAGGCATATTCTTAAGCGTTTCATGCCTACTTTGCAGCAGCTGCACTTTTCTGCACACTCTTTTGTACATTTGCAAGAAACACTTGTGAGAATTCCAACTGGAGCTGGATCGTTAGCATTTATAATGGCGATAAAGCCAAGTTCCGTCCACCCCTATCCCAGCTCTGAGGATCCTTTGGTCTATCATATCAGCTGTGCCATCTCGAAAATTGGCTTTGTTGGTGATCTTGAAAATGTCTCGTAGCTTGCGGTGAATAGTGAGGTGCCAAGGACCGTTGGCCTGCTGAAATGAGAACCTCAGGATCTACATCTTCATGATGAAAAACCTGGTAATATTGTGTTGGTATCACATCCACAGATTGCATGTTGGAACAGAATATTCTGTTTTACAACGGTCGAGAAGTACAGCAGAATTTTAAGTTTTATGTCAACCGACGCAGAAACGCAGAATTTATTCCTCCGTAAACATTTGGCGGCTACCACTTACCACTTGGAATGGTGCAAACTCAGATTACACGCATTTAGAACCACATAGAAGTGTTAAAATGATTTCCAGTTTTCTGAAAATTAATTCCTCAAAAATATTAACTTGATTGACCTAATTACACTAATAAATCGCATAAACTTCCCTGCATCACCAGGTTTGAGATAAAGGTCAGGGTAAAGAGCGTTCAAGAGCCAGGCAGGTCATGACCATTTATCGTATGCTGGCCCATGCTGCTTTTTATTCACTTGGCTTAATGTATTAAAAGGTTTACTATGGGTAATTTTTGTCAAAAAAAAATATCAAAGGGTATGTTAAAATGATTTTTTGTTTGTTTCAGCTTTAACGACATGAACAACAACATCTTCAACTTTGACGAACTAGTGAATTGAGGGAGTTTTATAATATACATAACGATGGGTACCGTGATTTTGTAAAAAGATTATTTTCCGTAAGTGTTCACTTCTTTTCATTGTGTTCATTTTGTTAAAAGGCGCACGTCGCAACTCATCTTACGTTTAATATAATATATTTAATATATTAATTAGTAATAATCCCCGCGGGGCCGCGTGTCGAGTTTCTTTTTGTTTCGCTTCGCTCTGGGACACGGCCCCCGTCTTTCGTTTGTTTAACTTTTTACGGAACTGCCATCCTTTCTGGTCTTTTACCCCACCAATTTTTTTATACAATTTTTTATACAGTATATTTTTCTTATTTAGATGATTTGTATAATAATCGAACCGTGCCATTTTAGAATCTAGATATGACAGAAAACGCAGTCCACTAATTGTATTTGTATAATTTCCTCATCCTAAGGCTACGATTTTTTGTTTCCATGGTGCTATTAATATTGTATTCATAATATAAACCGGCCTTTGAGGTCCGTTTGTCCCACGGACCCGGTGGCCAATAATCGTTATCGTATATACGCTGAGAGAAATTTTCCACACACTTGCTTATTACTCTAGAGGCGTATTTAAGCAGGAAGCACCCCAGCAAAAAAAAAGTGGTGCTCCGCCGCTGCCGTTTTCGAATCTTTTCTAACGCGCTAACTGTCCGACAGAAAACATTGTGATCCGATTACAAGTAACCAAAACGTATCAGCAATGGTGATTAACAATAAGTATATGAAAAAATAAATAAATAAAACTAGATTATAGAGGAATAATAAGGATGACAAATTTTTGTAAGCGTTTTCGTTGATCGAGGTCAAAAAGAATTCCGTTAATGTAACCGTTATTGTAAAAAAGAAGATTAAAATGGGTTTCGTCGATAAATGCTTCAAATGTATTATTTACCAATTAACGTGCTATGTTAAAATCGCATTTTCAATAACAAGAGACAATAAATTCTAAATGTATGTCAATTTGTTTTATTTATGTTTCGTTTTACCCTACTTAACTAACCCATAACCCTCAACCTAAGTCGGGCTTGAACGTAGGAGTTACTGTTGACTGGCTTAAAGTAACTACTAATAAAAAGCTGACAAGGTCAACACAATTGAAATAATAAGCGATAAAATAATAATTGATTAAACAAATTCATAATTATAATCACGGAATCAATTAGCGAGCAAGTCAACGCAACAGAATATTAATGCTTCATACTATAGTCACAGCGTTGCCAGGAATATCAATTCCAGAGTGGGTTCAGCTCAAAAGATACCTATGTCATGCAGATAGACAATATCTTTTTAAATACATATAAAATATAATATATTATGCAACAAGTGTGGTAAACAGCATTGCGTTAATAAACGAGTGAATTAAAAAGTGGACCAAACGTGTTGCATACTAAACCCCAGTCAGAGAAATTCTGCAGTTACGTCATAGCATGGCATCTTTACTAGTTCATTACTGGATGTCGTAAATTGACACAGGAATTTTGTTCGTCAGTTTTGAAATCCGGGTGAAAAGCAGCGTCAAGAACAAAATTTTTTAATTTAACGGATAATTGGAAAATGTCCCAACGGTTTTGTGAAAAAGAGCAAGCCCTCGATAAAAAAAATGCGGAAAAACCGCTTTTACCCTTATTTCTCCATTAAACCAGTTATATCGCAACACACGGAACATAAATTAAAAATAGCTAAAACATACGAATCATTTTTGATTACGTCACTGTACGTGGCTACTGCTCTGACTGGAGTTTATACTCTTTCTACGACCGTATTAGTTTTACGGCGGTTCAGTAATTAAACTGACGATAGAAAGTGAAAAAAAAATATAAATCAATATCAGAATAGTATATTGTGCAATAAGTGCAGTAAACGATATTTGACTCACGAGTTTTTTTAAAAAGTTTACCGAACATGTTTCAAACTATACTTTTTCTACGGCCGTTAGTTTTTAGGTACATTTTTGCAAAACAACAGGAATACATTTACTAACATCGCCGTCAAACATCCGGTTGCTCCCAAACTTGTAAGGTAATTTCCTGAAAATTCCCAAAGTGTCTCGTATTCCTGGGAAACGAAACTGACGTGGTAAAATGACAGTTTCCGCATGCTAGTTTAGTTTAATTGCAGCTATTGAGTTAAGGAAAAAACTGTTTTTAACATCAAGAAAGAAGCGAAACAGAATAAAGGCGAATTCATAAATGATACTCCGAAAAAAAGCTTACAAGTCAGTGAAATTCTCAGCCAAATTGTTCTGGAATACCAAGAAAATTGTAATATCATCCATTCGGACGAGAACTGGGTCAATGTGGGTTCTAGGATTAATTATTTTTTATGTGACAATACCATAGGAGGTGTTTTTTTAAAGGTTTTAACAACAGGTCTTAAAACACCTACAAAAAAGGCTTACATTTCGCTCTGGTTCATGCAAGATATGCAAAAGAATTTCTACCCAGCCCGACTGCACACTCCATTCTAAGTGTTTTTTGTGTAATTGTAGACTCTAAATTTAGTTGCAGAAGGTCGCCAATTTGAAGACAAATGGACTGAAGATTTATTTTTAACTTCCAGAATAAAAGGGCAATACTAAACTGCTATCCTATGCTGCAGTCGCTGACAGGACAAATATGAAACGACAAAATCTTGAAAAAAACAGTAGCAAATGTTTAATAGACAAAGAACACAACATGGCATTGTTGTGGAGGCTAATAGGAAAGTCAATAAAATCTTTTACCGATGGAGGATTTATGTTATAAGCAGTGTTTTGTCTCAATAAATAAGAACTAAAAGTTCAGATTTTCACGAAATTATATATTTTTACATGACAATTGTTTCCACAACACCGTGTCTTTATCAAACCTCATATATAATGTCATATATAATTTCGTGAAAATCTGAACTTTTAGTTCTTATTTATTGTGATAAATGGATTTTCATCAAGTAAAAGCTAAAAGCCACCTCAGTTCAGTGTTTTGTCTTCTGAAAAGAAACATGAATTTCTAAAAATTAGTTTGTCAAGACGAATAAAAATGATGGGTGCGATGAGAGGTGAGATGATGCACCTTCTATGGTCGAGTAACCCAAAATGGGTGGTCGACTTTACAAGTTATTGGAATAATACAAATTTAAAACGTCCAAAACAAGGACGGTTAGTAAATGATTTGTACAGCTATCCGAAAGCGTTTCAGAACGAAGCCAGCAGATGATTTTTGGTAATAGTTACCATTCCACCACGCTCTCTGCGTATGGAAAGGTTGCTGAAGGAAGTTACTGTCGGAACATTGAAAGATTGTTCTAACTTTTTGCTACTCTAACAAAAAGTAATATGTAAATTACTCCAACACAATTGTAAATAAAGTTGATCGAAATTCAAGAAAATGGAGATGTGCGATTTCTACAAAAACACCTCGAAGAAGATCATAAATAACAACATAATTAAGTTGGAACAGTTTTTGTCAATGAAAGTCAATAAATCAAAACAACGTAAAAGGTTGACTGATCATAATTTGGTAAATTCTTTACGTCTTTGTATCAGTGGAGTTAATCCAAATATCTAATCTAATCTAATTGGTTTCACAAATTCAAGCTCACAAGTCTCATTGATATCTGCGGCACTACTTAACTTCATTTGTTTCGTTTCTTCATTTTATTGTTTTAATAAATAGCATTATATGTCGTATTATTTCATTTCTGATATCTATCCTTAACAACATGCCAAAGGTCGCCTATACCTGACCTAAAGGGAAGTAAGGTTTGCTTCTAGAAATGTTCTCGACAAATGACTTTTCAAAACCCCATTAATAGAAGCAAATGGGTGCAAATTATTCTTAAATTTCTTGAATGGCCCCCAAGAAGTGTCATCGCATTCTTGAATTTGGGTCCCGTTTTTGAGCAATATTCTTACAGTACACCTTCGGAAATAAAAATCAATAACGTCAAAACAACTGAACGAATTTTGTCATACTTGGTGTCGCTGAAAAGAACTCTTCTTAGGCTATGCTGTTTGAGCAGATCGATTTAGATTGCTTGTGTCGCCACACTAACTGTGTGGTAATCATATTGAATGAGTATTCATTAGTATTTTAAATATAATGTTGGTGTTTCAACAGTAAATGTATATATAGTTAACGGATATAATTTGGAACAAATTCATTTAAAAATCATCATAATCATTATCATAATTTGTTCGTGGGCATTTTTTGCAGTAAACCGAAAATATACAGGATGTGTCACAAAGTATATATCGATATGTCGATGTTCCTTTTTTGTAATCACCATTTAAAAAAAATGTTTTTGAATTCTGTATCAAATTTCATTCATAATTCATAATCATGTATCATACAAATCTCTTACTTTTTTTGAGCAAAAGAATGAAAAACAGTAAAATTCATTAATTTTCACAATTACGTTTTTGTCAGTAAATAAAGTGAATATGGAGCATCCAAATGAAATCCAGAGAAAAGGAGAAATCAAGAAAAAGTTTGTAATTCGTTTAATGCAAGATATCCAGAAAGATCCATTGCCAGATCTATAGTGGGTAAAATTGTAAATTGTAAAAGATCATCTACGGTCAGGTCATTCAAAAAATAAATAGACAAGATAAAGCATTTTATTAGAAGTTGAGCATAATCCCGCATAAGACTTCATTGCTACAGGAGCTGAACGACGAGGATCCCTACTACAGACTTCAATTTCGTGAAACTATGATGGAAATGTGGACCTTAAATCCATTTTTTCATCGTCAGACACCCTTTAATGGTGAAGCCACGTTTTGCTATTGAAAAAACTTCTGGAATCCTTCTGTGTCGGTTATTCTTCAATCGAATTTGCTGACGCTTCGCCAATTATACTTTTAAGTTCTAAGGAAGACAACAGGATGATTGACGAAACGTCAGCAAGTTCATTCAACAACAAACGACGCAAGAGGAATCTAGAAGTTTTGTAAACAGCATTACGTGGAAGTTTCTTTGAAAAATTAAGCCACGTTTTGTTTAAATGTATAAAATGGCGATTTTGGATAACAAAATTTTTGGACCTTTTTTCTTCGATCAAAACTAGTGCCCGATGTTACTCTTGCAGTTTCTTTTCCAAATTCAAATAAGGCTGATTTGCTAGACAGATTTGGTTTCAACAGGTTGGTGTTCTGCCCCATTTTGCTCAACAAGTGGGTGAATATTTAAAGTCGGTATTTCCCGGAGAGTGAATTGCTAGAAGGGCATCAGCGGAATGGCCAGCAAAATCTCCAGAGATTGCTCCACTGGATTTTTTCCTCTAGGGATATTTTGAAATCAAAAATCTATAAGCAAAAACCACAAAAATATATAATTAGGGACGAGATATTGCACGAAGTAGTCATTTTTAACTCCTAATAAAATAATTTCTTCGACCTGTTTTTTGTTCTTTTGCTCGTAGCATAATCTGACCAAAAATTCGAAAATGGATTTAAAAATATGGTGTTCAATTTAAAAAAAAGAAACTTGTATCTTTTCCATTTACGACAAAAAATGAGAGCATTTTTCTTGAAATGCAGTACCTGATTTTTAAATGAAGTTGTTCCATATTTTAACAGTTCACTGCATATTTTGCTAAAAAAAAAAGAAGGGAAATTAGTGTTTGACAACGGCTGGTTTTTATTTCTTTTATTGATATTATAACTTCGAAGGAGATATAGAAATGCCAGCGTGTTAGAGCTATTGCTTCGCAATAAAAGTGGTATCATTGTATTTAGTTTTTTGAGAAATTAAATTTTATTTGTAGTGATGTTGCAAAACCTAGCGGCGATGTGAGCAATTAGAATAAGAGCCCTTTTTAACACCTCTAAATTCAGCCATTCTAAAATTATAGATATTTATTTCCGAAAATTTCGAACTTCCCCTCCATGAAGTAGAGCAAAAACCATTTAACGAAACACAATTAAATTTATATTTGAAACGGTATCTATTTTAGCTATAATTCCTCAAAA